GTTGCAAAGTTTTCCATTTTGGCAGAATTAAATTCAAATTTAGAAATTAGCATAGTCATCAGCTTGTTCAAGCTGATATGACATCTCACATTCGCCCTCTCTTCCAGCTTAACTACAGCTGATATCCATTGATTCCAGATATCGACTTGGGTGGGTGGGAAACAATTTCTAAAAAATCAAAATTCTCTGACGCCGTTACGCCTGCTACAAAATATAGAATTCTGAGTGGCAGTAAAGAATCACATGGTAAAATATTAAAGTTGATAACATTAGAAACTTGGATAGGACGTAAAATATATTTCTGGTGTTAATCGCGATGTATATCGCAGTTCTTAGAGAATTTCACATTTTTTTCCAATTATACAATCTTCTCCAATATTGTACAACTAAAAATAAATTTTGTATACCCAATATGAACAAAAAGTACTTTCAAAAGTTAATTTTATTTGTAATACGATTTTCAAATTAGTTTTGAATTAGAGACAAGAGAGATATGCTCAAATATATGAGTACGGAGCGCATAAATAAAAATCCTCAGCAAAAAAATACAATCTCTAACCACTCAAAATTTTATATCAATTGGCCCAGCAATTAAAGAGAAAGCGATTTTTTCATAACGATAGGAAGAAGAATAATTAATGGAGAACAAGAACAACATAATATCAAAACGATCCATAGGTCCAATCCGTGTCCGACAAGCAATAAAAAGAGAAACAATTCCTCCAATAACTATTTATATGAATGCGCCAAGCTTCAAAACTGCAGTGGTTACGCTATTAACTACTTAAAGAAGTTAAATTTTCATTGCATTTGTTTCATGTGAAATATTGATACAATAGAATATCGATTAGACTAAAGCATTACAGTATAACATTATTACAGTCTCGTTGATGTGTACATTGTGCCTTTTAAAGTTTATAAACATGTAGGCCTAAACCCTAAAGAATAAAGGCCAAAGGTTAACTTCTTCCTTATCTCTGCCCGATTTTTCTTTGCAATGCTAAAATGGGGCTCCCGAAGTATGCGAACCAAGATGGCGGACATCGGAATGTAATATGTGTACTAGGTTAGGGTTAGGCCATAATTTTAGGTATAAATACTACGGGAGGCTCTTGGCTAGTCTTCGAACTGATAATAAGACTAAAATAAGGAAAATTATCGCCTCACCCTAACCTGTTACTCATGTTACGTTCCGATGTCCGCCATCTTGGTTCGCATACTTCGGGAGCACCAAAATTCCTTATGTTCGCTAGACTCGGTTCAGCAAATGAATAAACTGCAGCTTACGAAATTGCAGCAAGTGGGGTTTACCTCTGTTACGTAACAATTGGCCCTATACGTAAAAGAAAGTAAATAACTTAGAAAGGTAAAATGAGTTTATTGTTTTATATACACATCATTTAAAATAAGAAACAATAAAACTAATAATAACTCCTAATTTTCGAGGTGCAATAAGCAAATCGCTTTCGGGATCCGCTCACGAATAAAGCCGGCGATCAGAATAGGCATTGTTATGCAAGCGTAATGATTCTATGACATTGATGATGTATATGGTATTCACTCCAAATCGTGAGATTTTTGTTTTGCACTAGTTTTAATAGCTGTGTTTCGAATCAACAGTCTAAAAAAGTACAATAGATATAGTATTTTGTGTAAAATAAGTGTTCTCTTTGCGGTTTCTAAAAATTAGTTTCGTGGCCCCCCAGTTTGGGAAGAACTGGACTAGATAATGTACTGTAAAAGGTAAGGTAGAGAGCATTGCTTCGCTTTGGCATTCGTGGCCATATTTGAGCATTGCTCTCTTGTATTTTTCTTCAGTAAAACGTACAACACTCATTAGGCCAAAAATAGGAAATGATATTTTCTGTCGGACAATTCCAAAACCTTTTTACATTCAACGTTTCAATTTTTGCCGTAAACTAAGTTTTAAATACGGAATGTATTTCTGGGGAACTGACTGAGTGTCTAATTACTGCCATGTCATAGTAATAAATATATTAGAAGTTGAAAACAATTGATATTAAAATACTATATATTATAAAAAGCAGTAATACGTAAGGGAAAATGCTATCCGGATAAAATACTGAATTGCCCCTGAAAGTATGTCTATATATACTGTGTATATAACATAAATGAGATAATATACAAAACACGAGAAATGTATTAAGCCTGTTACTATCCTTAGTTGTAAGCTTCTGCAGGAAATGCATAACCGTTAAAAGATTGATGTTTGTTTATGGATATAAGCAAATAAGGCGTTTTCGACTTTACCTAGATGCTTTTTATATCATTGCTTATACGTAATGTAGGAAATAATTTCAGGTTGATCAATGTTTCCAATTATTATTTGGGACTTACCTATAACAATTTATCATTATGATGTCGGTGGGATAAATGAATATTACAAATTAGCATAAACTAGTTCCGCTCACGACTCGGAAGTGATTTGCGTGTAAACCTGTCAAACGTTCTACGTCATCACACATTAAATATTGTGCATTACGCAAAAATGACGCACAATTGAACTGAACGTGACTGTCCGTACTGCGATTCTTATAATACATTTTGACGAAATACCTTAAAAACTTGCATGACGTTTTTATAAAAAGGATTGAAAGTCAAATCTATCATCTGCTTCTCCTTTCGGAAATGTATTTTGCATCGAAATTCTACGCGTGAAAAAACACACATCCGCCAATTTCCGAAAAACGCCACCACCTCATACACTGTAATGAATAATTCAAAATTTAAAAGTATTAATTAATATGCTAATATGTGAATTACCATACAGCGTACGTTTCATTTCATCATATTATGCTATGTTGCACAATAGGAATTCATTACTGCATTCTGAACAATGTTAATTACGTATTTTACAATCATTCAAAGAAGTACTTGACCTGAAAAGAATACGTAACCGCGCTATGAGCAACTGGCTCGAAAAATATATAGGACAAAAATCATTTCCGGATATTTCAATGTCGTGTTGTAATGTCCTTTATTTATTTATTTTCTTTTTGACATTTACCGTTCTTGAAGTATTTGATTTCAAGGTTTTAAACTTGGAAGGTGCCAATAAACACTAAATTTCACCAGAACATTGGAAGTGACTAAAAATGTAACACTCGTTTATAAAATCACATTTAAGAAGAATATAGTCACCATCGACCCCAGATAGGATAGGAGTTACATCCCTTAAGACAACGCACAGATGATATATTAACCGAAATAATAATATGCCCCAACATCCTCGCTAATTCCCAAAGGTAATTCATATCTAGTAACACTTCATGTAGAAAAGAATGAACATATTGTGTATAATTTGCGGTATACATTCGGCAGATGCCAATTCGTAATGGTGCTGAGTATTGATGGAATTGGTTGTATTTCAATATATTGCGACATAAAACAGAGTAGAAACAGCTCGTGGTCCGTGTTATGCTGTAAAGTGTAAACGATCCATCCCATGTGAATCTAGACCAGTGGTTCCCAAACTGGGGGTAGTTACGCCCAAAGGAGTAATTTGTAAATTTTTAACGGGTAATTCAGAATTGCATTGCCTCTTGTAATACCTCCGGCTTTTTTAAAGTCCATCCACGTTAGAGTTAGATTGGAAGTGGAATAGGAGATAGTATGATTGGTAAAAACGAGTTTCTGACTTCACGACAACAATTTTATTGTGCCACCATGATGATTTAAGCTACAACACGATACAAAACAGAGATTGGAAAATTTTTAGATTGGTTTTAAGATTCATTGTGACAAATTGCGCGATGTCAATTTTATTTTTTGAAAGGGATAATTGAGATTTTGAGAATTCGATTCAGGGGTAACGATAGCAGACCATTGGGGTTTGATGTCAAACTTGAGTGTTTACGTATGCAGTGTAAAGTTCACTAGGTACCTCTAATTATTTATCTCCATTATTACACGTCCAATTGGTTGTTTACAGGCGTATGCGATTATTACTTGGTGACGTTTTACATTTGTTGTTGCCATTCATATATATCATGTAATCGACGTGTATAGGTGTCGAAATTTGTCCGTATCGTGGACTGTCGTACACATCATTGTATTCTAATTGTATTTGCATTACCCGTATTGCAAAACGTTTGGTGAGCGTTTTACCCTTGTTGTTTTTGTAGGAATCGATGTGGATTGAACTGTCGATTACAGCGGCCTGGCCCATCGATAATTTGGATATGCCGAATTATCTGTGCCGCTCACTGCTTTGACGCTGGCCGTTTAATAACCGGTTAGTGGTTTACCGGTATGTATTGTTACCTCAATTACATAATCGTATTTGGAGTTCGGTTGCGTATATTCCTTCGGTATCTAGCTCAACCTAATTTGCTAGATATTTCTACCCTTTGACATTATATGGCGAGTTCGGCTTTTGGTTAATTGGTTGTAGGCGATGACCAATGCAGTGATATGTTATCAATGTGTCCCAAGGCTTTGTTTGGTGGGTTTGCATATCTTTTTATTAATTTCATGCAAACACTACTGGTATATTACTAACATTGAAAAGTTTTCGAAATTAACTTTTTGCTTCTGCATCTGATTCTTACATATTTGTCATCATATTTGCAATCATTTGCAAATCATTTTGAATTTCTTCCACTATTCTGGCAACTGGTTATTTTCTATCTCAGTGAAGCCTTTCAGCCATCACGTGTCACTCTGTATTGGAATTAAGTCCCCTGTGAAGTCCATGGGGATTTCTCAACACGTAAAGAGTTTCCGACGCCCTGATTTTTGAGATCTCTCCCGATATACCTCTGGAAACCAGGTTACGCAAAATTTCTGCAGCATTTCAGACTTAATTGTACATATGTTATCACAGGATCTAAGTAGGAGTTTTTATTGTATGGTGGTGAAAAATTTAGGATTATGCAATCATATTGGATTCATTTGGTCGACTGCTCTTAAGGTTTGTAGTCTTTATTTTGAACACCGTTCTACTGGATGAAATACTTTTCCTTTTGCCCCATCTGTCTTGAAACGTGACTCCTAAGTAAGTTATTGAATTTCAACTTAATTTAACACCTCTTCATTATTTATCTCCAATACATACCTCTTGTACTAAATATGCATTATTTAATTATCTTAATCCATGACTACGCTTTTGACGTGAAACTTTATTCTATTCTATAAAATTTATTCTTGAAAACCTTGAATAATTATTAAAAAAGTATGGCAATGAAAAGGTTTTTGCATATACGTTGTATCAAACTTTGTTAAAGGGAAGTGAGGCTGGTTTCAAGTTTGTCACTGGATGGTAGCATATGCTCTTTATCTTCTCCCACTTTGACTCTGTCATCATTGCCTGTAGTTTGTTGCGTCTCGGGTACATAACATTTATATGCCAATGAATAACAAATTGCTGTCAAAACTTTGCAGGAAACACCTGTTGAAGCATGGTTGGTATGAAATGTTTTTCAGTTTTTTGATATATAATAGCACGTATTTTGTAGCAGTCAAAAATTCTATCATTTATCGTCACGGATAAAAGTTATCACCGATCTGCTAAAGCTAAATCCTCAAACAGTTAATAAAATCGTGGTGAATTTCTTAGGAGTAATTTGTTTTCTCACTTTAAAATATCTGACATAAAAAGGAATAGAATAATAATAATACACAACATTTATAGTTTATCTCGCGAATTAATTTTTTGCGGAATTCCAGACGCAAATAAGTCTTATATATACAGTACAGTACGTCATTTTGATATCTCTTAATGTTTCTATGTACACAATAAATAGAATCTCATACTGTATACCTATAAAAATTGCAGACTTCGCAAATGATTTGCTGTCGTAAAACCAGCAAGAGCCTTCTTTGCCGTCTTGCATTCTCCACACAGTGCACGAGGCATCAAATACAGCTCCTATTACTAGCGGACTTGGAATACTACCTATAACTCTTAGAAAAAACCATTGCACTCCCAGGGCAAACGATTTCTGTGAATATGGAACACACCTGTAAGATTTCAAAATATTCGTTAGGTTATATTTTTTTTTCTTAGTCGCTTTACTGGCCGTTGGATAAATACAAGCATGTGGATTATATTCACAGCAGCTTTTCATCCTTGGTGAATACACGCGATTATGCACAGCAAACGACGTCCACAAACTTGAAACAGTGTTTGAATCTTCGGAATTAAACACAGAAGTAGAAAATTTAATTGATTGAGGTGATTAAATATTTGAATGATTATTTTAAATATTTGGCACTATTAGAATATCGAACAAGACTGTCAAAAACTTACCTCAGAACTACAACCACTGAAGGTGTTAAAACAGCAAAACTGAACGAAATTAGTATAAACAAAAGTACCAAGAATGGTATGAGTAAACCGCATCTTGTTGAACATGAACCCCTTTTTGCCGCCATCGTACGGTTTGCGTTTGTAGAAACACAGGAACAATTGTAATAAATCTTAAAACATAAAAATATGAGCTGTTAATTGAAGAAAAATAGAAATACTCCGACCTTTACGGAATGTAAGAAATCAGACTTCACAATAATAACATGAGAGTGATGAAATATATGGGCACGAAAGCCAAATCGAAAGTAGTACGGGTATGCAATCAGTTGAAGTACACTACCGCCTATCGGTATCGCAATATTCACGACTAACAAGAACGTGAAGAAAAAGAAGAGAAATACCAACAAGCATACCAGCAACATAGTAACAAAACGATCCGTAAGTACATTTCGTGTCCAATAATAGTTTAATATGGTCTTACAACTTCAATGAATAGTCAGTCGTTCGAGCAATATTGTTACACGTTCTGATATTCCCCTTAGCTAATACCACCATTGTGTATCACCAATAGCTTTATAATATGCGACTTTGTGGGCGTGTCTCTTTCACACAATGAAACACAGGCGGCGTGTATCGGCTGGCTAATCGTTGAATTCAGTCACCATATGTGGTAGGTTAAATATTTGAACTGGTTATATATTTCCAGCTGGTGATTACTTCCGACGAGGCCGCTCGTGTGGGTCGGGTGTCGCCTTAATACCTGGTTTCCTCACAACGAATGGTTACGTGTGTACATGAAACATCAAAAGCAAATCAATTCAGACTTTATAATTACGATATGCACAATGCAAATGTTACTTGGGGGCTCACCCCCATGACTGCCTGACCCTCATAATGGTGGCCTCCCCTCTTTTTCGTTGCTGTTCAATAAGAAGAGTTTCCCATCTGAGGTTATTTGTATATTACAATTGTGTTACCGTTTCATTAGGAAGTTGACTGTGGCATCCTGCGTGGCAAGCTGAAAAATACTCCACGTTGTCTTCCCCACAAACTGGCAGAAAAAAGTTTTCATTGCATGCACAGTGATCATTGCAAACAGGTTTACGGCTGGTTCTGAAAGAAAGTAAATAACCTGAATATGATTGAAAAAAGTTGTAGCCTAACCTTTTTCTGGGATCAATCTAATGTTATATCTTTAATGGTGTTCACTGCTAAAACATTTTTGTATATATGTACTGAGCAATGTAGTAAGGCAAAGTTACTTAAACAAGATATCAATGCTCAAATATATGAATACCAAGGCTAAAACGAAGTAGTGCTGATATCTAATCTTTTACAGTGCAGTCTCCCGACTTATACTCACCCCCACTTCGCAACGAACGCGGAACAATCACAAGTTCACAGAAATTGTAATGAATGAAAGTAATAGCCTTTTGGCAACAACACCGATCTTCAACCATTAAAAATTTCGAAGCAATTGTTCCAGGGATTAAAGAGAAAGAATTTTCTTTATAACTTCAAGAACAAGTGAGCTATACTCAAATATATGGACACGTAGCGCCACCTAGCAGCAATAATTTTGAGGATGTCATAGCAACAAAAAGGATAAGATAGGATTTACATATTTATCCCGGGGGAGAGGAAAGCCGATAAGACGGCTCATCTATATGGCGAACCACGGCCTCTCGTCCGGTTACCATTCTAAGTCGGGTATGGGATTAGTTAGTTATACTGTATTGTTTGTTTTCGGAAGCATGGACTTGGTAGTAATACCCTTCTGGAGAAAATTGCCGCCAATCCCTATGTCGGTAATAATTGTAAAATTATATTTATCACCTGTACAAACTGAAACATGAAATCATTTATACGATTAACGTCCGTATTCTTCATGTTTAAGAAGGAGAAACTCACATGAATACAGCAGGATTGACTGATTTTAATGGACAATGGGGTTAAAATTCGAACGAAACGTGTCAAAGACAATGTTTGGATGTGAGTTTTAAAAACGACTTACTCTGCCACTTGATTAATAATTGTATTTCTTGAGCAGTGAAGAATTAAGCAGGGTGCAAGAAATCCTGAAACTATAGTTGCTATTACACTTGCTCGTAATATGGCCGGAGATTTCAAACCCATTTTTCTTACTAAATATCCTGAAACTGAGTGTCCAATTATGGCTCCGGGTACGCTTACGGACCCTGTAATACAAGTAATAAGATAGTTTAGCCATAGTTTAGACAAGTGGTAACTGGTAATCATTAGTTTTGGTTATACGGATCGAGTCGACTGATATCACGCGGCATGTTGAGCTTGTCCCTATTTTTTGTACCATTCCGACTGGAAGTACTGGTACCATAGAATACCTAAATATTAAACAATTTGTGTACGTTACGGCAAACAGTACGTAAGCCATACCAATCATGAAGACATGGTTAGAAAGCGGTTAAAATTGTAAAGATCATACATTATTAAAAGTTGTCCTTTGGTTTAAAGGTTGTCATACCAATAGTGTATGAATTGCTTTTTAAATATACTTAGTGAACATAAGCTTGGTTGTTGTAATGATAAACTTGTGTACCTTCTTTTGTTACTTATTGCAAAAGTCCAATTGTTATTTAAATTTAAATTCATTACTTAGTCTAGGGATAGGCTCCAAATTTAGAATGAAACACCTAGAGTGGCTAGTGATTTTACTTTAAAAGTATCAAAATTGATTTGAAGTTACCCCCCCTTATTCACGCATAACAGAAGATTCGACGTAAGCTTGATATATACTTTAAATTGATTGATTGCATATGCCACAAATCGGGAAAACGGATTTTGAAAAATTCTTGAAAATGGATGGATTGCAATTTGGGCAAGATACAAATTTTAATTCGGTTGTTTGTAGCTTTTACATCAGATTAATAGTAACAATTCTAGTATTTTTATTCAGTTTATATATAAACTTATAAGCACTTGCCCGCCATGAGACCGGCTTCTGTGGGAGTGATGTGAAACTGATTCTGTAGTAATTTCGGTAAGAACAATGCGAATCCATTCAAAAGAAAAGTCTCAAAACTTGCCGCCATAGTAGTGAATAAGAAGGTTGGATTTTTCAATAACAGTACAAAAGCTGTAGGGAAATCTTTGAATGACTTCCCGAAGGATAGTTGTTCTGTAATTTGTGATCCAGATTTTGCATGAACTTCGGAATCTCGAAAGGTACGTTGCGAGATTGAACCTGTGACAATATGATGGAAACTCAGAACTACTCTTCGTGTAATAAAAAATGAAAGAATAAGGGGTTTCACAAAGATGCGATTCTTTTTAATGATGAATTTTAAATTCATATGACGTTATCGGCCATAGGTCAAAGCACGTTGCATATGAAATTAGTAAGAAATAGAAATTATTCACAAAGCTATAATAGCCTCCTGATAGATTATATCCCGAGGATTTGATACCCTCGTGAAGGGCTACATTTCGAATACATATCACCGTGACAATCACGTCAGCAGAGGACTCGATGACTCGTTAAAATTAATACTACTCAACTTGCTAAAATGTTGAATCATTTTGTTATCATATTGGCCTCACCTTCAATTGAGCTCCTTTTATAGTTGTTTAGAAATATAGAACTTTCTACCTACAATACTCACCTCTCAAATTTTTGGGAAATCTTATCACGAGTAACATTGCCAGAAATGCAAGTCCTGATGCAAGAAGTAGAGACACCCACCATGCTCCTATCCACATCGGGTTGTCGGGTTCTATCTCCAAACTATAAATTATTGCAATTTGAAGCTTACTTTTTGACTAAAGCTAACATTTATTTCTACATGGGCATGGTGAAATTGATAAAAATATTCCATTCTTATAAAAACAAATCATGACTATATAGCACTATTTGTACACAAATGAAAAACATTCAGAGATCGTTTTAAACTGGTAGGATATGTCAGATTCTACGTTATGTTTGTATTGTTGCAAACGTGATGGTAATGATCGTCTTGATAAAAGTTTGTTGTTGGGGGTCATGTTATTGTAAAAATCGCTTTTCAACGCAACTACTGTACTGATAAATTTCCAATTTTCCATAAAACTTAAAGATGAAGGAAGTCGGCAGATTTGGTTCCTCGTCCTCCGTGGCGGATATATAAATTGCATTTTTTTTAAATTATTATATGCACGTTTTCAGATGGCGTCTTTTTAACATTCGCCTGGAATTTTGATAATACCGATCACTGCTCTCTCGTTTTTACTATGCATAATTATTATTATAAATACATGTGTTATTATATACTCTGGAGTAATAAAGAAATTTGAACCAGTTTTATTCATTAAACTGCTACATTATTCAACTGATCATTTTAAAAGAGTTATCAATCAACTAGTTGAATCGCAATTACATTCTTACCGTTGTTTCCCTGTTCTTGTGATGTCAACATGGTGTGATAACATATATCCACCAAGCAGATAACCAATCACACTCCCAAAGGCGGAAATACCACCAGTCAATCCTAAGGTAAAATATTATATATATTTAAAAAATTGCAAGTTTTAAGGTATGTAAAGATATTTTGACGTAGAAAGATAAGCACATATAACCAATGAACCCAAGTGATTAAAGATTCAAATCCCTTAGTGCAAGCCCACATGCTAGGGAATCGGCGGGTACCTTGCCGTAACGGAATGCGATGTAATCGTTTAACTATTATCATACCTTATCAAGACCAATAGTGGGTGAAATGTCCCGAGTTCAGATAAATATAAAACGGTGAAATCCAAATATGATTAAATTTATATTCGCCAATGTTGAACGTATCAAATATGATTTCAATAATAAGTGAAACTTCCTGTACGTAATAGAATAGCTCTTTCCAAACGCCCCATTTTCATTTGATTCAGTGAGTGACAATATGAACATTTCGATACCGATATAAGAAGCTGCTTTTTCTTTTGTGGTGCTGTCCTCCAGGTATGTGACTCCTAACGTTATTATCGGGATGCTTCCGACACCAAGTAAAATATTTCCAAATACAAAAACTAATAAGTAATCCGCAGTCTCGCTTTGCGGTTGGTTTTCTTCTGTTTCTAACATGCTTTTGTTGATGCACAAATCTGTAATATTTGCATTTTGCATGTTACATGATTCTTAATAAGAGTGTATTTAAAAATAAATTTGGATAATGCTTTTACGACTAAAATTATTTGTATACTTCCATAATATATATCCTGATTACCTGATTATGACTTAATTTTGTGTTTTGTTTTTGATTGACTTTTTTAATTTGGCTTTCAAAACCAGAAAAAAATTGTTACCGTCACATTCGAATTTACACTGTTTGCGCGTTTTTTTTTGTAAAGTGCGTTTGACCAGGCTGACAAAATAGTATTTAAATTTTGTGATGCATTTCCTTAAATATTACACTCACCGGAATAAGTTTTTGGATCATATTTTTTATGTGTAAAATGAGGTAAAGTATAGACGACACATCCCAAAGCAAACATAATCATGCCAGCACCCATAATACGAGGTCTGTGATGTCGATTCCCGTAGTAGGTCACCAAGGGACAAAGTACGCAGAACGCCATGTCGTAACTGCTTGATATTAAACCTGATTCATAACTTTTCAGGTGGTATCGACGCTCGATTGTTGATATATTAACGTTCATGATTCCATTAATCACCATTCCTGACACAAAACAACATATATAAAAGAACGATTAATAGACTATTTGTTGCGCCAGCATATGCCAAAACTGAACCACCGTGAAATTGCAATACCATATAAATATTATCCGATACTTAATTTCGTATATTGTTTTTTTTTGTACAATAAGTTGAACGCATTGGTCTGATGCAACGCTCCGGGCTGTGTTAATAGTAAACAATACAGAATAACTAAATCAATAAACAGATATAAACTTATTTTAGCAAATGCGCTTCAAATATATGTACGCTTATTCAAACGAGTATGAATATATAATCTCTTATAAATTGACTGCAAGACGTACACGTCACAATGATATAGTGAAACTCCTATGAGTTATCCAAAGTTTTGAGTTTTATTCAAAGATTTGAAAAATTTGTTGCTCCGAAAGACTTAAAATCGAAAAGGGACATTATATTTTCCCCGAACGTGCTTTAAATCCAAAGGTCCATCCCAGCAAACGAAAATGTTTCTTTTGAATTTCGTAACCCTCCAAATGAATAGTTAGTCATTCAATACTTCCTTGTTTTGGCTAATAACCCATAGTTAAATTACCGACTTTAGCTATTCTGAATTCAAAACTGAGATGGTTTGATTGATTAGTTCTCCATCATACTTACTGATAAAATAATATAACAAGCACTCACCATGCACAAACGTTGAAAATCCGAACGTGAGTAAAAATCCAAGCGATGTATTGGCAACTTGTTTCCATTTTTTCCGAATTCCCCACCATTTGAAATTTCTCAACGTAATCGCATCCATTTGCTAACACACAACAGTCACTTCCAATAACCAATGCTCGACTCTGCGCTTAGTATGAAGAGTATTTCGAAGAAAACGCAGCAGTAAATGTTAAATCTGATAAACTATAAAATCCAAGAATCCTATTATTATGTTGTCATATTTGAAATTCATGTATTCGGACGGCCGGCGGCAATGGCTCATGCTGACATTATATGCTTCATGCCAGTTATCAAGATTTCATGTACAAATAGATTGTAATCATCAAAACAATTTTTGTACTCAAAAGTCAAAAATTGCAATTGCGTATTATTCTAAAAATTTGCTGACCAAACTATGAAAATCGAGATAAAATAGCTACACAATTTTTTTTAAATGGCAGAACTGAGAGATTTTTCATAGTATGAGAAACTATGTGAATATTTTTGTACGAGTCAAAATTAGATTCCTCTATATCTTTGCTGTTAAATTGGACTTGGTAACCAGTTTATAATCCGTGGACACGATGATGGGGACCACGTGATAAACAAAAAATACAACACCCAAGCTATTGGGATACAGTTATTGCTGTGACAACAATATTCGCGTATGAATTTTCAATTGCATGAAAAAATCATTTGGAATTATAGAAATTCAATATTAAATGCGCAATCTTAGAAAAATCGTATATCCTATTCGTAAGGAATGCAGTGCAAAATTTCATCAGCATAACTATGCCAGAACCAGATAATTTTGACCCTATTTAGTTTAAAACGAATTTATTCTTCTTCTTCTAAAAGTCAGAAAAGCAATAAAAGCATATTGAAAAAGCAAGTAGTTTAGTTAAAACCAACTATCTTTTTTCACAATCGTGAAAGAAACATATATTTTACTATCAACATTCAGTCTATAATCCTGTGAGTGCGAGCTATTGACTGGCACATCGCCCTCATCCTGAATCGGGACCTCCAGAAGTAGGTGCACCAAGATGGCGCACAACCCGAACATAGTATGTGTACCAGGTTAGGGTTCAGGTTGTGCGCCATCTTGGTGCACATATTTCGGGAGCGCCTTAAATCGTGCTTTACTTGGCTGGAAAAAGCGCATATTTTCTGTCCTATAACTCATATGCTATATAACACTCGCATCAACTTTTAGTATTTGAAATTGTCATTTCAATAATTCAGAGATGAAGTCAAGAGTGTCACCTCAAAGCACCCCGAAAACCGTTGTTACATATTTCATAAAAGATTGCTATTTGCAGAATTCTTAATAATTTCATTTAGCACGGGCAAGCATGGTCTACTATCGGAGTAATGGTCATAAGTACGTTACGGTCTGTCTTTGACATGCATTATTCAATGAGCAATCAGTGGAAAGTTGTCCAAAATCTCGTTTTAGAAGAAACGCTTAAAGTGCTTTTGTCAATATGTGTGCTTGTTGTTCTGCATTATGCATTCTTGTTTTTTTAATAATATTTTGAAGTTTCACATTACTACTATTGATTAAGTTGCATAATGTATGGTGACATTATATTGTATCACCTACTCTCCCAATCATTAAAAAGCGTTGTGTACCTCTGCCCTTTTTTAACGACTCGAACCCTCAGGGGTGGTTTTCCGGTTTTAGACGTTTTGCAGATTTTCTGTTACGCAACCTGAAGTCGGTATATCGGAATCGAGCTGTGAAATTGGTTAATAGTCAATTGTCAGTTTTGTAGCCAGTACCAATCGTCACAAATGCAGATGGCCATGATTGTACATGTATGTTTTGTTATTCATAGCACATAAAATTTAACCGTGACTTAAGCTTTATTTAAAATAGTATTCTTACTGTAATTTTCTTATACTCTTAATTATATAACCTTGTGCTACTTCTAATTGATTATCGGTCAATCTGTGGAATGCGGTGAAATAATACCGACGCATTCATTCCTCAATGATCTTACGTCCTCGGGCTTTTTTCTTTGGCATCCTTTCTTTTATCTCTCGTAAGTATCCTTGTAATTAAGATAGCTTGATCACAAAATATTGCACAACTATACCATCTGGTGTTAAAATGTTACGGAAATTCGTGATATCATGTTTGACGGTTTTCATTAGTCATTCATACGTTCAGGACGAGATATAACGCGAACGCTGAACTATCACAAGATGCGCAAGTTTAGATGACGTTATCACATAAAACAAAAAACGAATCCCCTAGAGCAGTGGTTCCCACCCTTTTATAGATTTTAACAACGTATCAACGTAATTGGTAAATCTTCGAAATAGGATATATGCTCTGTGTCCCAGCGGTATTATGTATTCAATATTGAACTTAGCTGTGGAATGTTATTTCGTGTTAGGTTGTATTCTTATGCGTGAATGTTGTCCAAAAGACGGTGTAGTTCCTGTTGTAGTCAGAGTCTGATAAATATTTGCAAATGTTGAAGTTTGTTTACAGCTAAACTAGTTTAAGATACATCAAATTTGGTAATCTGGTTAAAACACCAAATATCCCGGTGAGAATGGAAAACGGATACGACGACAAAACTAAAAAATTGCAATTGGCCTTCTATCTAAATATACCACAGAATTGCGCGAGAGTTTTGAATCAGGCTTGTAAATCTGTCTTAGTGAATAGAGCGGTGGTTCTTGAACTTTTCCGTGCTACACTTATTGTAAGACATAAATTTCGAGTAATTTTTTTTTTGCAAACTTTAATGCGATGTGTGTACCTGTTTTGAAATGAGGTTCTACCGGTGCCAGCATGGCATGTCTTACATAAATCTGAAACACAACTTTCGAAATACCAAATATAACGCTCTCCGTCAGCTATTGTGAACATTACCTTAGTTTGCTGCGGTCTTCTAACGCAGTGGTTCCCAACCTTTTTACCCTGGCGGACCGGTAAAATTAAATTAAATGTACCCGCGGATCGGCAGAAATTGAAAAGAATAACATATATTTGCGTAATATAATGCAATGTCGGGCACTCAATATACTTCTAGACAAAAAAGGCACCCTTATTAAAACATTTCAAACGACGAAAAACTATCAAATAATGTGCCGGCCAAAAATTGAAATGGGTGAATCATAAAATAATACCATATATTTGCGTAAAGAAATGCAGTGCTGGGCACCAATGCGTAAGAAGGGCACGCATAAAACATCTCACATAGAAAATACAAGTACTTGCCAAATCATTTACAAACACAATTAACTCTAGTGAGAATTTTGCTGCTGTTTCGTTTCTAATATAAGATTGCAAACAAGGCCTCAAAAAAGTTTCTGCAACCCGGAGCTCTGCAGCGGCGTGCAGCCAATTTCTTTGCTTCGTTTGAATTGAAGCTAGTGATGAAAATGTTTTTTTTCGCATAACGCAGTAACTACTTGAAAATACGGACAACAGTTTGATTGCTCGATTACTTAGCGATGGGTATTTGTTATCAAGAGATATCCAAAATCGTGACAGTAATTCTCCTTCAAATCTGGACTGCAAAGTAGAATCACAATTTTAATCAAGTTTTTTCTTTTTTATCGGGTCCATCATATTAATTCCTCTGCAGTTGATCGACGCCTCAAACAAAATGAATTTACCTTACAATAACAAAATCGTTGGTAACTTGGCACCAGGCTCAAAATCCTACGGTGTCTGCTCAAAATACCGGAAAAAATCTCTGCGGCCATGCTTTTTTGTGCGTCTCGTGACCACCTGCAACCAGTTCATATCTTACTGATATATTATACAGTTCTTGAATGTTTTCTGTTAAACGAAGAAATATGCATAACGTTTCATATGGATGGTCATATTAATCAGGAAAAGCGCGCAGAACAGAAAAAGCGCGCGTGCCGTTTGTGAATCTTGCGAGATTTGATGGAGCGCATTCGCGATGAATTGTAGCCGAAAAAGCGAAAAGTGTGACTATTCGGCGCCAAGATGTTGCGAAAGACTTCGCCAATATGTCGCAATATGACGGCGGAAGAGAAATTGAGTAATATACCAACGCAATCTCCGTCTTCTGTAAAGCGATAAAGACGGCATGAAAACAACAAAACAATCAAATTCCTTGCGGACCGGCAAAAAAGTTTTGCGGACCGGCACCGGTTCGCGGTCCGACGGTTGGGAACCACTGTTCTAACGCACAAAGCAATAAACAAGAAACTGGTTCGCTAATATCAGATCGTTCTCAGAACGGGTTTGCGCGAACTTGCCGAATTTTGCCACTGGTCCTAAACGATTCGCAACTTTATCAAATCCGTTTACTGCTATATTCTTATAAAATGCTGCGTATAAAGTGTTGAGCATAGTAACGCTAGAATATGGTCAGCAATCAATTATAACTGAGTTACGGAAACGGATGAACGCGCGTCTAAAATTGTTTGTAACGATACTTTGAGTTCATTTGATTTTGCTGTATACTGTTGTTGTAATGTACATTTGACTTGTCGCAATAACATTACCGACTGAATTGCTTTTGAATAGCTACCGATGGATCGGTAATCAAACAAAAACACTGTCCATTGGGTTTTATAGGAGCAAAATGCGCAAGCGAACTTGCAGCATTTGGTATGGCTTCAATCGTAACAATTTTCTCGCAATACATCGTTCAGTCGAGAGATAAAGATTGCGTGTTCACTAAAAGCAAGCCCTTGGAAAGTTATATCGCGGAAAGTTCACGAAGTAGCTGTCTGGTCTGACATTTCTATATTAGAGCTAAGATCTGGAGCCCGAGCCCCAGCCCGACCCGACCCGACCCAATATTTCGGGTGGGGCGGGCCTGAAATATCGAGCATTGCGTTCGGGTCGGGTCGGGCCTATATTGTTAATCATCACGTTCGGGCCGGGCCTAAAATGTCAAACATTGCGTTCGGGTTGGGTCGAGTCGGGCCTGAAAAGTCAATAATTGCGTTCGGGTCGGTCCTGATTTGTCAATCATTAGGTTCGGGTCGGGCCTGAAATGTCAATCAATGCGTTCGGGTCTGGTCGGGCCTGAAAAGTCAATAATTACGTTCGGGTCGAGCCTGAAATGACAATCATTACGTTCGGGTCGGGCTTATATATCGCTGGATTTATAGGTAAATATATGTTTATTAGAAACTATTTTTCAGAGGGTTTCCAATTTCATGAATATTAAATTTCGAAATTTAAAGTTTCGTAGTTCTTTGGATGATGATGCTTATTCATTGCTTTTTAACGGCATACCTCGTTCAATTTAATGTGCCGCACAAGTGGAGTGCAGCGGGACATTTGACACACGTTTTTGAATGCCTCTTGATGATAATATGTGTGTCGCTAGGGAATTTCTTAGTTTGCCCAGTAAAACCTTTAGCTACCCTCTATCCATTAGTCCCGCATTGTCAAATGAATGTGCAGATTATAGAGCTCACAAAAAAGAAATATGTCCCAGCATTCCCCTATACTGTACTAAACTCTTGCAATGACAATTCGAAGAACTCCTAAATGAAATATGAAATTTCGGGCCTGCGAATCCAGTTAATTTATCGGGCCTGCAAAGCCAGTTAGTTAGTCGGGTCGGGCCTGCAAATCCATTTAATTAGTCGGGCTCGGGTCGGGCCTGCAAATTCAGTTAATTAGTCGGGCTCGGGTCGGGTCGGGTTTTATTACACACGGGCCCGGGTCGGGTCGGGCCTGCAAATCCAGTTAGTTAGTCGGGCTCGGGTCGGGTCGGGTTTTAATACCCAGGGGCCCGGGTCAGGTCGAGCCTGCAAATCCAGTTAATTAGTCGGGCTCGAGTCGGTTCAGGTTTAATACCCACGGGCCGTAGTCGGGTCGGGCTGGAATTTTTTAGCCCGATCTTACCTCTATTCTATATGTCGTTAGCTAATTTCAATTCAATATTTTTGCATTTCGCTAGTTCTGAAAATTTCGAGTGATTTTTCGAGTCGTAGACTCGTAATGTACCGACCCGTATGGAAGACATATAGTATATTGCTGAACTCGATTGAAGACTCCTCTGTTGTGTCATTCATTAATATTGATAAATGTAAGATCAGATGCACCGGAGCGCTCATGTGACACAGGGAACCTTTCCATCAATGAAAACGACTAACTCAAGCATAGGGTTTCGTTTTTTATCAATTCTATTCAATTATCAATCAATTCATCGTGTTTTAAAACAAGGGCTTGTTTTAAATCATTTTTTTTTTCTGTATTTTTTATTGAAATACCCCTTGCATCGCCGCGAAACTACGCCAAAACGTTGCATTCTGGAAGCTGCACACGCAGCCGGAATTAAAATTTTAAAAATGTAAGTAAAGAGGCGGCCGTGCTCTTCTAAATTCACGAGAACGGGATGTATACTTGATTTTTTTATTGTTCTCGGAAATGGAGGATATACGGGTGGGGAAAAAAATCGAAGTTATTCCAACAACATGATCATTCTTGCAACTTATATTCAATATTCTGTATGCAAATTTCTTGGACAGAGCCCCAACAGATCCAGCTACAATAATGTCGAAAAGGAGAGGTCAAATTAGTTTCAATACAACATAGTCAATATTTGTTGTATTTACGATAGATAACAGGTTTGTTCGAAAGTATCACTTGTAAAATGGTAAAACAACGATCAATTCAGCAATGTCTACTTAAGACTTGGCGATATGCATCTGTAAAGTAATATATGTGCTTGTTTTGGAACTTTAGTGTCCGAGTCTGTGATTGTGGATATTGGGGAGGTTTTGAAAATGTTGAATGGAAAAAATATTGCGTATTCCCACCTACCCTGTGTGGAAATGGTGATACCTGTTGTCTTCACAGTCAATCACTTGTAAAACTATGCTAGATAAGCGTCATACTATCTGATATCAGTACAGCAGTTGCACACCCGGATTTTGTTGCTATTTTTTAAAAGGCAACACACAATTAGCCCGATCCCCTCAGACAGTCATACGAGGCTCAACTTTCAGTGATATGCAATTATTCATCTTGTTGTAGAATATATACTTAAAAACAGTTCGTCACACCAACCGCAGTACCAAACTTTTTATCTCTGGCCGAGCTTCGATACCAATTAGTACTCATGTAAAATGGTAAGAGGCAATTCAGATATTGAAACGTCACGTGATGAAGCAGATCATATGATTATCCATCCCTTTGCTGTCATACCAGTGGGCACTGCTGTTTTTAATGCAGATGATACCGATATTTTCGTAATGCTTCTTCATTTTTGCAATCTAATGTTAAGATTTAATGGCATCCCCGATTCTAGAATGGCAAATGATGAATATTTTCAAATCAATCGAAAACCACCAAGCAATATTACCAAACGTACTTCCAATACATGGTTTGAATGAATGTGACACTGTGGCCACATTTCGTGGCATTGTAAAATAAGCAGAAACTATTATTCTTCAAAACAACAAACACATCCTATGGGATGAATGTCATCAGAAGCTCGGCAGAAATCCTATAGGTTCATAAACAAGTGAAACTTGATGCATGAGTATGAAACTGAGCGTTACTACGTACAACCGAAGCACTCGGGGAAAATGTGTGATGTCCTAGTTATCTAAGTGTTTGACTCAACTATACTGGCAGGTGCACATATCGGATTCACATATCCTCCGCCAACACAAGTATATATCTAATTAGGTAGGCAATGCAGAACCGGAAAGATTGCTGGGCGCACTTCTAATTGGAAATTTGGAAGAGTGCTCCGTTTGAAGTATTTGCTTTATATAAATTACATTACTTGTGGTTAGTCGATGTAAGAAGACAATAAATTGCTCATTTCCATAACTGTTCCTAGACATGTAAAGGCCGAATCTCTCAATTAATTTTACCTAATAAAATATTTTCCCAGCACTGAAGCTTCATGTATGAAAAATAACATACTCTGGGAAAACATGTGAAACGCGACAGAATACGGATCTTGCCTTATATAAGTGAAATAAACTACCATTCGTGATGCTAAAACTAAATTTCTGACATTACAAAAAGATTCAATGTAATTATATATTCAGAAATAGGCCATGTAGTTCTGAAATATTTGTCTATATAAACAGAAAGAGAGTAAATAATATGAAAAAAAAAACAGATTTTGGGTTGACTTTTTGCATACGTATGCAAATGAAAACGTATATAGAAAAAAAAAATGCTCAACAATATAAGATCCACAGCACCCACCGTCATCATTATTTATGTGATCAAGATTATATCTAAACAATAAAATAAACTTTATGTCCCAGAACGAGATTCGTCCCTGACTCTGCCGGACTAAGATTGTCATTATTGGGCTGCCCTGTTATGTATTAGGTAATGAATGTTAACACCAGAGTCTGTTGCTGTCCAAGTACTTGATTTTTTCGAAAAAATGACACTTCCACCCATCACCATTCAAATCGTTTATTTTTCGCCAAATCAATCATTATCTGGCGTCCTTAGATGGCAGTGAGCATACAACCAAACTCCTTTTTTTGTAGTCAATGTTCAAAGTAGTCAATGTTCTTCAGTAGCGTCATCGAACAAAGTACGTTCCATTACTTCAACATAATCATTCCACTCCTCTCTTGTCGGAGGTGTTCGTCGCCTGCAACAAAATATAAAGTTCCATTGGAAATATACGAGATATCGAATTTTTTGCTCTGTTACTCACTCGACATAGCCTGCTTTGTGTATACACACACCCATACAAACGTATTAGAAATAAATAGGAATATATAAAAGTTCACTTTGATTCTTAAAAACTTCAGCATGCACTTTTTCAGATTACCTTCGGCTATACATCATCACCTATAGATCAGGCTTGGAGAACCCTTGTTTATTGAATGGCTATAACGGTATACTTTAATAGTAGCTCATTAATTGTTGAATAAAGTAAGATCGGTTATATTATCAATTTTCATCAGTAAAATGTTGGTGTTGCTTTTCTACAATTCGTGACTTGGCGGATCACCAAAAAATGGGGTGAGTCACTTTGTCATCCACGGGTTACCTATTCGCCATCCCTGACCTAGATGAACAAACGGCAGCTAAAATAAAAACCCATTCATTTTGTTCCTTTTACATTAATATTTACATCACACTATGTTTGTTTGTTGTGATATAAGTAATTGATAGAATTAAATACATTGATTGCTGTATAGAAATACAAGGTGTGTAAAAGTGATGTAACCTATGACTTACCCGCGCATGGGAAACCTCCAACGGCCGCGGCCGGGAGGTCCAAAACCACCAGGATGAATATGGTGGTGATGTCGTCTCCAACCTCTTCCAGGAAAGTGTGGATGTCCAGGATGCGGAGGCGGGTGATGTGGTGGAAGAGAATGTCGATGATGCGGAGGGGGGGTGATGTGGTGGAGGAGAATGTTGATGATGCGGAGGGGGGTGATGTGGTGGAGGAGGATGTCGATGATGCGGAGGGCGGCGATATGGTGGAGGAGAATTTCGATGATGCGGAGGGGGGTGATGTGGTGGAGGAGGATGTCCAGGATGCGAAGGCGGGTGATGTGGTGGAGGAGAATGTCGATGATGCGGAGGGGGGTGATGTGGTGTAAAACCGTGAAGGTGATGTGGTGGAGGCCACTGCCAATGTGGATGAGAAGATTCACTGTTACAATGTTCACTCAATTCAACCGCTGATGCGTTACAGGACGTCGCTTGGTGATCCAGTGGAAAATCGTCATTCTGAGGTCGATCGCCCGATTGAATTTGACAAACTTCCATCGATATTTTGTCATTGGTCGTTGGTTTTGATATTTGACTTCGGCTTTGTCTTACATCTCCTTTTGGGTGGAGAGTTATGCTTTGAAAAAATTTAAGCATATTATGAGTCTGTAAATTCTCTGCGCCCCGAGAAGTACTGCTATCTGAAAATGATTTTTCATCTTTTTTATCAGTTTTACCCATTAAATTGTTGGTGGACTCATTATTTTGTAATCCTTCATCTGATATTAGTTTGATGCATTCTGGCGATTCTTTAACTAATTTGTCACGTTTTATTATTTCTTGAATAAATTGGGCAGAAAATAATGTTAGATCTAAAAGTTTGAACAAATTAGGAAATAAATTTGTTCTCGAATGTTCATGTTTCACCCACTTTAAAACTGCTTCCCACTTGACCTTCTCGGAAGTACAAATGACCTCAGGATCTCCTAGGATACTCAATACGTCATCCACTTCCAGTTTATTCCATTCTTCATTTTCAGTTATACTTTCAAAGTTTTCCCTCATGAATATATGAACCTCACCTTTAATTGAAGATGTATTCACATGATTGCAAGTTTTTGACAGGTTGTAAACGATGAATACATTATCCACATCAATCCATGATTTTAAGTCTTGTGGATGCAAAAATAGCTTATTCTCAAGGATTTCTTTACACTGCTTCGATTTCTGGAGATTTTTGTTTGTCCACATAACCTTCAAAATAAATGTGTTCGAAATATCTCGTTTAAAAAATTGTTGTAGAAACTCAGCGAGATGATGCTTTCTCGCTTTGGAATTGTACTTTATCCATGAAAGAACACCCTGCCAGAGAAGCTCATGACTGACATTTAATTTACCCAAAAAATCTAAAATGTCAGCTTTAGTTACTGAAGCAAAATCCTCCGTCAAAATAATTTCTTCAAAATTCACTTCGATAAATGTTTCACAACTTTGAGTTAGATCATCGAAGGAATATAGGCAAGCAATACTTCTTATACAAAATACTGTGTCTACTGATATGTTATTTTTCATGCTATCAAGACAGATTTCGTTCAATATTTCTAGTTGCATAAAACGAGACACATGGAGAATGCTTTGTACTTCATCTATTTTCACTTCTGCCTCGCCATTATACATAAAATATATTGCCTTCTCCACAGCATTTTCGTCTACTTCTTTCAGTTCGACTATTCCTTCTTTTGATTCTTTCATATCGTGTGAAAGCATTGCCTTGAAGTACTCTGAACACGCCGCCAGTACCGTCCGGTGTACGGGAAATAAGCACCCTCCTACTTTAATTTTAAAGTCACAAATGACTGTATTCTTTCTTAGCGATTCGACGGATACAAGAAAACTATTGGCATGTCTAGTTTTGTAAGAAGTCGCTGCCATTGTATCCGTTACTCATTGAACATATATATACTCCAGTATGACACAAAGCATAATATGCTACACCGAATGATGTTAAACCAACAGAGCATAGAGCGTTTTAGATAATATTTAACCAATAAATCGCCCAATTGTCGAGACTAACGTAACGCATTTCAGCGAAGACGATTCGTTCCAGTTCTATAGCTAATAATCTGTATATATCCAATACCGCTGAAGTGTTGATAGAATCACGTATTGTCGTATTTAGAACAAAAAGATGGGGGTATAAAAACTATTTTCCGGGATTTGAGATTCAAGACAAGATTGAGTTCCAGTCGCAATACATGATAGCATGAGTTTATATACATAGACATAATATGCGAATTCAAGGTCCGCTGAGTACTATACATTCTACTGACTGTTTGAAACAGGAATTTATAGATTTCCTTTTACCGGTGTGTCCTGTGTACGCCCTCTAGCAACTCATTTATCCGTCTCTTTTGCTCCGTAAAACAAGAGGCTTAATCGAAAAATTTGTTATTCTAGGTCAAAAGAACCCAAAACTAAATATTCATTTTGGGGAACAACACGAAATGTAACGGAACTTTCTAATAATTGTAAACACTACTTGTTTTGACATATTTTTGTATATTTATCTATTGAAATGAATTTACGAGCTATTTGGTCATCATATAATTTATTTCATTTGTTCCTGTATATGGAATGGATTATAACAAAAAAATCAATCAAAAAAAACAATGGAGGTATGTTGAAAATCAAATGAAACATTTAAGAAAAAAAAATGGTATATTTCTAGAAAATATAAACATTTGTCTATTGCCTAAAACGTGTGTTTTAATTAGAATGCTTAACTTTCAAAATGCTAACATTCACACTGAAGTTTGTTCCAATTGCTTTTAATTTTATTTCCCATGATATGTATCAATACATCAGCGTCCGTCATGATTTGATCTTCTCCACATTTCTAGTATATATTTACAAACAGGCTGAGGAATGTCTTTTGCATTTTTGTTCACATTGGTGACTCATTCTCCTCTTCAACTTCGATCTTCCTCTTACTGCGTTTCGGAACACCAAAACGAAAAGCTTTTATCGGCAGGAATGGCATAAACAAATCTGGGTTTGCTTCTGAAGGCTTATTGAATCCTATAAAATAACGAAGAAAACTGTGATCATTTTTACCCAAACATACGCTATAGGTAATAGCTTTCTGCTATCCATATTGAATATATTGTTATCTCCTCAACGATCAGATTAGTAACCATTGTAACATCTCGTGTTGGTTAAAAGATGTATCAAAAATAAATTCATAATGTAATTATACTTGCCAGAAATAAGAGAAATAACATGGCCAAAGAAGACAGTCACTAAGAAACCCCAAACGCCATAAAGAAACGGTGACATAGAGTAGAAAGTTGTGTTGATTCGAGGATTATAACTGAAAATAAACGAAAATTTTTTATAAATACATATATATATATATATATATATGTGGCTCGTTTTATAAATCATGTCAAAGCGAGAAAAACTATTAAACCTTTCAGTAGTTGTGAAATTGTATCCAGATCCCTCAAATGACGTTGTGGTCGGCGTCATGTAGGTTGTTGTCATATTCATGTCTGTGGCTGATGTAGGTAGCGCGGTGCAGTTGTCTATCGAGATCTGTAACTGTTTGTTAGATCCTTCGTATTGGGTAACGTACATTGCAGTTAGCCCGACCCAAGTTGCTGCTGCCCAACCTAATATCAATCCAACAAGTGCCCCCTACAAAAAAATATAGAAACGAAAAATCTCAACTTTTGTCTCATGTGAGATTTATATTGAAAAGACTTCAAAATACATAACTGATTGCATATTTGCTTGTATTGAACTGAGCCAAAAATGCTGAAAAAATATGGGTGTATTTTGCGCTGCGCTGTTGCTCAACGTTCGAAAGCCACGATCGTTCCTAAACATTGCTATCAAGAAAACAACTACCTTTTTATTAATTATTGTTTATCCTTAATAATTGTAAAAATCTAACCAAGTAGTTGATCCAAGGAAAGAACAGTCCCATCGTGAATATACCGATCATTGGTCCTCCAATAAAGCCTGATATTGAAACCACTATTTCAATGATATTTGCGTCGGAGAAAGATATTATGTATGCCAGAGCCATGACAAGCAGTCCAAAACATAATGCTTTGAAACAGATAAGAAAATATGTCGAAGTAAATATTATATATAGACAAGAGGAAATGGTTATTAGTATATAGTTTAACACAAACACAAAATACACAATATATTTGGCCAAATTTAGATATTTGAAAATAGTGCCTGGTATTCAAGTTTTCATAGAAATTTGAAAAAATTTATTTATGATATATTTTAATGGTTACTGGTAATAGGTTGATCAAATGGGTTCTATTGTTCTGCAAAATATTTATTGTCAAAATTATTGAAATTAAAAGACAGTTAGTCGCTAATTAATGTAATGTATCTTACTTAATCCCTTGCTCAACCAAACTTTGATTCTTGGTGACATGTTGGGAAAGAATGGCGATATAAAATCCATCATTGTCAACGCTGACAATGCGTTGACTCCAGACGACACCGAGCTTTAAATGGCATAAAGCACTTAGATTTAATCATTTTTAGGATTATGAGAAATGGTTAATGTGGCATAGTTAGAAAACGTTACCCGCAATATGGCATTGTGGAACGATAATTTGATGCATTCTCTCAACATTTACATAATTGCTGAATTTTAGTTTTACAAATATAATTTACTATAACATATATTGTGAACATTTACCTGAGCGTTCCACAATATGCAGCTGATACGAACAATCCAGCCATTCCGGGGGCATGTTGAAATATTTGAAGAGCAAGTCGTGGAATAATTTGATCCACTTTTTCGACTATACCTGCTTTGTGTGGATCGCAGCCCTCAAAGAAAGCATACATTACCAATCCATTTGCTACCGAAATTAATGTGAAAAAGAATCCAGGAGCCAATGTAAGTAGCAATGCTCTAAACACAAATAAACTATGTTAATTTACTTTTAGCAATTAATTAAGTTAACAATTAATGAAGTTTCAATTGGAAAAATACAAATTTCATTATGATGAGACAGAATAATAAAAGATATTACATATACCTCCGTATTCATTGACATTTGAATACGAAGCTAATAATAATTGCTATGGATTTTGAACATTTTGGGTAGTCGTCGGAGAATCAGAAAAGTTTTCCCTCTGTTATTCCTGGCTAGAAAAATTACATTTTCATTCAATTTTAGCTTTTGTTTTACATATTTTGCTAGTGTGAAATATTAGGTATTATACTCTGGCATCGCATTTGATGTTACATCGATCACAAAATTTGTATACACATCATAATGTTAAGAATATTGGATGCTTAGCTGAAACGCAATCTTATCAATATTTGACCGAGGGCACTATATGTAAAGTTCATACTTCCCGTTGACATTATCGACTGTCGTACTTACATTCTTGCCGTTTTGACAGTCTTGCAAGATAGATATCTCTGAATGTAAACTTGATTACAACCAGTTTCAAAACATGCATTTAATCCCAGTCCAAATGCAACTGTCCAGAACGTGCTGCGAGTTCTTGGGTCAAAAGTGAACCTTTCAAAAAAAAGAAAAAATTAATTCGAGTGTAATGAACTGAACAGTAGGATGTCTGGAAATTTGTATAATACCTTGCTATCATGTCTCATTTGGAATCGCTGTCAACGATCGGCTTTTAGAATCCTCTTTGAATAAAGAGCGTTGCTCAGTATTATGCAAACTCCTATGGACATTACGGTATATAAAACATTCTGACTTGTCTCGAAGTAATTCAATTAAAAAGTTGAAAGTGATTTACCGTGATAATTAAAACGAATTTTATTATCGTAAATCAATTGTTAAATTGATAAAATTTGTTGAAACAAAACGATGTTTGTTTTTGAAACAAGTTTGTCTAGAATCAAATACCATTATTCGAAACTCATGTCTGCCCAAAGGGCTTCTTTCTGCAACACCATCGCCTATCGATAATATAATTTTATTTTAATTATAGATGATATAAAAAAGTGGCATTTAGTCTTAATCTCCCAAAGAATGTTGGTATTTTTTTTATCTGGTTTATTTTAGATTTCGATGGTAAATGTGATGTGTTGGGCATCCCTGGTTTTTACTGCATGTCCGCTAAATCCGATTAATAGAATGCACTTTTGTTAACCCGACATTATTGATTATATTTTAAATTGTACGTCAGTGCGTGGAATTGAAATTGAACATATTTTTGCATAGAATTATTTTTAGAAACAATAATTAATTAGTCTACTTGTAACTTGTAATTGTTGTTGGGCACATTGGTATTTAAACAGACTGAAATGAATTGAACATTGAATTGTAATTCTTATTTCGGTCGAAATTTGAGGATAAGTTTTTGATCAACATTTTTTAAACGTTAAACAAAATTCTCAATCTTTTTTAACATTTTTATAATTTTGATGTGAGATGATGGATAGTGAATCACAATCTAATGTTACCCTAATGGTAGATATTTTATTGGTGTTTTCAACGGTTTCCGCCAACATCATATTCTTGGTCACCACAAACGACGCTATTGCAAGAAAACATTGTTGCTCTAATCAATATTTAGTAACCAAAACGCCACAAAATATAGATTAATAGGGTGATTAGAAAACAGTATTGCTTTTGAAATGTATGTGTAACCCACGTCAAAAAATTGCTTCTTCCTCCTCTATCAGCTGCTTCTCTTAACGGTTCTATTCCACCTAATGTGATTACACCTTGAATGAAGACAGACAACATTCCAGCCATCATTATACCAGATTGAAACACATCCGTCCATATCACGGCTTTCATTCCTCCCTGTAACATGTTAAAAATAGTTGTTAACTATTAGTCTTGAAAGGAACATCTCATTTAATCTGTGTAGACATATAGTAACAGTTCATAAACCGTAATCTGATTCAAAACATCGATATCTGTATCTATTGAAATTTCAAACATTAGAAAAGATTTGCCAAGAAAGTTTAAATGAAGAAGTGAGGAAAAATAGCTTGGACCAACCCCATTTGTTATGTAAGTATACAGCAAATAAAAGATCCGATATACCTACTTACCATTGCTCTTACTATTCCCGACAATTTTCCTCTAGGCATTCATTTCAAGTTCCCGTTTATTTTAAACTAATCTTGAAATACTGTAAACTTACCACGGCTGTGTAAAACGTGCAGATAACACTGGTTAAGGCTATTGCCCAGTAAAGACTAAGTGGAGTAACAGCACTCAGTGTCAGTGATGGCATGTAAATCACGACTCCCAAATAAAGAATCTAAACATAAAGTTGAAAATGTTGAAAACCCCAAGTTTCCATCGTTTTCGAGGTTGGTAATCGTAATTTTTAACCTATTTTAGTGTTTTAATAACAGGGTTATGTATCAAGAAATCAAAATTTTTATACCAGATTCAGCATTGCAAGTAATGAGGCAACCTTTCTTACGCTGACATGAAATCGTAGTTCAAGGTACTGAAAAAAAAAAACATTATAAATATTGATTGACGTGATTGAAAAATATTTAAGCAATCTAGATAAAATTATGATCCACAATCCATTTATTTATCGATGTAACTGAAGAATGAAAAATCCAATTTCAACAGTAATACAAAGCACAATTAAACATTATATATATCCACTTTACGTACCTCATACACACTTTTCAATCGCAATCTGTGATACACGGGAATATAATATAAAATTGCAATGATTGTTGCAATGAGCTGAGCTATAGTATTCCACGCAAACGTTGTTCCGTGCAAATATACTTCTACTGGTAAACCGATAACAGCAATTGCAGAAACAAATGACACAATGAGCGATAAAGCTACTGGAATCTGAAATCAAAGGAAATAGAGAAGTTTATAAATAAAGTTGGAACGGTCATTTTCAAGGTCGTTGGCTTTGAAACTAAATTAATATTTTCTTAGTTTCCATATTTTTTAAGTAATGTGTAAGGAAAATACATATGTTATGCTTTTCTTTACCATACCGAATTAAGTTGGCTTCCAATGACACAAAAATGTCATTTCGCACACAATCTTTATATTCACCAAAAATTAAGGACTGAAATTCGGGCCTATATCACGAGTAAACTATCTTAAGCAAAGAACCCTTGTAGCCTATTCACCAAACTAGTTTACCATTTGCAATGTATCTGTAGCCTATCAATAATAATGGGGAACTCACCGGATTCGCTTTTCTTCCAGCAAAATAATAGTTATCTGTAGAATTATTTGATCGGTCTCTAACAGCAAAGAATATTCCAATGATAGTTGAAATCAGGAGCATTGCTAAAAAAAACATCATATTTATTTCATTTTTTCATGGAAGCAAAGGATGTTTTGTATTTTTTAAATATATAGCCCATATATTTTATTCTTTCTGATGAAAAGTAAGGGATATGACGTTAGCTTCGAAAAGTTTTTTGATGGAAGTTGTATCACCACAATGTGATAAACAAAAACAGATTCTAATCTGTTTTCTGTTAAGATTTGTTTCGAATCAGACTTCAAAACAAAAGAGAGAATAAAGGGGAGCTAGTACTAAAGTGCTTTGTGCAATCCTGCTTGATGGTAATGTTATTATTCAATATAAAATGAACATAATAATAGGATGGTTTACGTACACTTTGCGTAACAATATATTGACGTTTTCGTGTCAGAATAAGGTTTTAGCAATCCAATTTAGATTTTGTAAAAATTACAAAAATATTTTTGAAATTTGTTTCAAAGGCATTTGAAATTCTGTACAAACAAGCCGTATTTAAAAATGACTGGTTATATTATTCCGAAACATCTTTTGATTCATTCAATTGCCATGTATGCACATTTTAAATATTCTGACGTGTTATGGTGCATAATTCGTAGAAAATTATGCCAAATAGTGCCAACCGATTTGGTCCTAATAGCTCTACTCGATGTGCGTGCAAATGGAACAAATTAAATACCCCGGAAGAGGGATGCATAAAATAAAAGTACAGCAGTAAATATTAATTTGAAAAATACATTTATAAAGGTTAGAGTTCTATGACCCTATTTAATAATATAATTATACTTGTAAAACAGTGCGGAAATTGAATAAGACACAAACGTTTGTACTTATGTGTGTTAGATAGTGACCTTTGCCTTATTGGGGGCTGAAAATACCGAGAAGTCATGTACAGTAAAAAGGTATAAATAGGGGAAATAAATCAAAACATTTATTTAATCGAAATGCACAATATCTTTCTGTTCGATTTAACTTAGATTATATTTATATATGTATATATATATTACTTTATATAAAAATCGTGTTATCGACAGCTGTTTTTCTATTTTAAATTTGGATTGTAATGTACAGTAATTTGCTTCGTCTAAAAATAAAATATGAATCCAAAAATGTCGCTAGTCGCTAGAAAAAATAGTTTGCATAATTAGAAGGAATGATTACTCATGACAATAGAATTTTATCAATACCCTGACCACAAATATTTGTTTATTTTTTATAATGTAATGTATATCATTATATTCAGGATTCCATGGAACAGTTGAATTAGATAGAGTTAGTTGAAAAATCATGTTAATATTAATGCGCTGGGTTCTCTACTGTTTTTAGAATACATGTTTTATTGAACCCTACAGTTTTCTTTTATTTTTTATTGTATATACAATGTATGAAAGTATTGGTTACAGGAAGCAAAGTATTTTGGATAATTGTTTGATACTCAATCTTACTTTCACATCATTGATTTATTAGTATTACGCATCTGTTGTTTCATTAATCTCTTATTTGCATGTTGCAAGAAATGACATTCCACTGTTGTTCGCCGTGACACGGACCGTTGCCAAATTACCTCAAATGATGAATTAAAACTTGAAATTCGAAATGAATACCAAATATAAAAATATACTGATCATAAATTACTTTACTGTCATCTTCCTCATAACATTGTTTGAATATTTTCATTCTGAAATTCTAAGGGCTGATTAATAAAAATCTATACTCAAGTTGGAGCCCCTCTTAAATGCATCACATGTTTTTAAAAAAAAAACTAGTTTTCATGGTTTAACAATACATCTTCGATGATTTAAAAAAAATACAGATGCAAGTTATTTATTGTTTTTTACCAGCACGTTTTTAAAGACTCACTGCGGTATAATTTTCTATACTGTGATAATTGTGCCATTATCAGAATAAAAACAGAATACATGACGGAAGGCATTCAGTTTACTGACTAAACAAAATAACTGCAGTCATTCACGGCAGAAGTGTCATAGGTGAATGCATATACCGTTTGCTCGCTTTGCAATGATTCAATGCTTGAAGTATGCTAAAGTTTGAAGTATGCTAAATTTATACTATAGTACAAGCATTAAATCACGTTCCAAAACGTACAAATAGACTTACCGCCAAAAATGACGAAATCTGCTGGATGAAAATAATCTTCAGAATTATCCATGGCAACGTGTTAATTTGCAACAATTTTGCACAAAATAGCAGTTCCGATTAATATACTGTAAGTAAAACTGTTTTTACAATATAAATAGTAGTTATATATGTTATATTTAAGGTTACATACTTACTATATTTTCTGGTACTGCGATCTGTTTAGGAGATATAAAATATTGTTGGTAACTAAACGAAATACTTATGACTAAGATTTTCAAAGTTTGGCACGCTTATTTCAGGTTATTTGCTTCTCATATCAATTCTCTGAAAATAATTTTTCATCGTATCGATTACTGGCGGTCTTTCAATTCACTATTAATTCGTCGGTTCCTGTACTTGTTGATCAGAAAAACAATATACGAGATTCATGCATGTATATTTAAAAACTATTTTTAAACCCATACTCGAATAAAACCTCCGGTTGCAAGATTACTTTGTCAAAACAACACGATGAGATTTTTGAAATCGTTTTCATTTCAACAATGAAGAATTTTTTTGATCGTTCACGGCGTGTTTGCTTAAATTTCAAAGGTTTCCTAGGCTGAAAAAATTAGTATAGTACATTGCAGTAGTGCGGCATTTTTTCGACTCAGCAGCAATCAAAAAATATATAGTGAATGAATAGCCTGGAAGCTATCGATAAACTCAACATATAGTGACTCTTTGACATCAGCATTCACCAGCTGCGCACTTGGCAGTCTCGCCAAAACGTGAAGCATCAAATGCTCACTGACAGATATTTATTCTCTTGCAATTGCTCGAATTCAATTTATAACACCCGCGGTATGGGCTAGTTTTTCCAAGAACTTAGTGCGACGAAATGCATTTGGTAATGCAATAATAAAAACTCGACCTCCCGATATTATTTGCTCATTAGCGTATTTCCTTTCGCTATATGTATGCACCAAATATTACCGGTGCATATTATTTATATATTTACTCATGGTAAATTGATGACAAAACGCAATAGAAATACCCAGAAATATACTATTCTGTCGGCAAATAATTTATCAAGAAGACAAGCCTTATTTCTAGATTTCTGCAGTCTGCAGTGAGAAATGACCTCATATGTTACGCGTAACTTCAATAGCTATACACAAGTTCTTAATTACAGTACATCTATTTTTACCAACGTTCTCAAACCGAAAAGAAAAATACTTGCTGCACTATACAGTGTAATTTTAAATAACTAATCGCCTGCAAAAATGCTTGCAAAATAGATACAACAAAAATAGGCTCTTGTAATGGCGCGCGCACTAGCCCAAAACGAAAAAAAAACTAGATTTACAGAGGAAACGTTGTAAATCGTTGTTGTTGTTTTCATAGTAGGTTGTACCGATTTGTAGATATAATTTCGTGAAACCCTAAAGATAGCTTGTTACGTTCTCAGATGAATAATTCTTGAATGTCAACCACGATAACCAAATGCACCACTTTAATGTGTACTTGATGATGCATATATCTTAATTAATTCCGCTGCGTGGTTTTTTATCGTTTCCTGAAGTCGTAGAAGTTTGGTTTGGTCTGTCATCTAGAGACAAGGCCACAGGTGGGTGGCGGACTGACATATCAAACTCGTGAACACTAACTACATCACAAACTGTTTAATATGTGATGCCAACTTGGGTACAATAATGGGCGTTCCGGAAGTATTTGTACCAAGATGACGCACAACCTGAACAACCCTAACCTGATACACATACAGAGTTCAGGTTGTACGCAATCTTGGTACGAATACTTCGGGAGCACCCAATAATGTTTAAACAAATAGGCCATCACTCTCGTATTTTCTGCAACATGGCTTTTGGACCTCAGCTTTTTTTTATCATTTACATAAAATATATTTATTGTACTGACTTTTGTACTATTTTTGCTATCGACAACTAACAAACTTATTTTGAGTCCATTTTTTAACTTTTTGCTGCTATTATATAGAACCTTTCAATTTTGATTGATTGTACTGAAAAAGAATTGACCCTTTATCGAAGAGTCAACATACTTTTCAATATCCGGTTTCTATTCCGCCATGATATTCGAATCAATTCATTAACAACACTGTAGTCGATAAAGGAAATATTGGATTAATTTTGAATATACTTTTAAAACAGATCATACACTGCAACAGCATAAAAAAATCCCCAGAGAAACATTATTGGGAAATGGTATGAATTTGATAAAATCTCACTAGCAAGAATTTACATTGAATTCAGCAATCCTGTTTATTGACTTGCTTTTCCGAATATTTAGATTGAAGATGTTGAAGCCTAAGGCAACAGATTCGTCGTTGATGTAGATTAAATTTGAGACTTTGTATGAATCTGTGCCAACGTACAAACAAAATACTGTGCGCTGCAACATTTATTCTAACAGCCTAAGGACAGAAACAAAACACCTCACGATTGCAATTTTTATTCAAAACAAGGAGTTTTTGATTGTAGCAGAGTTCTTTTTACATACTACCTTTGATTTTTTTTTCATTTTTAATCGAATTGTATCCCCATAATTACGAATCAAAAGTCAAGACCATTATCAAAGTGAAACGAATTGACGAACATACTTCTGTTAGATCGGGAATAATTACATACTCTTTTAATAATGTATTTTAAAGGATTTAGAAAGCTTTTAAATGTTTTAGGGAATCTTTAGAAGCAAAGTAAATATGGAAAATAAAATACTGAAAATCCTACAAGCGAAAGCCTAACATACGCTACCCTAACACATGTACGCTATGCGAACGTGAACGTAGGGAGAATATCAAAATGTGCCAGCGTATCGAATCAATCATTGCAACAAAGTCAGAAACAATTGGCATGGATTTATAGGTCCAACAGTATTGATCAAGTACACAAATGTTTCATAAAGCTTACATACATTCGTCAGTATTCGAGTTGTTAGAGGTATTATCTTTGTTAAATATTCCTGACACGAATCCATAAACAAAAATCTGAACTAGAACAAATATTTCAAAATCCATAAGGTTTAAACGAAACTCAAATAGTACGATTTTTCAATTCATTCATTCTCCTCAGTATAATATATAAAATTGTTGCTATTATATCATATTAAAAAAGGGTGTTCCAGAAGTATGCATAGCAAGATATCGCACAACCTGAATCCTACCGGTGCACACATACTATGTTCAGGTTGTGCGCCATCTTGGTACGCATACTTCAGGAGGTCCAAAAAACATTCCTTGTTGATTTGAACCTCAAGAATGAACCCACTCGAACTTTTGAAACAAGTGATTCTTCAAATTTTGCCGGACGGAGTATTGCATTATAAAATGAATGAAATCCAATATAAGCTAATATTGCTATCCATTAATTACTCTACTTATACATCTCATTCAGCGAAATGAAACACCGCTTGGAAATTACCGGAATTCTAATTCATGAATTAATACATTTGAGTCTGGTCATTCCACATTGAAAGCAATTAAAACAGTGAATTAACGACCAAGTAAGTATCATCTCAAAAATTAGATTACTAGTATTGACAGATACAAGATACTCACACTGCAATTCGTACTAATAAAGAGCCCAAAATAAAAAATAAAATGAAAATCATTTAATATTTTGGGTCTGAAATTAATTGCCCTTATTGTATTATTTCATAGTAACTTTTTCGGTGTTTTCCAATTTAAATAGTAAATTTAAAGTTCTCATTGTCAGGCGTGACTGTGATTTTTTACCACGCCACTTCATAGCACAAATCCATTGTGACGAGTGAAAATATCTGAAAACAGGAGGGCACATATATGGACAAAAAGGCTAAAGCGAAGTAGTCAAACTATTACAGTACCGGTAGTCTAAGTACGAGATTGCTGAAATGTGGTCACGGAACCACGGCACGGTGTGCATTTTATTGCTTTGTTGACGCCATCACACAAAAATTCAATGTGAAAATGAATTCCATAGGGACCACAGGAAATTTTGAAATGAATAAAAGTAATAGTCTTCTAGCGACAGTAACAATCATTAACCACTAAAAATTCGAAGCAATCAATCCCGCAGTTGAAGAAAAAGGTGAGTTTTTCACAACAACAAGTCGTTTAATTAAGTTAGTACAGTTGGTACTAATACTATTTAGTACAGGAAAATCATGATTTAATGTTGTTATTGTTTGCATTTTTGAAATTAGATATACTGTCTTCAGAAACCCGCTACTGTAACCACTCCTAATTCCGTTTCTATCATTACACTACTTTTTTCACATATATATATATATTCTTCTATGTCGTACTCTGTGCATGTAGACTGGGTATTTCACCGGATGCAATAGACTTCAATCAAAGTTGTGGAAGGCATTTTGTAGAGACTCATCGTAAGTGATTAAGTTGCTTATAATCTACAGGCAGCTTTATGATATGCATTATATTTGTCTACAATAAGGTTTTATTATTGATTGTGTGACTTTGTTAGGGTTATACAACCGTAATCGGATGGATGAGAACGTATTATGTATCTGAAAAAAATGTTAGATTGTTTTGAGCACAGATAAATTGATATGCATTCTTTCAACTGTTCAATCGATGTTTTCACCCTGCCAGACCTAAAATTATCATCTCATTTTGCGGCTTTCCATCATCTTCCTGGGGAGCGTGCATTGATAAAAAAAAATATGAAGTGTGATAACGTCGGCACGAACCATACCAAATCTATCTGTTAAAAAAGCAAAATGAAAAGTTTAAAAAAGCACCGTTACATATTTATATTTTTTCGCTACCGTTGCTCACTTGTGTTGCTAATTCGGGCATCAGACTGCAGTATATCATAATTTCTGACTCTTCAGCAACTCAATAGTTTATGTGTTTTCGGCTTTTTGAATATTATCAGTTGGGCATCCATGTCAGTCGAAATCCAAAATTATCTAACATCAGTATGAGAAATGTAATCTGCTTTTAATTATGGACACTAGGTTGTGTCCTTCGCAATATGTGTTTTTAGTAGGTCTATAGCTGTGCCAGTCTGGCGATATCCATACAGTTTTAGATTCAATTCAGTAGATCCATACTGGGTGAACTGATTTTTTTTATTCGAAACTTGAAACGAATATTATTTACTTGTTTTGTTTTCCCAAACATAATTTAAGTAAGCAAACTTGGCTGTCTGTGCCGACCTATAATCTGGCATCCTTGATTTTACCCGCGCTTCGCTCTCTTTTTTCTGGGCGTTTAGAAAGCGAACCTCTGTCACGGAGCTCCGAAATATTATTATTTGTAAGCGACTACTTTTCACGTTTTTTTTATTTGTTTTATATTTAGTTAATATTTGGAGTGATGTTTATATAAATAGATTAAATTGTGTGCAATTGCCGGAATAAACTGACCTACTGATGTCCATTAAGAACGTTTAGAATGGCACATTCCGGGTTGGGATTAGTTCTAAAAGTTTTTCACCTGGTTGTCTCAACTCGTAGTCTGTTGGAATATGTTTGGTTCACCGATTATAGATATAACTTGTGCTATCAACTACCTAAGAATATGGAGTGATTTAATGTACGGGACATACAAGATATACATGAACTAAAATTAAACGTTGCAAAATGATTTCGACATATTTTTATTGATTTTTTCAGAAATGGTTTCAGCTATTTCCGCGATTCATATTTTCTTCGTTGGCTCTGACAAGGCAGACACAGACAATATATGACGTCATAATATACTAGGTCTCGTCTGCACATTTCATCAGGGTGAAATATACTATAACAGTTTCCCAAGTTCCAGATAAATTCTGGTGAATAATTGGAATACAATACGTAGCGACAATTTTTCCATTGGATCCTCCACAGTTGAGGGTAATGTTGGAAAGCACAAAAAGTTTGACTCTTCACTCAAGGGTTTCATAAAGAAAATAGGAATACGTATATATATATATTCATATACATTGCTTAATGTTACAAGGGGTCAATAATAATATTGATAATAATTTCTTGGAACAGCTCACATCTTACGTAAAGTACTTTCTATCAACTGATGACTTTGGCATGACCTCAGGAACTTGGAAAGTTTCCGGTCGCCAGAAGGTTAAAATAATAACATAAAAAAAGAAACTAAGAAATAATAATAAAAGCATTTTTTCATATATCGTGTGAAGGCTCAAAATTGGCGCAAAGAAAATACAAAAATAGACATGATAGCTTAGCAAGAATTGCTTATTGGGAACTCAGCGACCACGCCCAAGAAAAACTACAGAACTATGCTAATGTTAAGATTTCATGGGATTTTAACATACAAACAGACCACGTTATTACCCACAGAAGACCTGATATTGTAGTAATAAATTCATCCGGAAACACATGTTTGATAATCGATATATAGCAGTTCCGGCCGATCATCGTATTTTATTGAAGGAAAAACTTGTAAAATATCAAGATCAACGGAGAGAACTTAGAAAAATGTGGAATATAACGACGAGATTTATACCTGTTGTTGTTGGAGCATTAGGTGCAGTATCAAACGAGCTGGAAGGGTATTTGAAAGATATGAATTTGCCTAGTAGGCTATTTTGGGAAGTGCAAGAATACTGAGAAGGGTACTTGAAATCTAAAGGCGCGAGCGAGGCGTGTCACGTTTTCAAGAAAATATACACGAGTCAAAGAACTGCGAACAAATTTGTAATAATTTAATATTTTTGCATCATGCACGAAAGTATTTGCGATTACACCCTACTATCCACGTTGATATTAAACACGTTCATTTATCACCTTCCCACGTCGATTTTCATAACAATTTCATAATTGAAAGACTCAATGAATCAAAACAATTGTTCTAATCGTATAAATAATATTTCTTCATATTTTAATGCTAAACAATGCAATGAAATCAAAACTTTTTTCCGTCTCGTACCATTCAAAAATTATGCTCGCCCAGAAAAAAATAGCAATGCCCGTATTTTAAAAAATAATAATCTCAAAATTATTTCATGAAAATTTCTGTCATGAGAGAGAGATAATAAAGGAAACAAAAATAGCAGTTTAATATTTCAATCATTATTCCTGGCAACATACTTTGTTGTTGTTGTTTTTTATAACTTCTATAAAATATGTAACCGAATATCTCGACTAGGTAGTAAACATCTCTCACAAACTGGGTTTGTCAAATACATATATTTACAAACGAAACTCAATAATTGAGTATTTTGTAAGAAAACAATGTCATTCGTTCTTGCCACATAAGTGACAAGCTGAGTCAACACATTCCCGAAGTTGACATGTTGTATTTCCGACGCGAAGCCTTTCAGGACAAAGATTCAGTTCATCCTAAACCGAATATATGAAAGATCGTGAATGTATTCTGCGACGATTAGTGCTGCGCTCGTGGAATTATGTTATCTCAATTGAGAACAGGGTTAGAAGTACAGCGCTCAACAAAATTTTCTCAGAGGATTTATAAAGAATAATTAGTTGACTGTTTGACTTAATTGATAAATTGTGTTGTGAAGATGCAACATCTTGCATAGTAGAAATAAATCAGGGCGTAATTAGTTCAGAATTCATTCAAATCCAAAACTTTTGCTCATAAAATTTAAATGGTACTGTATTGAAACAGTATGATTTAAGTTCTAATTCCAAGTTCAATATCGAATATTGTAAAGTATGGACCCAAACTTGGATTTTTGTGGAATAAATATATAGCGCGCAAAACGGAAGGTTTCGGTTACCTATATTATTTTAATGCATTTTTTATATACAGAAGATTAAAAAGATATTATTATTATTAAATAGAGAAACATTTATAATACCAACGGAACAAATTAGACCTAATATCATGATTTTGGTATTGAATTAACTAGAGTCGATAGACTACAAAAACTTTGCAATATAAGTTGGATTACAATTATGCGGAATCACAAATCTAACCGGTCCGTGCTATTTTTAATTTTAAAATATAGGTGATATTTGACCTACGTTTGATTATGATAAGTGCAAGAGAAGCAACGTAATATGGAATCTACAAAAAAGTACTTTCAAGCAATTGACTTTGTTATATTTGGTGGTGAGTAATATTTCTTCATTTACTGGTTTGTATTATGATAATTTACATATAAATTTAAATAGCAATATTGTATCGAAACTAAGCAAATGCTACAAATATTCCAGGGAAATTTGGGTAATGAAGCGCTTCTCGATGCTGTACTTTTAGAAAGGCCATTAAGATATAAAAGTAAATTTAACAATGCAATCAAAAACAAAATATAAACTAATTGGTATTTGAAAAACGCAAATTTTTTTTACAAGTATTCTAGTCTGATTATGATGCTATCAACGGTCTTCAGTCTAAATCTCATTCAATACCTGCGTCACTGTACATCATATATACATACAGTGTTATAATTAGTGTTCTATTGTTTATAAATAAATACGTTTCATGGCAGAATACCGACCTTGAATCATAAAAACAAACATTGGGTAGTCGTTGTAAAGATTTTGACCAAAGAAATAAAATTTAAAGTACTATTTTCGTTTCAGCAATGCTTCTATTGTCAACGGCAATTGGAGTATTTTTTGCATATCGTGATAGGAGAACTCAGTCGACCGATAATTATTACTTTGCAAGTAAAAGTATTTCTCCGGTAAGAAAATACCAGCAGTTATAAATTCTCGTACATTTAATTTATTTATACAGTCCATGTTTCACTGTGTTATTAATATATTTATTTCAATAAACTCCCATGTTCATGGTCCCAACTAAATTACATTTTTTTATTCTATTCCACTTATCTTCTTAATTATTTTCATATTATCTTTCTTACAGATTTTGATTTCCATGTCGTTGTCGGTTTCGTTTATTTCTGCTATTACAGTAATTGGTCTTCCCGTTGAAATTTATTTATTTGGAACAGTATTTGTTTGGATGAATGCTGCACATGTGATAGGAATACTTGCCGGGTCTATTTATTACATTCCACTTCTGCATAGGCTTCAACTAAAAAGCGTATATGAGGTAAAAGCTTCACTTAATTGTTTTCTAGACATCAGACACTGATTACTTTTCAAATATTGAACTTCTACAATCTACACTAATTGTTTGATGTTTATAAACGATATGTATGTGTCGTCTAGTCATATTATTTAAGACTTCAGTTCCTGATTTTATTTTGTAATATTCTGACAGTAATTTTTTATACAAATGACAATTCTTTTTTTAATATATAAATGACTGTTCGAAAAAAAAATCATCTGTATGTGTATATGTACTTCTCAATAATCTCTTATGTATTTCAGTATTTTAATCTTCGCTTTCACCCCAGAATAAGAACGTTGACATCGCTTATGGCAATATGGAAATTGGTGAGAAATTTTTTTTTTTTAATTAAAGATTATGCATTGAGTTTATGAGCGCTTATTGAGCTGTCTTTTTAGTATTGTTTAATACTAGTGATTTTTATACTTCAGATTCTCTACATGGGCGTAACAATATACTTGCCAGCACTGGCATTGAGTGCTGTCACACCCCTTCAACTGAATTGGAGCATAGCATTAACAAGTATCGTTTGTACATTCTACACCAGTATTGTAAGTTTTGTTTTAGATTTTATAAAAGGATTTTTGGTTTTAAAACGTAGTAGAGTACGAAGGCATGTCGCTCTTGCTTGTATGGAAGCCTGTAACACTAAATGAAATGTTGTTAGACGCTAATTATATCGGAAAATAAATACAGATACGATGTAAACTAATTATGCTTATTCTAGCGTAAGAAATAGGCAATTTAGGCCGCCACCGAAACAAACTCGAGGGCAATATATGTATAAAATAGTACAGATACTGTACTGCATACTACTAATTCTTGGAAATGTTCTCTTATTGCACTTCGTGGAAAATTACTTTCTAGGGTGGGATGAAAGCGGTCATATGGACTGATGTTTTGCAAGCCATGATTATGTTGGCAGGAATGCTTGCGGTGTTCATCCAAACAACTATAGTCCTGGGTGGATTTGGTCCTGTGGTCGAAGCAGTTGAACGTGGACAGCGGAATAATATTTTCAAGTAAGTACTAATTGCACAACACGTAAAAAACATGAAATATGAATCATATTCATACTACAACAGATATTTGTAGAATTTTATAGTCTTTTTATGCTGAAGCTGAAGCTGAAGCTGAAAAAGACGAGATTGTTACCTATTATTTTGAAGCTGCTTCCACAGAAACGTGAACTATCTGTAAAAGGTATTTCCAATTACTTGAAATGTCGAGCATAGCTAACTTTGAAAAACAATTTATTTGAATCAGATTCGATGGCGACCCTCGCATTCGAAGTACTGTATGGACATTACTTCTAGGAGCGGGAATGAATAATTGTTTTAAAACTGGATGCAATCAAGTATTCACTCAGAGATATTTGTCATGTGGTTCAGTGAAAAACGCAAGAATGTAGGTTGAATATTATTTGTTTTCAATCTTTTATCATTTCCAACTTAATTTACTCTACTCGCGAAAACGCTCAAAGCCAAAGGTATAAACATTCATTGCATGTGGATGAAGCACGTCATCAAAGCCTCATTTCGCATTAAGATGCTAATTTCACTTTGTTTGTTGGTGGGATATAATAGGTATAAATAGTAAATTTAAAATTTTGTGATTAACATTATAACTCATTGTTGAATCCAACTTATATTTGACAACATGATTTTAACATTTAGTTTTATTGATTTTTTCAGAGCTCTATGGTTACAGCTATTTCCGGGAGTCATATTTTCTTTGTTGGCCGTGGGTAACGGTCTGCTTATGTATACATTTTATGAAGGATGTGATCCTTTGTCAGCAAAACTTATAACTAAACCCGACCAGACGATGCCGAAATTAGCGTTGGAAATATTTCAAAATACTCCTGGAATGGCTGGTCTATTTGTTTCAGCTGCATACAGCGGCTCCTTGAGGTATAAATATCTATCTTTTATGAGTGTACATCGTTGCAAATTTTTGGTACAATACTCTATCAAATAATATATTTTTCAGTACAATTTCTTCAGGCGTAAACGCTTTAGCTGCATTAGCGTTGATGGATTTCATTCTTCCCTGCTTTCCTAAGATGTCGTCAAACAGGAAAGTTATTTTAAGCAAAGCTTTGAGTGAGAATATGTTTCATTTTACCTATTAAAATTTGTTTATTTATCTACCGATTGATTACTTGATGCATAAAATACCAAGTCAAACCGAATCCAGAGTAATATGGAAATAAAAAATGAGTGATTATGAGTCTTCGTCTTTCGTGTGCGGCCTACGTTCTCATTTTCTTAATAATAGCCTATACTATCCTATTCATTTACAGCTATTTTCTTTGGTTTTCTGGTGATGACTATTGCATATCTCGTCTCTCTGCTCTCAGCAAATATAATCCAGATTACGTCTTCTATAACTGGTTCATTAGGAGGTCCTTTGTTTGGTGTATTCACAATGGGACTTTTCATGCCTTGGATAAATCATTGGGTGAGTGGAACTTTGAGAAAAAAGTAAAAATTGATGATTTTAATAATGCTATAAATTGAAGGGTAGCCAAACTTTTTTTTTACTGCTTTGTTTGGTTTCAGGGAGCCTTGGTTGGCTTGGTGGGTGGTTGGTTATTCACGGGTTGGGTTGCGATATCAGCACTATTTTTGGCGAGCTTCCCAGACACGAAAAGGAAACTTCCCTTGTCTACTGATAAATGCCCTGCGTTTAATTCGACTGTGAATTCTGATACAACTGCGTTGATGATGGAGGCTTCAGGAGAAGAATATACAACGTTTGCCTCAATGGTTTCATCTCCTGCACCAGAAAACGGGTATAACATATATATATAATATATCCATATGTCTATGCATTGATTGATATTACATATGGTCACCCACACCCGCTACATTGCGTAATAATTGAATTTTTGCATGATGCACGAAAGTATTTACGATAACACTATACCATATTCACGCTGATAGAAAAACCGTTTAGTTATCACTTTCCCACGGCGAGTTTCATAACAAATTCATATATTTAAGACTCAATGAATTAAAACAATTGTTCCAATAAAATAAATCATATTTTTTCCATTTTTTTAATGCTAAACAACGCAATGAAATCAAAACTCTTTCCGCCTCGTGCCATCAAAATATTATGCTTGCTCAGAGAAAAATAGCAATGACCGTATTTTAATAAATAATAATCTCGAGATTCTTCTCTGAAAACGTCAGCCATGTACGAGAGCTATGAAAAGTAACGAAAATGGCAGTTTGATATTTCAGTTATTATTCTAGGCAACTTGTTTTGTTGTTGTTGTTTTCTATTATTTTTATTATAGTCTGTAACAGAATATCTCGACCAGCTGGTAAACATCTTTCGCAAAGTAGGTTTGTCAAATGAGCATTTACATACGAAACACGACGATTGAGTATTCTTATTTCAGGCCCATTTTACACTATACTCTGTATTCAATTTCACCATTTTATTACGGCATACTTGGATGTACCGTCTGCATCATACTTGGTCATATATGTTCACTTATCACAGGTAAATCGGAAATATTCTTCTATTTTGGGTAATCACTATAAATATTCAAAAGACTCATTAATAATAACTCCTAAACATTCAGGCTTCAACAACCCGTCAAAAGCAGATCCGAGGCTTTTTGTTCCGATTTTACCCTTCAAATTATTCCGTTTCGGTGTTCCTGAACTTCCACCCGAAGACGACACTTCGTCTCTGACACCAAAAGAAGAAAAATATAAAAAGGCTTTGCTTTATGATAGAGAAGACAATAATTGCTCCCCAACTGCCCCTATATGGAAAGAAATAGGACAGAATGGGAAAACATAACGTCAAAAGATATTGATTCCATTTAAACCTGGGAACGACGTACCCAAGCGAAGACTATGTTTACACTATAACTCAAAGATTTCTTTTGAAGAATTCAACGAATGTGTAAATGTGTTTTGTATTATAGTCTATTTCCGTTCACATTGTACGAAATATTTCAAAACTTTTTTATTGTCATCATGAGATATGGATACTATTGAACTTTAAATTGATACTAGAATAAGAATATTTTAACTTTTATCTAACAAAGATTAATTAGGCATTATAGGTAAAACAACATTCTGCAAATTGTACAAACTTTCGATTTTGTTCAAGTTCTATTTAATCTGTATGTATATTTTAGGAACAATATTTATTGCATATTCGATATAGTTTTTGTAATTAGGCTTCCGTACATGCAGAGAATTGCAACACTTTTAGTCGTTGTATTCCCAAGCCACGGCATACAATTTTAATACGATATAATAAAACTTGTTAAAATTAGTTTGACGTTTTTACTGTTTGACATATCAAACATTATGAATACCAATAGGGAGCGTATGATATATGTGCCGATATATCGCGATTTCGAGCGATACTATCCTCCACTTATAATTCGGTGGGTATGTTTTTTTATTCTCAAAGCCCTAATTCAAGAAGTTTTTACTAAATACTTTATTAATATTTGATAAATAAATACTTTATTAAGTTTTACTGAATAATATTCAACAAAAAAATAGATCGAATGATCTCAAACGCAAAATCAGAATTGATGTTATATTGTTATTTGAACTTTTTATATTTCGATAATTCCCGGCTAAATATCTAAAAATAGATTACTTGGCAATTTTAAAAAAATAAGTTCAAGCACTCTTGTCTCTAATGGATAAAAGAAGGTATAAATCCGGAATGATTCTATCTTCTATCCAGGATACTCAAACAGATACTTAATCATTATAAAGCAAACAAAAAGTTCATACGAACACATGAAGGAAACATAAACTCAAAATTAAATTCTTACAATGTAACTAGTATACTGGACAATGTTCACCACTATATGCAACAAATTTTGAGAAGGAACACGATGTTTTACATCCTCAACAATATCCGGTACACTTGCAGGGAATGTTAGAACTCTATCGAAACAAGATCAGTGAAAATATATTAGTGGCAAAAGATTGCTGTCAATAACTCCGCCAAATGAGTTTATTATAGGACTTGTAATAAAGTTTTAGTAAGTAATAGGAAAAGTATAAAATAAGAAACGGCTTCACTGTGATGGAGATAAAAAAAATGGGTGCTCAAATATAGAGAGTTAGGTCAAAGGTAAATAATTATGCAGTACTATGTGATTAGTGGATGCAACATATGCGTTACGAGCTTTCAAAACAATTTTTTTCTCCGAGTGGCTATTCCGGTCATATGAAAATTGAAAGATCTGAAACAAATAGGTTATAAAAGAAAAACATCAAACCGATTAATACAAAAAATGTGTTTCGATGATATAAGTTTCGACAGTCTTGTTCCAAAAAAAATGAGTATTTTTAATTAATGAAAAACAAGCACGATAAAATACATTGGTTTGTAAATCTGATATATATATATATATATTGTAGTAAGTCGTTTCATACAGAAATTTTATTTGCTTATATTAAATAAGAAACTAATATTATTATAAAATCAATATAATTAATGATATAATTGCAAGCTAATGTAATAACACCAACTTGTTGAAATGCAACAGAATACCGTACACCAATTTACCACGGCAACGAGTTTTCAGTCATCTGACTATAAAAAACGAGTTTTAGTTGTCTAACTATAGACGGCATAAATTTTGATATCACGGGTTTTGTAGATATAGAAAAAAATTACCCAAGTACTAGAAGAACGAAAACAAAAATAGCATTCAATTTTGTTCTAAATTGATAGGCACCAATTTCATTTTAAACTTTGAAATTTCTAGTATTATGTTCTTCTAGTTAACTATGATTTAAAATGTCAGAAGTTTTGAATAAAAGGTTTGCAATTGAGGTAAAGCAGTTATTTCTAAAATATCGCGTTTTCCAATATCGAATTTAATATTCAACAAAACAAAACTAACATCATACGATTTTTGCAACGTCGTCAGGCATATTTGATAGCTTATGTATGACTAATTCGACAGGAGTTCAATTTCGAAATTATGAAAATGGTTGGATTATAAAATATAGTTTTTTTTTCAATTCCTTTGACTTGTTATTTTTTTTTAAAATGTTATCAGATTAGCCTACGAAAATATACCATACCTTTTAAACACATTTGATTTTATGCGTAATCGCCACAAAAAGTATTTATATGCGAATACAAAATGGAGTCTCACAAACACTTTCACGCCATTAACTTTGTAATATTTATAGGTAAGATTTGCTATATTTCAGATAATTTAAATTCATTTATTCTTCATTAAAGCAATATAATAAAAGTTATATTCCAGGAATGCTCATATTTTCATCAGCAGTCGGTGTGTTTTTTGCATATCGTGATAGAGAAACTCAATCAACAGATAATTACTATTGTGGAAGCAGGAAGGTGTCACCGGTAAGCATTTACTTCGGTTATGATAACAGAAGTCTCTGATAAATTTTAAATTGCACGTTGTATTAGAAACGTGTATTGAACTACTAGAAAAAGTAAGGTCAATTCACCTCAGTTGGTATTTTGTTGTCAATACTTTAGTTCGATCACAGAAATGATTTTGAATTTTTAGATAAAATATTATAGTCACTAAAACAATGGTAAAATGCCACCACGAATCCCCGGTAGAAAATCATACTTGGGAAAGTTTTATAATAAATTCAGCGACCATACGGCACAGAGCAAACAAAATAGTTGAAAAATATTTGTAATTTTCAAACACCATCCAAATAACGAGATCTGTAACTGGTTCCATTGGGGGTCCAGTGATTGCTGCATTCACAATGTTTATGTCATGGTTATATCACTGGGTGAGGCGACATAATTTTTTTTATTTAATCTCGTATTACAGCGGTTCCCAAACTTTTTGTTCGTGCGTCACCAAATTATCACGAAAAAACAAAACAAAAAATGTGATATCCTCACATTTAACTCAATTTTGTGATCGGTAATGTGTACTTTATGCTTTTCAAAGTTTATGAACATGTAAGACGGCCTAACGAATAGAGACAAAAGGCAGCTATTCTCTTTATCCCTGCCTGATTTTCCTTTTAAATACTAAACAAATCAATCATGTTCACTAAACTCGGTTCAGCAGATCGCGAAATTGCAGTTGTGAAGTTGTGTCTATCTCTACTGTTACGTAAAGAGAAAACCAGCAAAAAAGCCATGTCTAGGCAGCCTGGAAGTTTAAAATTATATTAGATAAAACAATTTATTTTATTACACCGAATACGATATCAGGAATCTTTTTTCAGGGTGCATTGATAGGAATTGTTGGAGGATGGCTCTTTGCAGGCTGGATTGCAATATCTGCGATGTCTCTGTCAAGTTTTCCTGGCACAACAGAAAAGCTGCCGTTGTCAATAGACAGTTGTCCTACTTCCAATTATACGACGCAAATCAGTACAAACTATTCTAGTTGCACTACCTCAGCTACTGAGATAGAATACTCGTCAGGCGAAATTATGACAATTTTTGTTGCAAGAAAAAAATGACTTTTTGTATATTTTAGAATTATCGTTGAAGCAGGAAAGCCTACGTTTAATCTTGTTAGTTGGTTAAATGGTGTGGTGTATTTTCGCATTATCTGCTTTACTGACTTAGCGCGTGGGTGGCATTTGGTCTCGTTAGGGTAAAACTGTGGTGAGGGTATCGTAGCCGGGGCCCCATATGACCATCGTCGTCATTTATTGCTTTAATTGTTCATGTATCTTTTATATTCCATACTTATTAACTGCTTTCTGAATTTAGTTACTATTTTTATTCTGATAACGTAAGCGTAGACGTTACCTGTCAGTTTCTCGCCGATTTAGGCCTTTGGAGCGTTATCATTTGTAAGTTTATTTTTTTTAACTTTCTGGTTATGCATTTTCTTTCTGCCCTCATTTTGTGATTGTTTATTGATTATTTCATACAGGGTGTCCAAAAAGTTTCGCCCGATTATAGGCTCTTTATAATCAATTTATTTTTTTTTAATTTTAAAAAAGTTTTGTAGTCAACATGTTTCTAATTGGATGGTATAGATAGATGTTGAAGTCCCCATTCATCATACAGCCAAATTTATTCAAATTTGCAATTGGTAATGTATTTACAGTCAACCGTTTTGCAATAAACGTGTATAACATGGAACATCTGTGTGCCTAAATCTGACAATCATTCATGCATCACTAGATTATCATTGAAAAAATAATACAATTCCTTAAGTAGATATAGTTTTTTTCTTCTGAATAGCAGCTTTTCTCGCACTAAAGACTGCAGTTTGTTAGATCACAGTCAGAATTATGTTTCTCTCTCAATTTTATTTAAATGGAGGCTTAGCAGTTGCATTTTATAAATTTTATTTTGTTCTTGTGATCATAATATTGAAAATCAAAATATTTTATTCATTCTGCTTCATTGCCAATGAAAATTTAACACGAAGTTTAAATTCAGTTACTGAACAAAAAAGTCATTCATTTAATATTGAGTCTTTCCAATTAGAAGCAAATGATCATTGGCATGTTGGTATTCAAGTTTGTGGATTTATTTAATTTTATTTTCTTACGTGAAAGTTTATAATGTATTTCTTGAGGGAATTTCGGGAACATCAAAACGGAATACTTCGCATATTGTATAACTGGCCCCAACTCAGCTTGCAAAGGGTATCGTAAGGTTTAAATGAAGGAACTTCATAAAATCAAACTCGACCTAAATGTCAGTCATTACTATAAGTCTAAAAATGTATTCAAGTTTTTGGATTTACTTTTATTGTTTGCATCCTTTATAACACCCATGAATCCCAAACATAATTTAAGTAAGCAAACTTGTCTGTGCCGACCAATAATCTGGCATCCGTATTTTATCCCGCACGTCGCTCTCTTCTTTCTGGGTTTTTAGGGAACGCACCTCTGTCACGGAGCTCTGGAATTTTGTAATTTGTAAGAGATAATTTTTTACGCTTTATTTATTTGTTTTATATTTGGAGTGCTGTTCATTTAAATAGAATTAAAATCAAGCAACAAAGGTTCAATGGCCTGATTGGATTGGTATCGGCGTTTTTAATTGTGTGTCCTGTACGCCGAATCACACATTATCACCATATTTTTAGTTGGTTGATATCACCAGTGACTGCAATCGGTGAACCGAACATATTTCCACAGGCGACGAGTTAAGAAAAGCAGGTAACAAACTTTTAGAAGGGCACATTCTTGGTTAGAATTGATTGGGTAACAGACTTAAATTTTAGCAATTTTGAGATGATATTTGTGCCATTTCAAAAACCTTAACGAAAATTAAGCATCTCGTATTGATTTGAATACGGATCTACCGTGAATGTTTCCCAATGGTTTTCGTTCAGATTGATGCACATTGCTCAATAGCACCGTTCGAGATGATATACGATTTTCAAGATGGAAAAGAAGAATGGGTATTGGTTGATCCAACACCCTGTGCAAACTCGTTATAAACTATGGTAGGAAACATTTTTTTTTCATATTAATTATAAAGATAGTGCAGTCATGTGATACTCTATTAGACAAAGTTAGGGTAAACTTTTGAACTGGTCACACTGTCACGCGGATGGTACCGGATACTTTAGCCTCTGGCAAGCATGTTTTTTTCGCTCTGAAGCGTTGCGTTATAAGAGTTCGATGGACCGTGATAAAGGATTTGAAAGTAGCGACAAACGCCGTCGAGACAAAGGGCAGCTGATATAAGTTTGCTATGTATGTCGACAACTGGTACGGTAACTTTCCAGCTAGTGCTGATACCGATAGAAAGTTGAACCTACGTATATTCGCATTTGGCATAAAACAGTTTCGTAAATTACAGTGTATAGTCAACTTAATATATATATATATATATAATGCAGTGATACAGTTGCATAATGAGTAAGATTATCACATATATAATTTCTATTTATTTGTGTGTCATGCAGTATATCTTATATGTACATAGTTTTTTTTTAAATGATATTTGAATATCTCTTCCAAACTATGACTAGGTATTGCGTGGAAGTGGAAATAAGGAAAGGTTCAACAAGAGCAAATGTTTGGAAGCAAATGTCCTATTACCAGTATCATGTTTAACATTTTTATAGAGCCGTGACATTCGATAAAAATGTGGCCCGTTAAACGTTTCATGGCGTGAAATAAAAACTACCCTACCGAGGCTACCATCTACATACCGGTACTAAAATCCAATCACTCCAGACGGCATCTTGCGAGGGCAATTTGATTTAACAATTTTTTTGACGTTTAGAAGAAACTGTTTCTTCATCATTCATAATATAGAATCAAATTTTGTTGATCAATTCACATAGTGTGCAATCAAAATTAAATCGTAACATCGCAAATGAGTTAGGGTGCTAATTACCTGAAATACAATACATATTTGAAATGCGATAAATAACACTACTTGCGAGTGTTAGTAATTTGCAGATTCGCATACAAGGTCTTTTCACGAGCAAAATATCGGTTGGGCATTGCTAACGCGCAGCACACACTTGACTGATAGACACTAAGTGGATATCGTAATTTGTTGGGGTTTGGCAGTCTTACATGCCAACGGTATCTTTAGTTATATTGTTCTAATCTTCTGTTGAACTATTCATAGATGAAATGTCAAGTAAATAAATACCTAAATGTAATATATGGTGAGCTGTGAATACAGAAATCCGGTGAATTGATTAGGAAGTAGTTGATAATTCCAGCAGTATTGTAGTTGATAATCAGCGGTATTTTGTACAAAATGTCGACATGTCTTCGTCTACCAACGATATTCTTCTACTACAGTTGGAAGATAAAGAAGAACACTCAACAAACCCACGTACTGGTACCAAAATCATAGATAACCGTGATTCCGCCAACAAGCCTAAGACAGTTGAGACTTCTTTATGGGGCGATTCTACCAGGAAGCAAATTGCTATTTTGACATTTCTATTAATGCTACAGATATTTGTAAGTTGTTGTGCGAGTATACATGTTGCATTTTTCACACGTGTAGTTCTAGAAAAGGGTGGGAGTGTGTTACATGCTGCAATCATACTGCAAATCTACACCGCAGCAACAACGGTATTTGGACCTATTTTTGGCAAATTTCAGCACAAATTCGGAAGCAGAAACTTAATATTTGCTGGTTCTGGCATATGCGGCATCTGCCAAGCTCTCTTGGGTACTCTGCAATACGTAAATAACTTAGTGTTATTTATTGCAGTAGGTATCGCTTTGCGGTTTCTCACTGGAATCGGTAACTCTGCTTATAACACCGCAGCCACCACAATTGCTTGTCAAGAATTTCCAGAACATGTGAGTAAAGTGTTCGGATTTCTGCAGGCGGCGTCAGGGTGTACTTTGTTCGTAGCTCCGGCATTGGGTGGCGTATTGTATGAGTATTTTGGAATGTTCATGCCTTTAGCTACTGCTGGTGGAATTGTTGTAGGATCTATGAGTTTCCAGTATTTTGTATTTCCGGATTACAGCGAAATAAATAAAAACAAGCAACAAGAGCCGGATAAATTCAACTCCTGCACTTTTCTACTCGATCCATTGGTAATTGGAATATTGTGCGTGGTTGGAATTGGGAGCGGCGTGTTCGGCTATTGTGAAGTAGCACTTACTACATATTTTGATGAAAGAAACTTATCTACTTCATATGCAGGCGCAGCATTGTTTGCAATTGGTGTGTCCTATGCAATATTTTCGTCATTGACGGGATACGTTATAAGCTGGAAACCGAATATTCGACCGCATTCGTTAATTTTGGGATTGATGGGAATTGGCGGTGTAATGTGGTTATTCTCAATAGATCAAATTCTTGGTGTGGTGTACTTCGGTGCGTTCCTGTTGGGAGGTTTTGCGGGCATGTGCGTCGTGCCAGCGTTTGAAGAGTTGTTGGTAATTGCCAACAAAGGAATTATAACAAAAAATACAAACACTGGAATATATAGCAATGTTTCGGGAATATGGTATGCAAACATGGGCATTGGAATGACAGTGATACCTATAGCAACATCAGCAATAAAAGATTGGACAAAATCTCCTTTTTCAATAAGTTTTTATGGTCTTTCCATTTTTCACATCGTATGTACATCACTTCTAGCCATTTTTATGATATATAAAAGAGTACGCAACAGGCGCAATTAAAAATATGGGATAGCTCTCAAAACAAAAACAAAAAACAGTTTTTCTATAAGCTAACTTCGCCACATTTAGAAGTGAGAATATAGCCTTCAACCTCGTATTCTCTCAGTTTACGTGATTTTTGTGTTTTTTCATTTGCTAGTTCGTCATTGGGCGCGTCCAATTACAAATATTTTACTGTATTTACCTTGTTGATTAAAATATGACATTTGTACTTTTTCTTCTTTTTTTATTTCCTCCCGACATTTATCGCTTCTTTTGACAATTATAGAGATGTAATCGATGTCACTCAATTGCCAGAGACATTAATTCTTCCTCTTGTTTTCCTTATGTTGAGTACAAATTTGCCTGACCCACAGTTTAACAAAATCTCTTTTCATGTGATAGCACTTTGTGTTTTGCGTTTTTGTCACAAAAAAGGCTACAGTGTAAATTACAACTTGGGCATAATCACGATTTCTTTTGAGACACAAATGAATGATCCACCACTGTCAAATTGGTTATATATATGAAATTTATTATGTCAAGAATTCGCTTAAGTTTTTTACTCAAGAGTCAAGACCCAATCTGAATTATTTGAGGAAATATTATAACCTTTTCATGATCATCAATGATGAGTTCTCGTCAATTTCATGAAATTGTGTCTGATTTTATTACAATTACGTGACATGCAACAAGTTGTCTCTTGACATTTTTCAAGCTTAGTAAAAACAGACTAGATAAAATTGAAGAAGGAACAAATTTTCTAGCAATTCAAACTTTTTTGTGATGTCTCACGGAAATACATATAATGATATTGTCTTCTTACTTCTGCGCTCTATGTATACCAAGCGTGTCCGAAATTTTAATGTTGGTTGGTGTAGAATTCATTTCAAAATTCGTTCGGTGTCAGTCTAACTGTGACCGTTTCCTGCGATAAAAACCAGACTCAATTCTTATTTACATCATATATCAACTTTTATCCAGTGTTTTTGCGTTTTTTTCAACTTAATTCATTTCATTACCTCATTTGTTCGCGTATCGCAGATAATATATAATTCTGAAAGTTTGTAGTGTGTAGTTTGTAAGTTGGCAACGGGATTGCAGAAAAACAAAATGACTTTTTGTATATTTCAGAATTATCGTGTGAGCACTGAGCAGTAGAGCCTACATGTGCGACTTTTAACGAAAAGACGGAAAAGCATGCTGCTTCTAGTCTTCTACCGCTTGAAAACTAGATCATCATTGAAAAAATAAATTCATATCAAAAAACAAATTACTGAGGTAAATTCAGTTTTTTTTTTATGAATAACAGCTTTTGTCTCACTGAAGACTGACGTTTGTTAGATCACAGCCAGAATTATGTTTCTCTGTGATTATGAGTTCAATGAAAGCTTAGCAGTTGTACTAAATAGTTTTTAATATTTTATTCTTGTCGTAATATTTTTTTCATTCGGCTTCATTGTCAATTCTTACTTTGCAAGTACAACGAGATGATACGGCCACTACGTCATAAGTTACCTCATAAAACCATCGAAACACATACTGGAATTGCCGCGTTTTGCGGATTTTTATTTCAAAATTTAACACGGATTTTAAATTCAGTTACTGAACAATTCGAAAAAGTCATTCCTTCAATATTGAGTCTTCCCAATTAGAAGCAATCGGTGATCCATTGGCATTCTTCGTATTTGGGTTTGTGGTTTTATTTAATTTTTCTTCTTCTGGCGTGCAAGATGCTAGTGTGTAGCTTGAGGGAATTTCAGGAACACCAAAACGAAGTACTTTGTAGTTGAATATTGGTACGAATAACATTGGATCGGCTTTAGACGGTTTGTTAAATCCTGCAATTAGAATGATATTTTGATGTGATTACTTATTTCCCAACTAAGATTGTATGCCTTAGAGTAGGAAGATTAAACTAGATGATGCCACAATGCCTCCTATGTTGATATCCAAATATTTGTATAACTGACCACAAATCAGTTTGAAAACAATTAACTGAAGGAACTCCATAAAATCAAACTCGACCGAGATGTCAATGATTACTTTAAGTCTAAAAATGTTCTGAACAATCGCTTGTTCATAAAATCATGATATTAATCTCATACAATCAGAATCATATATTCGATATTTAACCGCGACAAAGTCAATTAGAAAGAAAACTGTGGGATGTGTCTTCAAAGCGCCACAAATACTGAACGGTCCTTACACTATCTCATCATATATATATACATGTTATGTTAATACAGTTTCACCTGCTTGTTCGAAGCTCCGATTGTAACTAATTCCCGAATTGGGCCCAATGTATTAAAAATCAAATAAACTCACAATTTTGCTCGGTATAATAACTTGGTAGAAATACTACTGTACCTGTAATCAGTGAAATAATGTGACCGATCAGAATACATGTCAGAAATCCGATAACTCCGTAATAGAATGGTGAGATTGAATAAAGAGTGTAGTTAATCACCGGACTGAAACATATAATATGTTAATTAACAATAATTGGATATTTTATAACATGACATTAAAAGCAACATTTACACCATCTTAAGGATAGGATGGAATTTACCTATTTATCCTGGGGGAAACAAAAGTCGATGAGACGGCCTAATCATATGACAAATCCCGGCCTCTCGTCCGGTCACTATAGTCAGGTATGAGATTAGTTAACCAATTATTTTCAGATGCATGAACTTGATGGCGGAGGTAGCCGTAACCGACCAGCGTTTGCGTGAAACACCCTGCGCGGGGGGTAGTCCAGCAATCCTCTCGCTTATAACTATCCCTGCGGGATTCGAACCTGCAAATGCACGCAGAGTATCAGAGATGCGGTGGCGAGCGTATTCCTAACACTTAGAACGATGCGCCTCACCGCCGAAAAGTTGTCAAATGAGCAATAGCTCTAATTGTTAAAACATCATGGATTTTCTTATTGCTTATGTTTGTTTGTCGAGTTAAAAAACTACTTGAAATATACCTCTCGACAATTGCTAAATTTGTTGTCATAATTTCCCCTGACGAGTATTCTATCTCCGTAGTTGAGGTAGAGTAACTAGAATAGTTTGTACTGATTTGCGTCGTATAATTGGAAGTAGGACAACTGTCTATTGACAACGGCAGCTTTTCTGTTGTGCCAGGAAAACTTGACAGAGACATTGCAGATATTGCAATCCAGCCTGCAAAGAGCCATCCTCCAACAATTCCTATCAATGCACCCTGAAAAAAGATTCCTGATATCGTATTCGGTGTAATAGAATAAATTGTTTTATTTAATATAATTTTAAACATTCAGGCTGCCTAGACATAGCTTTCTTGCTGGTTTTCTCTTTACGTAACAGTAGACATAGACACAACTGCGATTTCGCGAGCTGCAGTTTATTTTTCTGCTGAACCGAGTTTAGCGAACAAGAGTGATTTTTTAGTATATATTTGAAAGAAAAATCAGTCCTAGATGAAGAAGAAGAGTTGAGCTTTTGACATTATTCCCGGGGCCTACATGTTTACAAACGTTAAAAAGCATAGAGTACATATTACCGATCACAAAATTGAGTTTCATTTGAAATTATCAATTTTTTTTTCGTTCAACTTCGCCGCAAGTTTTTTCTCTGATAATTTGGCGCCGCACGAACAAAAAGTTTGGGAAACGCTGTAATACGAGAATAAATAAAATAATTTATATCGTTTTGTCTTACCCAGTGATTTATCCACGGCATAAACATCCCCATTGTGAATACAGCAATGACTGGACCTCCAATGGAACCAGTTATAGATGTCGTTATTTGGATGATGTTTGATGATGAGAGAGATACCAGATAAGCAAGCGTCATAACCAGCACTCCAAAAATAATAGCTTGAAAAATGTGAATGTTTCGTCAACCAATATTGATTTTATGAAAACAAATTTGATTAAAATTGGTGTCTATTAATAACAGTTTATGGTTCATTCATAGTTCAGAACTACAATGAAAGATCAAAAATTTCCGATATATAAAGTATATGAGACATTTATTACGATATTAACTTTAAACCTTCTTACTTAATACTTTGCTGAGAACTATCCTTTTTTTTGATGACATCTTCGGAAAACACGGAAGGATGAAATCCATTAAAGCTAACGCAGAAAGAGCATTGACACCCGACGATATTGTACTGTTAACAATACAGCAAAACAGTTAGATCTATTAGAACATAGTTTAAATATTAAATTGGCGATTTATATGGATCTATACCAATACCTTAGCGTTCCGCAATAGGCAGATGAAACAAAAAGTCCAGCCATTCCTGGAGTGTCTTGAAATATTTCCATAGCCAGTCTCGGCATTGATTGGTCAGGTTTAGTTATTTGTTTTGCAGTATAAGGATCACACCCTTCATAGAATGCATACATTGCCAAACCATTTCCAACTGATAACAATGTGAACATCGTACCGGGGATAACTTTTAACCATAAAGCTCTGAAACAAAGAACATTAATTTTTTTCTATAAGTTGATTTTACGTGGTGTGAGGATAGAAAGACAATATATACGTTAACACACATTCTTGCGGATTTGACTGAATCGCATGACATATATCTCTGTGTAAAGACTTGATTGCATCCAGTTTTAAAGCAATTGTTCAATGTCAACCCGATAACTACGGTCCACACAGTGCTTCTAACTCTTGGATCAATGTTGAATCTGAAATATTTAAAATATATAACTCTACGTTTAAAGCATAATAATCGAAGCAGTACAGGATCATACACAGACAATGAATATAAGAAAAGAGATACACTGAACATATTGGACTAATTGTACTTTGTGGGTATCACTATAAATTTCTACGTTCAAGCATGTTGAACAATTTTTATTACTTATAGACTGGTAACCGGAAGAGAGGACATGGTTAACTTTTTTTTCGGTATTCCTATTCTTTGGAGTGGAGATGAAAGTCTAAAATTACTAAAGTCAACTCACTTCCAAAAATTATTTCTTTCCCCACGCTCAACAGCTTCAGAAATAGAACCGAGTCCGCCAACAACAATGGTGGCTTTTATGAAAACTGCAAACATTCCAGTCAACATTATAATTGCTTGTATGAAATCAGTCCATATTACTGCTTTCATTCCGCCCTGAGAAATAATTCTTTGCATAAATATATTACAATTTGTTCACCGCAATAAAAGTAACTGAACACTAAAGTTGATACTTACAATACTAGTGTAGAAAGTGCAAACAAGGCTTGTTAAAGCAATACTCCAATTCAGTTCAAGTGGCGTAACAGCACTTAGAGCTAGGGCGGGAATATAAACTGTGACTCCCATGTAAAGAATCTGAAAAGAAATAAGCAAGAAAAATAGTTGATTACTCTTGGCTTTCCTTGTCTAACAAAGTCAGTGCTAATGAATGTCTTCATTTTCGTCTGATTTGTATATTATTCCAGTTGTTACTTTATTCCTAAAGCAAGTTCAAAGCCAAATGGTATTTTAAACACCGAAATAAAACAGCAAAAGGTTTAGGAAACAGTGAAAGGTTTTGTGAGATGGGTAGAGAAGTTATAATATATTTTCACGATGAAAAGTTGCATTTTTATTCGACATATTTACCAGGTTAATCATTGCCATTCCCGAAGCTAGTGATCGGATTCTGGTATGGAATCGTAGATTCAAATACTGAAAGTAAAAATAAAGCAAAAACTAACATGATACCATTTCTCAAGTTTGGGAAAAAATCATATCGACACACGGTGTCAAATTCTCCAAAATAAACAAATTTCAATGGCCCTGGGCCCGATAATTAGAGAGTGGACTAATTTGCCTTCACCAATGAAACTAATATAAAGGATCTATAAGATCTTATTCGTTTTCAATAACAATACTAGTTAGGATGGATAACGGCAAACACAAACAAAGTTATTGTGATATATATACATATTTTGATTTTATGGATGTAATTTTGTGATTATTTTGTATAACTGCTAAATATGACATAATTATCTCTTGAAGCTTTACTAGGAATTTGATATATTTTTCTGTAAGACACATAAATCTTATCACCTGATATACACTTTTCAACTGCAATCGGTGCAGAAGAGGGATGTAATACGTTGAAGATATCAATACAGCAATCAAATGTGACAAAACAACCCAGGCGAAGATTGTACCAAATAAATATATTTCGACTGGAAGACCAATCACGGTTATTGCAGATATGAAAGAAACGGCCAAGGAAAACGAAACAAGAATCTGAAAATTATAATTATTTTCTACTATTTTGTCTGCTCTGTCCCGTATTGTCGCTAAATTTATTATAAAACTGTGATCTGACGGGGATTCGTAGTGGAATATCAGCAGTGTTTTAGTCACAATATTTCTTCGAACTAGCTAAAAATTTATTTCAGTGTAGCTGAGAACACAATAATATTTTTTTGGAAAATTTCAAAATCATTTCCGTGATCAAACTGTAGTATTGGCAACAGAATACCAACTAATTTAAATTGACCTGATTCTTCAAGTAGGCCTACTTCAATATACTTGTCTTATACATAAAAGGCAATTTAGAATTTATCAAAGACTTCTGTTATCCTAACCGAAGTAAATGCTTACCGGTGACACCTTCCTGCTTCCAAAATAGTAATTATCTGTTGATTGAGTTTCTCTATCACGATATGCAAAAAACACACCGACTGCTGATGAAATTATGAGCATTCCTGAAATAGAATTTATATTATCATTGCTTTAATAAAGAATAATTGAATTTAATTTATCTGAAATAAAGCAAATCTTACCTATAAATATAACAAAGTCAATGGCGTGAAAGTATTTGTTAGACTCCATTTTGTATTCGCAAATAAATAATTTTTCTTGCGATAACGAACTAAATTAAAATCTGTTCAAATGTTATGGTGTATTTTTGATAACAATTGAAAAAATAACAAAATCAAATTTATCTAAAACCCTATATATTTATATTTTAATTAGTTTCATCATTTCAAAATTAAACTCCTGTCCACTTAGTCATACATAAGCTTCCAAATATGGCGGACGTTGTTACAAAAATCATTATTATATTAAATCCGATATTAAAAAACGCGATATTTTATGAATAACTGTTTGACCTCAATTGCAAATATTTTATTCAAAACCTCTGACATTTAACGAGAAGATCATATACTAGAAATTTGAAAATGAAATTGGTGCTCATAAATTTTAAACCAAAATGACTGACATCCACTTTCCGTTTTTAAGTACTTCATTCATTTTTTTGTATCTACAAAAAAAACCATGATATCAAAAATTCTGCCTCCTATAGCCAGATGACTAAAAACTTATTGTTGTGGTAACTTGGTGTACGATATTATGTTGCATTTCAACAAGTTGTTGTTTTTTCAGTAGCTTGTAATTGTAAAATCCCCACACGGATGTGTCTTATTTATATTTGAACTTAGAATCATAGTAGTAAATCGCTAGATAATATAAATATGTTACTTTCCAATTTAATTTAAAGCAAAGAACATTTTTGTATAAAACTACGTACTACAAAATTCTATATTTCAGATTTTTCACAAGCCAATGTTTTTCTCTAGTTCAATATTAATTAAATAGAAATATTCATCAGATGTAATGAGCCATGTCTATTTTTTCCTCTGTCAACAAAACTGTCCTTTTATACTGTCGAATCTTCTTCTTCTATAACTTTTTCGTTCCAGAACTGTCAATTTCAATTTGACAAAAATAGACTCACGGGGAAATGAAAATTGTTCTATTTTAGAAAGCTCGTGATGGGTATAGTGCATCCAATAACCATAGATAACTGCATAGTTATTCAACTTTGACCCAACTCTCTTTAAACACACGTTTTTTCATCTTCGTCGCAGTACGGCTGTTTTCTATTTTATACTTTTTCTATTACTGTACTTGATAAATCTTCATATCAGCTCTTATAATAAATTCATTTGACTGATTTCTTGCCAGCAATCTACGGCTACTAATATCTTTTAATTGATTTTATTTCGAAAGAGTTTAGACATTCCCTGTTAGAGTACCGGATATTATTGAAGTTGTAAAACATCATGTTTCTTCTGCAATGTTTGTTCCACATAGTGTTGAACATTGTTTAGTACACTAATTACTTTATAAGACTTTCATGCCCATGGAGATAAGTAAACATTTACCTAGTTTTATTTGGTCTTTCCATTTTTTTCTCTATCAAATAAAGGAATGAAAGTTGATACTGGCGTTACTATCAAAAGTATTTGTCTCAACTTAGTTCCGAGACTAATCAGTGACCCTATTCTTACACTAAATATATATTAGGTTCTACTCAAGTAAAAATATCCATTATCTGTTTGAGTATGCCAGGTAGAAGATAAAATCTCATCGGATTTATACCCTCCTTTCTTTTAGAAACAAAAGCACTTGACCTTAATTTTTTAAAGCTGAAAATAATCTATTTTTATATAATAACTAACTACCGTATATCTAATTAGTTTTAGATATTTAGCCTGGAATTATCGGAATATAATAAGTTCAAAAGACGATAAAACATCAATTTATCTTTTTAAAGGACTGGTTATGCGCTTGAGATCATTTGACCTATTGTTTTGCAGGATAATATGCAGTAGAAAGTTAATTAAATATTAATGAAAACTTCTTGAATTAGGGCTTTTAGAATAAAAAACATACCCATGGCGGATAATATTGCTCGAAATGACAATATATTAACTCATATCTCATACATATTTTTCGGTTTTATTCATATTATTCAATATGTCAAACAGTGCAAATGTCGAAGATAAAAAACAAATCACACTATCGTAACTATATAGAACAGAGAAAGAATAAGGGGATAATATGGTAATAGATCCAAGTGAATTAGCGCAACTTTATTTTTATCTTCGACAGGAACAGACCTGATGGCAATCATGCGCTAAACATTACAACTGTCAAGACGGTATGGCAATTAATTTTAACAAGTTAACATATTTCAATATATCGTATCGAAATTGTATGGCGTGGCTTGTGAACACACCGACCAAAAGTGTTGCAATTCTCTGCATGTATGGAAGTCCGATTACACATGAAAAACTATATCACATACACGTAACAGGAACTTTGATGATTGTTCGCGGAATTACTATAACTATGTACGGGCTATGTTTTTTTTCCTAGAGACGAAAGCGATGCAAGGATACATAGCCCTGTCGCATGCCTCCTACAACAAAACTTATATTGTTTATGGTTTTATTTTTAGTATTTTATATTATTAAATTTGAGTCGCGGATTCACTTTTTTTTTATTTTTTATTAGCATCTCACCGCCGATGAAATTATAATAACTCTCACGAGATTCACAATTCTGTACGAGTACAAACAAAGTAATTATCATCGTTGTCGTGGTAGAAATTTGTATTTGTTATTTAAGGAGAATAAACACTAACGTAAAGGTTGTTACAGCCTAAATAATACGCCACGATGTCAAAACCCATCGGCGATTTTAGCAAAATGCAATCGCACGCGTTATTGGCGACTTCCAAAAATTTCAAAAATGGGGCGTCAGAGACAAAACTGGCTGCGCCACTGGCCTTGCTATGATGCTTAACCTTTGTTAGATGAGGTTCAAAATATTCGTATTTTAGTATCTATTTAAAATTCATATATCACGATGACAATAAATAGACATTTGTTGCAATTGTCGAAAATAAAAACTTTAAGTAATAGTATACATAGTCTTCGATTATGTACGTCGTCCCTAAGTTTAAATGGAATCAATGTTTATTCTCGTTATGTCTTCTCATTTTGTTCTATTTCTTCCCATATAGGTGCAGTTGGGGAGCAATTATTTTCTTCTCTATCATAAAGCAAAGCCTTTCTGAATTTTTCTTCTTCTGGTGTCAGAGACGAAGCGTCGTCTTCGGGTGGAAGTTCAGGAACACCGAAACGGAATATTTTGAAGGGTAAAATTGGAACAAAAAGCCTCGGATCTGCTTTTGACGGTTTGTTGAAGCCTGAATGTTTAGGAGTTATTATTAATGAGTCCTGTTACTAATGTATAACGAAAATGTTAACTTGCTAATATTTGAATTTATATTTACCTGTGATAAGTGAGCATATATGACCTAGTATGATGCAGACGGTACATCCAAGTATTCCGTAATAAAATGGGGATATTGAATACAGAGTATAATGCAGAATAGGCCTGAAAACAAAATACTCGATTATTGTGTTTAGTTTGTAAATGTTTATTTGACAAACCTAGTTTGCGAGAGATCTTTACTACATAGTCGAGACATTCCGTTACAGATTATAACAACAACTACTACAACAAAATATGCATTTTCATTCCTTTACATTTCGTTTCATAGCTTTCCATAGCTCTCGCTCATGACTGTAGTTTTCAGAAAATAATCTCGAGATTATTATTCATTCAAATACGGTTTGCTATTTATCTCTGGACAAGCATTATTTTTGATTGTACGAAGTGCAACGAGTTTTGATTTCATTCCGTTGTTTGGCATTAAAAAATGAAAAAATATGGTTTATATTGTTAGAACAATCGCTTTGATTCATTGAGGGTTTCAAATATTTTAAATCTTTTATAAAAATCGTCACGGGAAGGCGATAAATAAATTAATATCAGCGTGGAGAAGTATAGTGTTATCTCAAATACTTTTGTATATTATGCAAAAATTAAATACGCAATGTACTGGGTGTGGATGATCCTATGTGATATCAATCAATGCATAGAGTTAGACATATGAATATATATTATACCCGTTTTCTGGTGCAGATGATGAAACCATTGAGGAAAACGTTGTATATTCTTCTCCTGAAGCCTCCATCACCGACACAGTTGTAACAGAATGTATGGTTGAATTGAACACAGGGCATTTATCAGTAGACAAAGGAAGTTTCCTTGTCGTGTCTGGGAAACTTGCCAAAAAGAGTGCTGATATTGCAACCCAACCCGTGCACAACCAACCACCCACTAATCCGACCAAAGCTCCCTGAAACCACAGAAAGAAGTAAAATAAAAGTTAATTGATACTTGTCAATTTTATACCAATATTAAAATCATCAATTTTAGTTTTTTCTCAAAGTTCCACTCACCCAATGATTTATCCAAGGCATGAAAAGTCCCATTGTAAATACACCGAACAGAGGACCTCCTAAAGAACCAGTTATAGAAGACGTAATCTGGATTATATTTGCTGAAAGCAGAGAGACGAGATATGCAAGAGTCATCACCAGCAAACCGAAGAAAATAGCTGTAAATAGACAAGAACGTTTTTGCTAGTTGGGAAATTGCGCACGTAAATTTTTTACGAAAAAAGGAGAGTCAGAATTACCTATGACGATGATTTATTCTTATATTATACTGGATTCGTGTACCTTCGGTTTGATTATATATTTAATGAAAAATATATAAACCTATAAAATCAAAAATGTTCTCACTCAATGATTTGCTTAAGATAACTTTCCTGTCCGACGACATCTTTGGAAAGCAGGGAAGAACAAAATCCATCAATGCTAATGCAGCTAAAGCGTTTACGCCTGAAGATATTGTACTGAAAAATATTGGTAAAATTTATTGATAAATAATTTATTAAATTATTTTATCTTAAATTTGCAGTGAAAAATAAAGCGGAATTTAAATTATTTTTATGAAGCACGATTCAGTATTTCGTAACATTGGACATCAATATCGTTTCACTTTGTTGCGATGTACGAGAAATAAATATTTATACCTCAAGGTGCCGCTGTACGCTGCTGAAACAAACAGACCAGCCATTCCAGGAGTATTTTGAAATATTTCCAACGCTAATTTCGGCATCGTCTGATCGGGTTTGTTTATAAGATTTGCTGACAAAGGATCACATCCTTCATAAAATGTATACATCAGCAAACCGTTACCCACGGCTAACAAAGAAAATACGAGTCCCGGAAATAGCTGTAACCATAGAGCTCTAAAAATAATCAATAAAAAGAAATATTGAAATCAGGTTGTCAACGTAGAAGTTAAGTTAATGTTAATTACTGAAATCATAATTTACTATTGATACCTATTATATATATATAGTGTAATCAACATATTAACAGAGTAAATAAAGTTGGAAATAATAAATGACTGAAAACAAATATTATTCAACTCACATTCTTGCTTTTTTCACTGAACCGCATGACAAATATCTTTGAGTGAATACTTGATTGCATCCAGTTTTAAAACAATTATTCATTCCCGCTCCTAAAAGCAATGTCCATACTGTACTTCGAATGCGAGGGTCGCCATCGAATCTGATTCAAATAAATTGTTCTTCAAAGTTAGCTATGCACGACTTTTCAGTTTAAGTAATTGGGAATAAATGTATATACAGTTAGGTCACGTTTCTAATGATAGGTAACAAACTCGTCTTCTTTATTTAAATGAAAAAGATCCTGAAATTTTGAAAATACTAATTATAGTATGAATATGATTACATCTCCATTGCCATAACTCGTGATGTTCAATTAGTACCTACTTGAAAATATTATTCCGCTGTCCACGTTCAACTGCTTCGACCACAGGACCAAATCCACCCAGGACTATAGTTGTTTGGATAAACACTGCAAGCATTCCTGCCAACATAATCATGGCTTGCAAAAAATCAGTCCATATGACCGCTTTCATCCCACCCTTGAAAAAAGTAATTTTCAACGAAGTGCAATAAGAGCACAATATTAAGAAATAGGACAGTATCTGTACTTATCAATTATATTTTGTATCATGTATTTTCCTTGAGTTTGTTTGGGTGGCGGCCTAAATTGCATATTGCATACGCCAGAATAAGAAAGAGCTTACATCGTTCCGGCTTTCTTTTATTAGTCCATCAACCTTTTATATGGTTTTTCAGGTTTTCAATTGAATAACTCAGGCACTAACTAATACACTATGGAGTTTTAGGGACCTTAATCATATTCTTAAAATTTATTACTTATTTTATGGAATCAAAATAAACTTACAATGCTGGTGTAGAATGTACAAACAATACTTGTTAATGCTATACTCCAATTCAATTGAAGGGGTGTGACAGCACTCAATGCCAATGCTGGCAAGTATATTGTTACGCCCATGTAGAGAATCTGAATTATAAAAATCACAAGTAATAAACAAAACCTAAGAAGTTTACTCAATAAACGTTCATATACACAATGCATAATCCTGAATTGCAAAAATTCTCACCAGGTTCCATATTGCCATAAATGATGTCAACGTTCTTATTCTGGGGTGGAAGCGAAGATTAAAATACTGAAATACAAAAGAGTATTAAGAGCATGAGAAGTAATCATGGTGATTACACATACAAATGAGGTTGAGTATTTTGCGCAATCATTTATATTAAAAAAAGAAGTGATTTTGAATAGAAAGTTTTGAATAATATAACTAGTGGACACACATCTTTTGTAAACATCAAACAATTAGTTGGAAAATTCAATATTCGCAGTAATAAGCGTTAGCTGTCTAAAAAAGTAAACAATAAAATTAATATTTCACCTCATATACGCTTTTTAGTTGAAGCCTATGCAAAAGTGGAATGTAATAAATAGACCCAACAAGTATTCCTATGATATGTGCAGCATTCACCCAAACATATACTGTTCCAAACAAATAAATTTCAACTGGAAGACCAATTACCGTGATAGCAGAAATAAACGAAACCGACAATGACATGGAAATCAAAATCTGTAAAAAAGAAAATATAAAAAATAGTCAATAAGTGAAATAAAATGAAAAAATATTAATTAGTTTGGAGCCGTCATAATATGACTATATATTTTTGAAATAATTGCATCTATGATGAAAATACAGTAAAAAATGAATACGGAATAAATAATGAATAAAGTAACTTTACAATATAGGATGAGTTATCCAATCACTAATTATTTATGATGTTTCTTACCGGAGAAATACTTTTACTTGCAAAGTAATAATTATCGGTCGACTGAGTTCTCCTATCACGATATGCAAAAAATACTCCAATTGCCGATGAAAATAGAAGCATTGCTAAAACAAGAATAGTACAATCAAATTTTTTCTTGGCTTAAAATCTATTCATGGTCGATCTTCTGTTATGAAATGTATTAATTCACAAACATTAATACACTAAAAATGATGTTTACTATGAGGTATTGAATAAGATTTAGATACATGCCGGTTGATCGTGTCGTATTTAGACTTGAATTCTTGCAAAAATAAATTCTCGCGTTTTTTTTAAGTTTTCGGTTGCATTGTTTTATTTATCTTTATGTCTGAATGGTCTTTCTAAGGGTACAGCATTAAGAACCTTTTTATTACCCATATTTTCCTGAAATATTTGTAGTATTTGCTTTCGTTGCATATATTATTGCTCAAAAAATTTGTTCGTGAATTATCGTAGTACAAACCAGCAAATAAAAAAATATTACATTACTTACCACCAAATATAACAAAGTCAATGGCTTGAAAGTACTTTTTTGTAGATTCCATATTTGGTTGCTTCTTTTGCACTTAGAATTAAACGTAAGCCAAATATCCCCTATATTTTAAAATTAAAGTTAACAATATCTTTCTAACCTTCTCTATATAAGCAATTTGTTAAAATAAGTACATGTTGTCAAAAAGATGAAAAGAACCCTTTGCGCACTGTATTTTTCTTCCGGAAAATCCAAGTTTAAGTTCTTACTTCACAATAATCGACATTGAACATGGAATTAAACTTATTTTATGTATTTCGAATCCAAAATCATTAATGAGCAAGATTTCTGGATTTGAATAAATTACGGACCAATTACACCCCCTCGTATTTCTGACGTTTTATCTTCACAACACAATTTATCATTTAAGACAAATAATCAACTAACTATTCTTCATAAATCCTATGAACAAATTTTGTTGAGCGCTATACTTTTAACCCTGTTCTCAGATGAGATCTCAATAACATAATTCCGTGCAGCACTGATCGTCTAAGGATACATTTATGTTGTTTCATATATTCGGTTTGGGATGAACTGAATCTTTGTCCTGAAAGGCTTCGTGTCGGTAATACAACATGTCGACTTCGGGAATGTGTTGACTCAACTTGTCACTTAAGTGGCAAGAACGAATGACATTGTTTTATTATCGGGGCCATTCCAACAAGCATGTGCTGTTTGTTTGTTTACATGTTTGCAAATATTGCGGAGTTTGTGAATGAAGGGATCTCATTTAACACGCACACCCTGTTGTTCTTTTTATTAAATTCCATACACAACAAAATAGTCCAAGCAACACTATGTTTCAAAATGATCTGATATCGGAGATATTGAATAAGTTATTACTGTATTTGTATTATTTTAAAATGTGCATAAAAATATTATTTTAGTTGAATAATTTTGTCTCATTGACATTGCAATATGTTCTATATTTTGTATACTATATTAAAAGTCTTTTTTTTTTGACCTTTTTTGAAGATAAAGTATCGCCTTCATTTGTAAGTTCAGGAACAAAGAAGTTGACTATGTTGTAACTTATTAGAAGAAGAAACTTGCTCGTGGTTTCCTTCAGAGTAATTCACGCTGCGGCATTACAACCTTCAACGTTATACTAGTTCTAGATATTTCAGTAATGAAATCTAATATTTTGGGTTTTGTATTTTTCATTTTTATGCTAAAATCACAACTATGTTTTTCCAAGCTATATATGGGAAAAATCTTGGAAAAACAGTAACAATTCTGTTTGGATATTGCCAACGACTTGGAAACGTCAATATGCGCACATATTGAAATCGAAATTATTTAGAGAAAAAAGGAAAACAGAATGACTCGTTTGAAATATATATTCATTGATTGCTGCTTGCAAGACTGTGGAGTCCGCAAAATATACAATTGACTCCGACTCCCAATTCCGATTTGGAATAATTTGTCTACTCCAGACCGATGGAAATTCTAACTTTGACTCTAGCTTTGAACTCTTGTTAATAAAACATCTTTCTAATAGAAATTTAGGATCGCTTGGTCTAGTTAATTTATCTCTAGTTTTTGCAGAAAATATATACTTTGATTAAAACCATTAAACATCTGAAATTTTCACTCGACTGCCGACTCCGAGAAATTGAAAAATGCGATTCCGGCGTCAACTTCGGTGAAAAATATGTCAAACATACGAATATTCAACTGGGAAATTTTTGTGACTTTATAATAGTTAGTAGATGTGAGAAGTGAACAGTGAATACTGACTTGTCAAACACTTTGTTTACAGTAAACTCACAAACGACGAGGTCTCGCTTAAGGAATTCGAGTCCGCTGTTACAGTATGTAACAACTCGATTTTGAGCACGTCGTGAAAATATATTCATGCTGAAGGAAGTTCCTTGTCGATGCTGTCACTGCGCCTATATGTTCATTCTCGGGGTGATATCATTTCAAAGGTACAGTGCACGTTTTTCAAGCGCCTTGTCGTGGTTTGAATAGCCAGTAACATTTTCACATTCAAGTTATTGATAAAAAAGAAAGTTAGGAGAGCGTGACATGCTTCAATTATTCAATTGTTTCAATTTATGATTATTCCAATAGAGTATATATTACAGTGTTGGTATTGGAGGTGGATGCATTATGATTTACTATGATGCGAAATCAGGGCGCGATGATTCAATTGATGCTAGGTCACTCCTCTGGCGTTGAAAAATGGAGATTTCTGCACAGCGATTGTTTACGCAGAGATTCACAGTTCTGCTAAAAAGTTTGAATTGTAGTTGTATGATTGAGATTATAATTTGAACATTGCGTTATGCAATATTGTTCTGGTAATTTGCCACAATAAAATGCAGCAGGAAACATATCAGCTCTTTTTGTATGTTGTGCAATGACAGAACAGTTGCCGTGATGTGGAAGAAAAAATTATGCATATCCTTGAGTTATGTAAGAACCTGTCTTGAATTATGCAACAACTTATTTTATCGTGTTGATTTTTTATTCTGATTCAATCCATATATGTTTCTACTTATGTCAAATATTATTTCTTCAGAATAGTAAAATATAAAATAAAACATTTTTTCCATGTGTTATTTCTAATAATTGATTGAAATGTATCCTACTGACACACTGACGTATGAACTACATGAAAATATGATCGAAATGTTACGATTACGAAGTAGTGTCAACGCCCTAATAACGATTAAGTAAACAGCAAGTTTCACACTTTCATGTTTCCCCAACTCTTTTTGCAGATCAATTGGCATCGATAACAGTATGTTGTTGAAAACAACTTGAAGGTTCTTGAAAATATGCGTAAACAATATACTTTTGCCACAAATTGTAGCACGCATGCTCCTTACCCGTGTATAATGATTACTTACAATATATGCAGCAGCACATTAGTGCCAATGTACCACATGTACATATTTGCAGTGCTGGATTTATCATTAGGCAGGGTCGCCCGGAGCCTAGGAGCCTCGTCATACAGTTTCGAACTATAATTTTAAATTAATTCAACATACTTCAATCCGTTTGGGTGATTAGCTTTCGTATTCACGAGCGAATTTATTTATACCGTCATAATATACTTTGAAAATTATTATGACGTCATTATGAGTCGATAAGGTTTTATAAAGCACCATTAAATAGGGGCTCACAAATGACATAGGCTAGTCATAAATAGACCAAGGGCCTCTCACCGTCTACATCCGGCTCTGGCTAATTGCACAACAAATACCAATATATTTGGCTTCGATATCCTGCTTCCAATCCAGTTGTAAAATGTACTGATGTAGATAAACACCAGTAGTAGTAGCTTGGTTAGCAAATAATCAACAAACTTTAAATTAAAATTTTGCATATCCTCGTAGTACTACTTTAAGTACAAAATACTAAAATGTGCTATCGTACTATTTTGCAATTAATGTGATTGTTTTGTTCAACTATGTTGTCATAAAAGGGCTGCCCCGTATTGGCATGTCAACTTTTCAACCAGGGTGTATTCTTCTGTCGTCCCCTGGTCTGTCAACAGGCAACTATAATAGTTCTTGACCGTCCTAAATTGTTTTTAAATTCAACTTATCTATTATTAAATCTACTTTTTTGATAAGTATACAAAATATAGTTGCAACGATTGGCAAATGGCAACCCCAATATTACATCATTAGGGTTCAGTCAGAGATTGTGACGTCTCTCGCATATGCTCAATACCGTCGTGGTGAAACATTCTGAAGTATTCCTTCCAAATCGAAAATCCCATCTCCGCCATCTGGTCGACTAATTGTAAAAAAAATTGTGTAGGCTACCCGTTTGTTGAGTTTGGTAACGGGATATACACTTACAAGCCGAAAATATGAATATACATCCGACACAATATACGTATAGCCTATCTACAGTGATTCAGCGAATCATATACACAGCAATTCGATTTTAAACGCACACTTGACCGTGTGTTTTACATCAGAGCGCTGACATGAATGTCAGTTCAATGCCATGTTCGTAGTCAACATGATTACTCGTTCAACATCTTATTCGGAGATATGAATGTTTTAAAGGCTTTTCACGACCAGGGTCATGTCACGAAAAGGGGATCGTTCATGGACTGAAGCGATTGAAGCCATGCTAATTGAAACCGTAGTAGGCATTCATTTATTATGTAGTCGTTGTCATACTCACAGAGACCTGGGGAAATTAATGCAAAGTAAGCAATATAAAGCAATACATAAAAGACATATATATATAATATATATTTCCATTAAAAACTAATTTAGGATTTTTCTTTAAGCTCTCAAACGGTTTAAGTCGCTGTGTGAATATAGTTTGTATTTTAAACCCCCATTTTTTTATTACACACAAACACAGGTTAGCGCAAAAACTTTTGATTACTTCACAGTTCCCAATAATTACAATTGCTACTATGAAACTTTTCCCCGAGAAAACGTAGATAGATACAAGATACCATTAGATTTCAATCTCATCTCGCGTGTAAGCTATACGTGAGATACACAATGTTACATTATTTTTAACAACTAATATCCGTCTGGAGATCCTCCTCTTCTATCGTCGACTTTAGCAGCCAGTTTATTGTTATCCAATCTCACAATAGCATGAACGTTAGACTTGTATCCACTTAACATTTTTACATCATGGCCACGTTCTTTGAGTCCTTGAACTACTTCCTGTTTAAAAATAATTCCGAATACGACTAGTCATTTGCGTCCATCGGCCTAATTGGATAATAATATCAGATTTTGTAACAAATTCCTGATATACTTTTCATATACTACAAGCAAAAATAGCATAATTTATGTTGTGGTTATTTGATTTTATAAAGCTTATACTCCAGTAATTCTTAAACCTATTTTGAAATAATTACCAATAAAAAAATAACAATGAAAAATTGCTATGACGCACCTCGTCCATATTCTCTTCTAAATACAATATATTTGCTTCCCTGCCGGGATGTGTTGGCCTTTTTGATCTGATCGCCTCGTCAATGCTTTTGTTGAACCACAAATGTTGTATGATTGACTGAGAAATAAATTATATGAATGAAATTTAGCTTTGACGTAATGTAGGTTGTACTCTTGTAACTTGATAAAAATGTTAACTACATTTCTCGTTTCCTACTCGAAAGATCCAATTTTTGAATAGCGTGCATAGTAACACATTTTGGTACTCCAGAAGTATGCGCACCAAGATGTCTCACAACCTGAATCCTAACCCGTACACACATACTATGTTCAGGTTGTGCGCCATCTTGGTGCGCATGCTTCTGGAGGTTCCATATTTTAATAGTAGCACCTCTTTCCTGTTTTGTGTAAAACAGTTTCCGCTTTAATTACGGCATACAAACAAATCAATTTTTATAAAAGGAGGAATACTTATTTTTAAGAAGCAATTATTTGACGAATTCTGTTATCATATCATATATATGTTGATATGAATGTCGTGGAAATACTCATCAATTTACAACTTCTATTCAGATGTATGCAAATTTATTCTTCCTAAAAAGTTTTGATACTTAGCACCACCTTGGAAATTTTGTACAATGAAACAACACGATTTTTATTTATTGTGTTGTCACAAGATGGGTATATTGCACCCCTTGTAACCTAATATGAACATTTTGTTGTCGACTTACCCAAGCAACCGAACTTAGGAGAAATGTGCCTCCAGAACCGCCAAATACCATTTTCACGGACGTATCTTTTATATTTCGATTGAGTATAATAGCTGGAGCAATGTAAGTCAATGATCTTTTGCCGGGTTGGATCCTGTTATATGATTTATCGGCATCCGCAAGACCGTCTGTATAATAAAGTATGTCTACTGTTCAACTAGATACGTTTTATCATTTGAAACAACAAACAAGTAGTCAACCTTTTTACAAACCATTCACAAATGCCACAATCTGGTCATTGAATATGATGCCAGTTCGTTCGCCATAAACGTGGCTGCCAAACCTGAAAATTGGAGTTTAAACATGAGAATTCCATACTTGTTATATCAATTCATTTTTATCGGATTTTTTTTTCTCAGACCACTAATGTATTTTACGAACCCAAAAGAAATATAATCTTGAAGGAATCATGGACCAATTACGCAATGTTGTATTGTTTGAATTCGTTGTTTCATTGATGTCAAAATGAAGAAGAAGCATTCTCGTGGGCACCGGATTCATTCTGCTGGTGCTGTTATAGTAAACATTGTCACAACATACTCATAATATTTTGTAGGCGATATCAAAATTAGATAACGTCGTATATCTGAGGTAGCAATATCATAGCTTATCAAAAATTTATGATGAAAAGCTGTGATATGATTTGGATTAGCAAATTAATTTTAATTTAGTTCTCAGCATCTCAGAAGTTGTCGATCTCGATATTTTATTCAGTGCTTACATTGAGTTCAATTAATTATTGTCTGATGCTTTGAAATCAAATTTATGTTTAATTCTAAACAAACTACACACGCTCTATTTATTGTGCTGGTCATAGCAATTGCACTTCCATCTGGACCGACAATTCCCAAATGCCCCGTCCCACATTCTTCCGGAAGTGGAAGGATTTCTTCGTAATATTCTTGTGGATGAGTTTCGAAATCGTCAATTTTCATTCTTATTTCTTCGCAATATTCTTCAGTAAGCATTTCATCGACGATCTGAATCAAGTAAAACTATAATAATCATAAAAATCAGAAAAGCCTCAGAGTTCAATTAATGACGCGAATACTATCCTAAGCTGAAAATTTTTGGAGGCATTCATTGGGTTAAATAATTTGTCTATTGTACAGGGACATACGGGGGAAACGAGTAGATTTTTAGTCATAGCCTTAATAAAAAAAAATGTTACCTTCTTAATATTATGTGGATAGAAATCTGTATCTCCGAGCCTTCTTTTTTTACAATATGCAAATTTCATCGCTTCAATAATTCGGTGATATGTCAAAATTTTGTTTTCACGCAAATCATCATCGTTAAATTGATAGCCTGTAAACGTATTTAGTTTGTTTTTATTACGGATACTCTTACCACTCAGATGACGTGCGAATTTCCGAATTATAGATTAGTATTATTTCAACATCATAAGTATAAGTACCTAATTTGGTTGTGCTATTTTTCAATACTTGTTATTTTATACGCCTTGATTAGTTATATATTTTTGTTGAATTTATACGCAATTTGACGGATTGTGTTTTATTTATACAAGAATTTGAGGTCGATGATTGACTAAGGATGGCATTCAGTGGTGGCATTCAAAGTTTGTCAGCCGGTTCCATCACAATCATTTGTCGTCGCAATCATTTGTGACGATTTTCAACAGCGTAACTCTCCAATACCACACGTGCGAAACCCGAATTTGGTTTTATATTATTACCTTTAAGAATGCCAAGTAAATAGGCGAGCACGGGTCCTCCTGATGGCGCTCCTGGTACAACCAGCGTAAGATTCTCATTCAGCTGCAGCTTGACCGTTTCTTTCATTTGAACTCTGTAATTGAATGCTTGCAAATTAAGATCCAAATAACTCCGAGCAATAATAAGAGGCAAGTTATTAAATTATAACCTGGTGAAAATGAGAAGATTAAGAAATGCAATGCTTTTCATATCAAGGTTGTAGAATCGGTGTTAGGCGTTTTTTAACGTTTTTTTAGTAGAATCTCGAGTTGGTTGGTTAAATTCTACAAAGTGGAAGTCTAAACTGCAGTTTTATGTGGTGTTCAAGAACGTAGTATATACATATAATCATACTGGATCTGGAAATTTCGGGGGAAGCATTTTACCCGGATGAATTGAACCGTTCACCCGAGTGACCGACGCTTGACGAAATAAGATATAATTCAAGCTCGTTACGTTCCAAAACAATTTCTCGTAATCTTATCCTGATATCGCTCGAAATTGTTTACAGATCAAGATAGTTTCACGATTGCTCTACTGCAAAAGATATGCAGCGTACTTATATGGAAGTATTTCAGTAAAACCGATTCCGTTATTGAATGTCATTTATGTGACAAAACCTTCCGTGTTCGATGTGTGACTTGCTTTTTGAGATGTCATAAAGAAAACAGCACCAACTGCGATCAGGAGCTTCTTGCTCTATCAGTTTCGTATGCTGTGATACGAGTGTACCATCAGAAAGTGTTTCAACACGACCGGAAATATTATCAATTCAAAGCGTTTTTGACTCTTTCCTGACAATGCTAGTCATTTTCGAAGAAATTGTACAGAATGAAGTTGATTTATGCCTGAGATGTCATTTAACGGTCAAAATAAATTGTGACCCTTAACCATCTAAAATCGCTTAACCGATTAACCCAGCCCTAAATACACCTTATTTACTATTTTATCAGACACATTGTGTAGTCCAAAAAAGATTTTAGGCATTTTTCGAAACATTAAATTTATGGTATATGTAAAGCAAGGGTGTGCAACCTGCGACCCGCGGGCCAAATGCGGCCCGCAAAAACCAAAATTGTTCCTGTAACTATCAGAAAGCCTATATGTTGCCTATAATATGTTGCAGTTTCACCAAGTCATTTGTATCTGATCCTCCTGTATTAAAAGTTGCACACCCTGATGTAAAGCACAATACTAGCTGATATTTACGCATGACTTAATTTGATATCAAAACATTCGGGTACCGAACTATATTATTTTTATAACCCTTTAAACTTATAACAAAATTTAATTCTGGAAACAAACATAAATTAAAAATTAGAACAAATCCATTGTACGACAGACCTATATTGAGTGAAATCTTTCTTTTCGATCACAGACGGAAATCCGAACCCATCGTGTATATCATCTAATATCAATTGAGTCAAACTTCCGTTATAAAAGGCATCAGCTCCTTTTGTTGCTATTGTACGAAGAGTTACAGCTAAGGTCGGCCGTGTTATTATATCTCCAGCTCTTTTAAATGTTCCATCCGAACGTTGGAGAAATTTTCTAAAATAAACCATTTTTAAACAATTATAATTTTTTTGTTTGCCCATAAGCCCAGTGCTTATTTTTATTAAAACAAACAATTTCTGATATTATTTTGGCATCTAATTCTTGTCCTGCATTGTCTATTACTTTTTGCATCCACGATTTCTTCCGTCAATTGTGGAAAAGTTTGAAAGAATGAACATGAATTGATATTTCTGTGCTCTGTTTCATAGAAAGAGTTATTCTAAAAATGTGATAAAATATGGCCACTTGTTGAATCAATTAGTCTATCTTTCTGCATTTGGTTGGAATTCAAATAAAATGTCTTACTTCAACCGTTTGTTTTCTTGCACCAATGGCATCATGAGGTCCAGCCAGTTTTCTGTGGACGAAGTCATTTTAAACCCTTTTTCAGCTACTAGAATTGCGGGCTCAAATACGCGTGACCATGGTAGTTTTCCAAACATCTTATGAGCTTCCCAGAATCCCAGAATTTCGCCGGGAATTCCGATGGAGGATTTCCCTAAAATAAGAAATAACGAAAGTACCTTCTGACACTCTTTCTTCAAACCCTAAAAACAAGCCTGGTGTAGCGAAATATATTGGATATTTCTGCACGATTTTGTTACGGCTTATTAACAAGCATATATTCATCCGCGCGAGATAGTTATGCGAATGGATTGCTGTACTTCTCGTCATCTCAGACAGTTTACGTAGAATAAACGATGAAACCAATTAACACCCACCGTACGTTTGCCCATACTTGTTGTCTACATAAAATTTGCCATTTGTTAATGCCAAAGGAGCGATCGACCTTCCATCAATAGAATATTCGTTTCCAGATTCTGCATCGTAGTAAATCATGATACATCCGCCTCCGATACCGGCACTGTTATATATGATGAAATATCGACATAGTAAACATGAAATTGAGAAATTTGAAAATTACAAAAATCTTGGTTATTTTACTCCATTCCATATCGGCATTTTTTTGAATTTTAACAATTATACTGTTGAACTGTTTTTTAATATGTCACAAGTAAAATTTTGAATTACCTTTGAAGCGATATCACACCAAGTGTTAACATAGACGCAATCGCAGCATCGACAACGGAACCTCCCTCGGCAAGAATATCCTTTCCCACCGTGCTTGAAATCGAATTGTTACATACTACAGCTGCGAATTCAAATTCCTTGTAAGAGGCCCCGTCGTTTGATTGTTTACTGTACAATATGAGAACACCATACAATTCATAATCTTTGTTTTATTCTATCAATTTACTTCCCATTGATTAGATCTACAAAGAAAACTTTTTCACGTACTCCAACACCAATGCAATCAAACTTTAATGAAAATCTTTCAAAATATTTACCTATGATACGTATATTAAATATATTCAAACATATATATTTCATAGTATTGAAATGGTTTGAAACATCGCCAAGTCAGACAAAAAAAAAATTCTTACCCCTTCATCCCGTCGATCAGTTTATTTCTGAATGCTAGCATGTGTAAGATAAAGGTAAACTGAAGAAAAGATGAAAAAAAATTATGTCGCCACACGAGCGATGGTCCTAATCAATACTGCCACATTCTGTCTTGCTAAATAAAGGCTTGTCATCACAATTCAACGTTTCTTGTGGCGCACATCAGCCAAATAACGCCAATCCACTGCAAAGCAACATTAATATTCGAAACGATGCGGGTGAATAAGAAAGTTTTGCTTGACGATTTTCAAAAATCTCGCCATTGATTAATTTTAATGCTCTGAGGTGAAAGGACAATCCAATTTGAACCTTTTTCTGCGGTTTCAAATTCTCAAAAACCTCCAGCAACCCATCTTTGGCATGTTCACTGGATAAAATTTGCAAACAATTTCCCGTACATTACCCATTATTTTTTTATTCTTGTTAATTCATCATTTTTGGAAATATTTACAGCTATTTTAGGCACGTCGGCAGTGAAGGCATGTTTAGACATGTTAAACAAGTTTATTTTATTATTTCATTTAAAAACGTAGTATGATATTAGTATTTAAGACTTTGACGTCGCTTTTTGAACGAGGAGTGACTTGGATCGTTTGCTCAATTGTGGTTGTTAAAAATCGGTTTTACAGGCAACATATGACCTAATTGATTTCAATTTTTAGTTCTTAAATATGATTCGCTATAAGGTCGCTATAAGGCTACTTCTATTTTTCAACTAATTTTAAGAGGAGGAGAAAGTATATGAATATAACCAAAATTAAGATGTTCTATTTTAATTCAATAATAAACTTTTTTATAGAATAGGGGAATACGTTCCACACTTGTCCACTGATCTTTTCAGCAAACTCAGTGATTAGCTAATTCCTTACCGTACTGGTGCCGATTTCGAAGCATGTCTGAAATATTAGTAAAATATGTGATCTATTTCAAAAATATAGCGATTATATTTCTGCTCTGCGAAATTATAGTACGGTCTACTTTAACCTGGATTCGATTTAACCCCTGGGGCTCGGTTGAGCTGTTCCAGGGTTTCGACAAAGGTCCTTTGAAGCAGTTCTATATCAGGAAATTTCTCTGTTACCCAGCCTTCCAATTATGAAAAAATATCAATAGTTCATATCAGATATACAAACTTACACGTTTAAATAACTCGCTCAGATTTAAGTTTTAGTAGCTCTGTCATGGGCGGTTACAACTTTTCATGTCAGCAGACTTCATCAAAAAATCATATATAATATCGCCACAGGTATCGTAAGATTTTGTGTACTTCTCTATGACGAGCGCTCAAGCGTTGATTGGTCGCGCGACGTATTTGCCACGATTTGATAATTATGTTCCGATATTTGGGTACTCGACGCTTAACCTTCAGACCGCAAACAACTCAACCGTAATAAACAAGCTTCCTGCCTCGTTTTGAGTTAAGTTATTTTACTGTTTTATCGCATCTTCGTATTGATTTTGTCGTCATCGTTTTATTTGAAAAATATAATACACAACCAAGATTTTACACGTTTTAACTAGATACTTGTAAGCGGATAGTTGAAGACGCGCAGTTACGGTATGCGCTGAGTCATAGGGAACAACCATTCAAAAACCTAACGAAACACTTCAGCAAGTGATAAATTTGTGGCAAAGAACATTTCGTTGCAGAATTCGCACTGAAAAAAATCATTAGACGCAACAATGACTATTATTGACTGCCACAGAACAGTTAGAAGGGGCTACGATACCGGTGTCAAAATTGATTTTTATGCAATTTTCTTTACATACTTTATGCTTCCGGTCTAACTAGTTTCATTTCCTGATAAGATTATTTCACATGGTGTTTTCACTTTCTCGTGCATGAATTGTTGGGTTATAATGGGACTTGGGATTTACAAATCAAAATAACATTATGAATGCCACTTTGCTCCGCAAATTGGCGCGGCGCGGCGGTGTGGCTCAGCGGGCTAAGCGTTAAGAATACGCTCGCCACCGCACCTCTAATTACTCTGCGTGGGTTCGCAGGTTCGAATCCCATGCAGGGATGGTTATGTGCGAGAGGATTGCTGGACTCCTCCCCGTCGTTGGGTGGTTCACGTAACCGCTGGTCGGTTACGGCTTCCTCCACCACCAAGTCCATGCTTCCGAAAACAAACAATACAGTAAAATTAATCCCATACCCGACTTGGAATGGTAACCGGACGAGAGGCCGTGGTTCGCCATATGGATAAGCCGTCTTATCGGCTTTTCTCTCCCCCGAGATAAATATGTAAATCCTATCCTAATTCTAAGCTTTGTAGTAGGTCGGCAGGCCATTTGACCTAAAGATACCGGTCGAACCTTGTCTACATATAACGAAAGTTTCACATGACTGCAAGGTAGACGTAGAAAAATATTTCTAAATTCCTAATATTCCCAAGAAACGAAAATAGAACGACAATTACTTTGCTTTTATCAAAGTAAATCGAGATGGCCTATCTAGAATGTGCGCAACCGCAGTAGTATATATTTACGGCGCAACGCATGCTCGTATTTTTGAGATGGTGAACAAGAGGTCACGAGTGCTAAAATCCTCTAGGGTAGGAACCACTGATATATAACAAAAAATTAGGTTACTTATTATAAGTTTCCGATTGCGCTACTTGAAATGTTCAATAATATGAGGTTCGGCAGAAGAATGCAGCAGTGATTTCCCTACCCCCCCCCCCCCCCTATTTGACGCACGTATTTCGAAATTTAATTCATCGCTTGATTCGTACAAAAGTCAAACGATCATGTTCAAAAAATGTGAAATGTGTAACAAAACAAGCCATAAGTAGCCATTCATACGATGCCATATGCTAGATGAGCAGGTAACTTCATTAGTCACTATAAGTCGTAAATTACTTGCTGAAAGCCGGGCTTGTTATTTATTCCTCGGGAATTCTATCAGATAAATATTATAATTATTAATTTCATTACATAACAAACTGCGATGCTAGATGTATCTAAAATCAAGCTTAGAGCCTATTTTGGTGCCTATTTCTCAAAATTTTCAGCCGTGAACCCCAGCCGTGTCGTCGCGCACTTTTCGCTCGCCTTTTCTGGCCCTACATTTTTATTCTGCTGTGTATTTTGGCTCGCCGTCAATCAACTTGGGAGACCCCTCATGTACATTGTTTCTTAAATACATACCAATTTTTTGAAAGTACGAATAGTTTCATCGCAATAGCAAATTATTTTCCACCCCCTAAACTTCGAAACACCCCCCCCCCCCCTAAAATGAAAAGCTGGGGAACATACTGGCTTGCAGAATAGCCCAGGTGTTCGGAAGGCTTGCAAATGTTTAGAACCACTGCATAGCACAACCCACACTCATAAAGTCACTACAAAACGAAATACGATGACTTTTATGTATCCACTTGTGTATACTCACGAAACATAAGCTGTTAAAGTTTTACGTACTCAGCTTGATCTTTTACATCGATTTTTGTCTATTTTCTATATCCAGGGCTGTGGATTTTTTTACTATAATAAAAACATCACATTTATATAAACACAATAATACGTAAATATCATTGCACTTAAAAAACGAGCTTTTTGTAAATTTCCATCTCTTCATCATGCGGATTAACAGTTTACCATTTTTAGTTGCAATACTTTTTTTTACAGTTAATAATATTTTTATCGTATATAAAATTTGACAAAATAAAAACCCTCCATGACGAAGTTAACATTTGTATATATGGAATAATTGTTACATAATAAAACACAATATGTAGATTCGGGATCGGATATTTTTTGCCATTAATGGAGTTGAAACCGGAACAGAAATTTCACAACCCTCGGTGTCTCAGTTCAGATTTCCATAAACAGATACATGGGGGTCAGAATCAACATTTTCAACATAAACTGAAAAACACTAAATTGCTTTCACTACTGATCTGGACTGAGAGGCGTGGGTCAATTTTCGGGAATATTTTTTTTATATTTCATCACCAAATGCACACCGGTGCTGATCACAGAGGGATTCAAGACTCCGAGCAGCATGACTCCGTTTTTTTTGACAAGCAGGAGTGCAAATCAAAAGGACAACACTACAAGGCTGAAGGAAGAAACGGATGAAGTGGCGGAAAAACGGAAGTTGAAGTGTTCCCAAAGGTGAAAAATTGAAAAACACTAAAAGGCTGAACACTAAAACGAAGAAGTGGAATAAATTTCTTCCGAGGTGGCTGAAGTCACTAAAAAGCTGAACACTAAAAGGAAGAAGTGGATGAAATTTTCAGAAATTTCATCCACTTCTTCCTTTTAGTGTTCATCATTTTAGTGACTTCAACCACCTCATTATCCGTCGGAAGAAATTTCATCCACTTCTTCCTTTTAGTGTTCAGCTTTTTAGTGACTTCAGACACCTCACCACCCGTCGGAAGAAATTTCATCCACTTCCTCCTTTTAGTGTTCAGCCTTTTAGTGTTTTTCAATTTTTCACCTCTGGGAACACCTCAACTTCCGTTTTTCCTCCACCTCATCCGTTTCTTCTTTCAGCCTTTTAGTGTTGTCCAAATCAAAATGACTATAGGCTAGTCACTTTGGTGCAGATAAATATATTTCAGTTTTTTGTGTGAATGACAGTTCATCGTGAGCGAAACTAAATCCTAAAATGTGATGTTGTAAATTTTATTGTTTTGTCTCAAGCTAAAATACACGTTACCACAACCTAATGTCTGAATGTAGACGGTGACACTGTGTAGGTGAACGGCTGATTGATTGTCACGATTGTAGCTGTAGTAGGTACCTACCACCAGGCTACGGATTGTGTAGAACAGTGGTTCTCGAACTTTTTGAAAAATAATGCATAACGGTTCCCTTTCAATTTTTCTGATGACTCGTGGTCCACCAAAGAAATTATAGCAACGCAGTATATCAAGCATTCATCTATTGAATGACATTAAGAGTGTTCAATGAGATGTGTGCGCCTGCTCAGCTCCCACTAGTTAGTCTACCTTGGGTTCTGTTTTGGATAATGCAACTCTCATATCTTGTTTTAATAGTGAGTAACATAGAAAAAGATGCCCGCACATTCGTAAGTTGTTGCAAATGGAATGAAGCAGTTTTAGTGACATCGGGATTGGACGGTCCAACTGTGGTCTTTTTTTCCTCCAGAACTATCACAGCAAAACCAAATTTCACATATGAATTGTTATATCTAAATTTATTTTTTATGGCGGGCCGCGAGTCTTATTTTTAATCAGATGCGCGCGCCTTCCATAAACCACACACTCCGATTTACGGTACTTGCCACTTTCCCCAACATTTGTTACGTAACACAGTAATACAGTAATAATGTCTTTGTTAGAGCGTGTCATGCTTTGTAGAAACACTGTAAAAGCAAGACATCAAAACTTTACTTCAGATCAAAGTGCTTCTGTGCCGAGATTAACGCTGTCTCGCGGTCTCCCTAAAATCGCTTCACGGACCCCTAAGCGACCGCGGACCCCAGTTTGAAAACGAATGGTGTAAAAGGACTAGGGATAGCTGAATACATACTTCAGTATGGGGGCCCGCTGCTCAGTACAGTGCTCTGCACGGGAGGCGGACAGCTCAACTACAGGACTACGGTACTTTCTAGCGCAACGCTTCAAGAGGGCAGTAGGGTACCTGTATGTCGTAGTGGTGTAAATTCCGATCTTTAAAGGGCTCCAGTGGCATGGAAACACACAAATTTATGTGCACAAGTGACATACAGACATATTTTGAAATCAATTTATAACAAAAATGTATCATCTAATTTCATATCATTTTCGGTACTGTTTCTCTTATTTTTCAGGCATGAATCGCGATAATGACTAAACGTAGGCGCCATAAGATGGAAATAAAGGACATAGTGTCCATAAAGGAAGCAGATAATGATAAAATTTTAAGTATTTTGGATAAATATGCTTCAGAATTTTTAGGTGAAACACAGCCTAAAGAAACACAACCCAATACCCCCACTATTCTAACCACGGTGATGACGAAAGAGGAAAATGATAATAAATTAAAAAAGGAAGTTGAAATTGTCATATTTAAAAGTAGAAAAACTAAAAATGAAGAACCGGAAATAAAAAAAGCATCACCAACTATTGTTGGTACAGACTCGAAGTTCAATATTCCAAAGTGTAAATATACAAATGAAAGACTAAATTCTTCAGAAGTTTTAGAAAAATTAAAATTCAGCGTTGGCTCGTTTGGAATGAAGGCATTTTCGAAAGAAGAACAGAGAGAACATGAAAGAAAAAGAGCAATAAAACTTGGAGCAAAACCGACGAAACGGAAATATGTTAATTATAAAATTCTCATGGAAGAACAAAAAAGATTGAAACAAGATACAAGTTCTGGCAATAATATATTGTCGAACAATAGAACCGAATATAAAGAAAAGCCGAGTGGCATGCCGAAATTCTGGAAACAAGGCGATAAAAGTTTAAATCCACAAATTGGAAAATATAAGGATGGAGTTTTAAAACTTTCATCAAAAGATATTAAATCTGTAAACAGGCGCCGATAAAAAATTCCTCTTATTTTGATATTTTCGGCTGACTCAATGCATTACACATTAAACCTATTCTTCCATATGGATCATGAAAGCTATTTCCAGTAGGACACAGTCTCCTGATGCCAAGATCTGTCGATATTTGGTTCAATAAAACTAACACTCTATTTGTCTTAGTAACGAGGGTGTCTGGCACGGCAGTAGATTGCGTCATGCTTGTCCCGATAATAAATTAACGTGCGTCTGCCGTCATATGACCAAAATTTTCCTGTTGACGTTTTTTTGCTAAAAACTCTTGAATCCTGCAGTAAAAATTTTTTTCTCCAGTGAATCGTATTATTTTTTGGGAATCCAACGGTGACATTTTCAGATTGCGTATTTTTTTAGTTTATTGCGCAGTGCCGGTTCTGCTGATGTGGAGGCCCAGACTGTCTCGTAAAGGAGCGGTTTGCATTCACTGTTTTCTAATGTGGGGGCGTTCTTGAAATTGGAGAACTGTACCGTACTGCATTTCTATTGATTTTTTTGCAAGTTTGAGGAATGTGTAGTTGATCAGTAAACTAACATATAATTATACTCATTTACAAGTGTAGTATAAAAAAATGAATCAACGTGGAACGATAAATGTTATTCCAATGATTTTCATTTGTATTGGTTTCATACAAAAACACTGTATATTATCATGTTTAACTTTGGACCAAATGAGTTGAACTCGCATCTATTTGTTGTAATGTCAATAAATTTTCAGATTTTCAATTTTCATGATTTCCTTCGAAGTATAGAAAAAGGAAATAAATTAATGCATGGAACGAGACGGCAAGTTTTGTGAATGGTTATTTCACAATTTTACAGTATATCAATAATATTGAAATTGAATATTCATTCATTTTGATGGAAACTTCGCCCAACAAAATGATATCATCGATTTGAGACCTGTTGCCGAATATAACAATTTCATGCGAATGTTAAAAACATTGTTTGGCATATTAAAAAAAAATGCATTGTAATACTGTTGAATTTGGTACGTCATTGATGTATGTATTACATGTTTGATTTACTATCCATATGTGGCCTAGACTTAATTGAATAAACGAACTGTTACTTTAATATTTACAGGTTAATTCTTAATTATAATAAATACGATGGGATCATCTAAAAAGCATAGGAAAGACCATAAACATCGAAAGCACAAGCGTTCAAGTCCTGCATATGATGATGAAGAGAGAGATGAGAGCCATAGTCCAGAAGAAAAGAAAAGAAGACGACATGACGATGTAGAAACAGAAAAATCATATTCTAAACAAAAAAAACATAAGAAAAAACACAAGAAACAAAGTGAACGAGATCGAGATTCTGAATCCCCCCAAAAGTTGGAATCTGAACGTAATGGTAAGTCAAGACAACATCATGCTGAACCCACTCCAACATCAGCTAATGGCGAAGGTGACTCACTCAGTATTGAAGAAACAAATAAGTTGAGGTTAAAACTGGGACTCAAACCTCTCGACGTCGGTGGATCTTCCGGTAATGCAACCGAATCAAAGAAAGAAGAATTTGTTCATGCTCCTGCTGAAGATTTGTGGGAAAAGAAAAAACAGGATGATATCAGAGAAAAACTACGAGCCATTAAAGAAAAAAGAAACTTAAACAAAAAAATGGGGAAAATCAAGACTTTGGGAGAAGAAAATGAAGATGAAAATGATGCTGTGTCTTGGGTAGAAAGAAGTAGAAAAATGGAAAAACAAAAAAAGGTGGCGGAAAAACGAGAACAAGAAATGGCTAAAATGGATGCAGAATTTGGTATTGGTGGTTTAATAGACAATGAATTTGCCGATGTAAAGAAAGACTCATACACATCTCGTGATTTGCAAGGCATTACTGTAAAACATTCCTTAGAAATGTTTAAAGAAGGAAGATCAGAAATTTTAACTCTCGAAGATAAAAATATACTTGAAGAAGATAAGGATGATGTTCTTGTTGGTGTAAACTTGGTTGATACTGAAAAAGCAAAACGAAATTTGGACGTGAAGTCCAAAGGTTCTGGATACAAAGCTTATGATGAGGAAGAGGTTGATGAAATGGGATTTTTTAAACAAAAGTCTATGCTCTCGAAATATGATGAAGAAATTGAAGGAATTAAGCAAGAGAAATTTACTATCGGTAATTATGGAAAAGTTGATACGACTTGGGAACAACAAAAAATGATGATGAAAAATGAAATTAAAGCTAAAGGAGTCAGCTTAGCGCTCCCTCAACTCAAAATTGCATCTGAATATTTGACTGAAGAGGAAATGACAAAGTTTAAAAAACGAAAAAAGAAAGTGCGAAAAGTAAGAAAACGTGATCTAAAACCAGATGATCTACAACCTCTACCGGGTAGTTCAACATCATCTGATTTTGGTTCTAGAAGTCGAAATCAACGAGGAAATATACCTGGATGGGATGAAGGTATTGAATCTGCAAAAGTGGATGACACAAGTATAACATCTACAACTTTAATGAATTCGACGAAAAATGTCATTTTTGACGAGGATGATGCCAGTAATGAACTTCAAAAAGCATTGGACAAAGCAAGACGGGCAAAACAGGTTAAATCAAACATGGTTACTGAGGATGTCGGTGCCAGTAAAGTCGTCGAACATTTAGACCTTTTAAATAAAGTTTCATTTGAAAATCCAATGGCCAATTATTCTACAACTATATCTTTGAATTCAACTGATGAATTTTGTCGTCAGCTCGGAACTGCCTCAGATTTGAATGTTATTAAAGAAGTGCCTATGGAAGAGACTTCCATGGACGACAGCGTTGATATGGACGTGGAAGATGAAGAAGAAGAAGAAGAAGTTACGTCAGGATGGAATTTTGTGAACGATAAAGCCAAAGTTAAGCCAGTTACACAGGCAGAACCTGTCGACGATAGACATGCACCTATTGAAGCCGAGCCTCTTGCCGTAGGCGGCTTAGCCGGTGCACTAAAACTTGCCACACGAAAGGGTTACCTGATGGAAGAAAAACCAAAAGGCTCAGTCACAATAACTAGTAAAAATATTGACCTGCTTTCTGCAAACTATTCCATTGAAGACAAAAATGCAGTTGATCATTTGGATAAATACGCTCACGAAAAATACTCGAAAGACCGTAGTAATCGCTACGATCGTGGAATTGTAATGGATTTTGAAGAAAAGAAAAATTATAAACCTAAAGTAACTATCGAGTATGTTGATGAAGGAGGTCGATTAATGAATCCAAAAGAAGCTTTCAGAAAATTATCTCACAGATTCCACGGTAAAGGATCGGGTAAAATGAAACTCGAAAAACGACAAAAAAAGAAAGGAGAAGAAGATATGATGTTGAAAATGAGTTCGACTGATACACCACTTAACACAGTAGCAATGATGAAAGAAAAATTACAAAGCGAAGCAAGTCCTTATATTGTTCTAAGTGGAGCTGGTAAAACATTGCAAGCTGGTGGTGGAGGGCTGAAGAAATGATTAGTATTATAGTTGTGAAATCTATGGAAAATGAAATCAATTTTCACTGATGCAAATCATTATTTTTGTGCTGTTGTGGGGACATTCTGTTGAGCCGTAAATCATTGCAGCTTCCAATACCTATTATAAGACATTTGCAGGGGTACCAATATCTTTATTAATAAACTTTGTCATTCTGATTATCTTATGCCTTTTTTGTAGCAGTTGATTGGCAGATCATATTATAAAAATCTTTTGATGTTATTTTGGGCCATATCATTTTAAATGCCTAAATTATTGTTAACATGCCCACAACAACTCTTGTTTTGATAACATTAGAATTGTACTTCCTGCTAGAAACTGCCCTGACTGACTTGATTTATATGTTAAAAATGAAAATTACCATGTGATTCGCTGCTTATGTTGGTGTTTTGCATTAGGATATTCTTTTGTCAGTGGGTGTTATCGGACATGATGGGATAATATTTTAATTATTTTTAAACCTGCTATTCTGTTCTAAATTTTTCGCCTCAATCAACAAGATTGAATTTTGTATGGGTTATAAAGATTATTATTTGGTGATGGTGAATAGACACTGATAAGTTAATTTAGAAATGTTGTATAGATATTTGTTGTAAATTTTTCAGATTTCTTGAGAAAATAATATGAAAAGTACTCACTGTACAGGTATCTCAATCTAGTTTGATAGCACATAAGAAGACTCATTACCAGGGCTGGGGGTTATTGTGAAAACACTTTAATCATTGAAAATTAGGTGTAGTATGACTTTTTATGTTATGATTCTGAAAAAGTTTGCCATAAATATTACTTGGGAATGTTGTAAATTGTGTATGGATCAGAAATGTCTTTCTATTAACTAGACGCTCTGCTTGGTCACTCATATACATTAATTATTTGGAATTTTAATACTGATACATGCGAATTAATTTTACTTCCTTTGGATGTCAGTTGATGTTTAAAATTACTTGTAACCATTAACCATCTAATAGTAGTTAATGGGTCACTATTCCCAGCTCTACTTATTACACCATGACGCAGTAAAATCAAGTTAGTTTATGTCACATTTTGAGAAAATCACAATTTTGTAATTCTCAAATCTGTAATTAATGTGCTAAAGTAGGAATCTGATATTCTATACAAAACATAATATTACATATGGCACCTAAGACTGTGTGTTTGGGGACGCCTAAAACACACCACTATATATATATATTCTTCCCCCGTTTTGGACAAAGTTTTGAAATCTATTAGGGTTCAAAACAACACTGGAATTAGGACATATTGGCAATATTCCTACCCTCGAAAGTCTGATAGTATCACAATATTCCACTCATCAAATGCCGAGCTATTGAATCCAAAAAACAACAGTTGCTTGTTATAAAAAATCAAAAAAGCCCATCTCTAAAAAAATTTGACTTAGGCTATCTTGTTTTTACTGTGGCTATATATAGATGACTGTCGTATGTCTATCAGCCTGTAACAGAAATTAGTTCTTGATCAATTACTTTTGCTTAAAAACTGTACATAAGCTGGTTTGTTTTAAGTACATATTTGAATCCTAGACCAAAAGATGACCCTGATCCACAGTGAAAAGGAAATCCTAAAAGTCCATTAGTACTTTGGTTTTACTGCGGCGGTTTTTGCTTGTAAATTTACTGCCTATTTTCATTGATATCTGAAGCAGTAACTTATTATCTGGTTCAGATCTATGTTTTATTATGAATAGCTTCAGGAAAACAAGGAAAATTGAGTGTGATGTTGTGTATTACAATTGACTTTGCCGTAACATCTTGGTATGATAACATGCATTATACATGTATTTTACTTTGTGATATAAGTTTTCGCAATCTAGTTGTCCTTTTTTTAGATCCTACGTTTGTACCTTTATTACGCTCGATCTTTTTTTATTATTTATTATTTGATAGTTAAAATAAAATGTTGCTCCATAGCTGAAATGATCTGATTGTAGCACGATGGACAAGCTTGAAACTAGTAATGGGAATATTCTTGAAGATTTAGAAGAGGTGAGTTTGATGAAGTCCTTTCATATTTAACAGATATTCTCTGTATATAGTGTTTACTTTTACAGTTATTTGCTAGTAATAGTTACATGATTTTCAATAAGGTTATATGAATTGTCATTTTGATTAATGTCAACCAGTTACTTTGTTGAGTAAAACATATTCCATTTTTTACACTTTGATATTTTGCACTAGTTATCTACTTCTTTTTCCAGACCTCAAATTACAATAGGTTATTCTCGTATGGTACTCATTTGTGTATGGACCCAACACAATAAGTTTAAATTCACTCCAACATGTATGCATAGATAGGCTACATATTTATATTAACAAACAAGCATCGAAATATAAGCCAAGGATGGTTAAAAATCACAGTGGCTCCGACTCTGAGCTTCATTTTTTAACCTCGGATCAGGGCTTCATAGCCGTGTGACAAAATAATTCAATGGTTGGGAGCTGAAGCCACTAAAATTTCTGGTAGCTCCATCGATAAAAGAAGGGTCGGCTTCGACTAAATGTCACAGAAATGGCTATGAATATATCATAAGTATGTATGGAGTATAAAATGGGTGAATGTTTACAAATCAATTTCTTTTGCAGCTTGATCCAACAGAGTTTGACATTCCTGATGTTGAAGAACCTTCCTTAGAAAGTATTTTGAAAGAGGCTGAAAGTGAGACTGAAGATAATGTGTCGTTGTTGGATAATATCACCAATGGTTTTTCGCCCGCATCTACAGGTAAAAACATTTATATAATTGCTTGAATATGTTTTTTGCGATTTGTTACTTTATCGCTTGTAGCAGGTGATATGAAAGTTGTGAGGTTACACTGATAACGAATCTCACTACACTAAATGATGTATCATCTTTATAAAACAATACCGTATTTCCTACATAATAAGCAGACTTTGCGAATAAGTCTAGTTCTATTTTTAACACCCATTTTTTTTAGTTTCTTCATATTATTATCCAATACGCTGTGGGCGAAAAATATGCTTTACTTTTTTTTCTATGTTTGTCAGATGAGCACCAATGTACGCTCTATTTTTATTGTTCTATTTTACTCAACTTTTCCTTAGTTACATGCCTTCTCTCTCTTTGACATGAGCTTATGTGCAATAGCACCTTGTTTTCACTATTCACATTTTGTCAGGAACTCCAGAGAAAAACATATCAAATGGTTATCTTAAGAAAAGTGAGATGGCATCCCTGAGTGTTCTGAAATCATTAGAAACAACATCAATCAAAAGTGGAGACAGTCAAGCTTCAAGGTATGGATGGAACCAACGATATTAAAATAAATGATTAGAAAATCAGCCCAGAAGGTGATCTGGAATTGAACCAAATATAAATTTTTCCTAATATCGTGTCTTTGAAGAAAAATAACTGAATGAGATCTTTAACAGGATCTCATCATTATAGGCATATTTCTATTGTAATGGGTTCTCATGGTTATAGGAATAAATCTATCTATAGAAGTCAGTTTACTGAGTCTAGTGCGAGTATTATTCGTCAATAGTTCACTTTTCTATTTTGAATTTTGTGAAAATCTAAACATTTGACTATGCTAATTTCCGGAATATTCCCAAAATTATATATGTTATATTCAGGCGCGCAGCCAGGATTTTCAAAAGGGGGGGGTTTCATAATCATAAATTCCCATTGCGGTCTGTAACAGTCTTCGCATTACGTGCTCGTTAAAGGGACGTCTTTTCAGCGTATAATGATTATTATTGTGGCGTGAAATATTCAATCTCTGACAACTACAAAATTCTAAAATGTCTTTATATATTAGTTTAATTGTGTCCAGCGTAACTCGCGGTTGCTTCTTCTTACGTCAAAATTAAAACATTAGTTCTCTGAAATGCCACGGCGATCGGTGGACATAAAAATATGAGAAAAACGGTGTATTTAATTTTAATACGTATTTTTGGAATCTTGCCAACTCGTTATCGCCGTTAGAAAAATCTCAATAACTGATATAAAATCCCGAAAAGTACAATGAAAATGCATATGAAGTATATCGTTAAATCAAAAATACATATTCATGGCCGCGATTACGCCACTTGTTAAAAGAGCCGGCGTTTACAACGAAAAATGATTTTTCTGTTGTGCAAAGTAATCAATTCGTGACCGATAAGGGCATATTTGAAATGTCTTGCTTTATTAATTTAATTGTCGTCAACAGTGTTCACTATTAGCGCACTTTTTTGCGAAAATTGCGAAGCACTTTCGCAACTTTTTTTAGGGACTGCGAAATAACACTTTTTTCCGATTTTGAAGAGAAATAGCACTTTTTTCCGATTTCGATTGGAATAAAAATTCAAAGTTAACAAATATTTTCGAGTATTAAGTTGACAAATAAGTAACATACTAGTACTTTTGTAACTCAATTCTGCATATCATAACGATATTTACCGGAATTCTAACCTATGAGATGCAGACATAGGAGATAAAGCTTTTGCATTAACGGCAAAATTCTTGTTTATAATATGATTATTATACAAGCACACCGATTCCGCTTCTCCCGCAAAAAACGCTCCCAGTGATTGAAACCAGATGTTGGAATAATACGCAGTGCGTTTCTTTGAACGAGAGTGGTCATGTGACTATCAATGATATCGATGAATTCAAAATGACTATAAAAGTGTTACCTGTTATAGTCACTTTGGATGAATTGTGACCAAACTGCACGATTTTCAAATCAGACGAAACTTTTAGCAGCATGTCACAGATTTGCAAAATCACCAAATTCACAAAATACCATTAATAAGTGCCATTTTATTGTAATCACAATGTTGAAAGGACGTGGCACAACTATTTCTCATTGATATGCGAAGTTGGGTGGGCAAAATTCAATATTTTTTTTGAATCGAATATTTTTAAGGAGTACCGAATAAACGTGGTGGAAACATTAAAAAATCGGCAACAAAGCCTTTTTACTGGTTAATTCCGTTGTAATCGCTAATTGTTCTTGTCACCGATCGTTTTGGCGGCGATATCCAGGTTTTGGGTAATCTATATTCCCGCCCTCTCTTTTTTACAAATATGAATTCTTGTGGGTCGGCGGACATCGAAGGTTTATATTTAGGGTTTACCCGTTCGTTCACATCGGCAACAGCTGTTGAAGACGATAGATAAAACTTTAGATTAATAATTTTCGTGACGCCCCGTTTTCGAAAATACAAAGTTATATCGCAAAAAATGCGTTATGATACATTTGGAATGAAACATTATTTACGGTTAACTCAGATCATATTTTACTCTTCATGGCACCCGGTATCCGAAAATACAGTTGTATCTCGAAAAATGTGTTTTGTTACATTTAAAATAAAACCTTCTTGCGATTAATTTAGATCAAATTTTACCTTTAAGGGCAACCCGTTTCCGAAAATACAAAGTTATATCACAAAAAAATGCGTTTTGTTACATTTATTTTGCATTCCCAATAAAATACATATTTTCCCTAATTAAGGTCGTCGATGAATCTGTTCCTGTCGTTCAAGCTCGACACACGTTTGAACGAGTGTGGGGCGTTTTTTTGGTCGACGATAAATTAAAAAGTTGCCACACCTTATTTGTATAACGATAATAACTGAAAATCAAGATTTTATAATAGAAGTGAATTTGTCTCAAGATGGTATTTTAAGATTCCTGCCCACAGAAAATAAACATGCTGACTGGCTTGGTTATAATTGATATTCGTTTAATTTATTCTACATTATTAATAAACGCGCCACACCAATTGCGACCATAGTAATTGCAGTCGCATCGGTATGGACTGTATGTTTTTGGCGCTCTCACATTAATAATAATTTTCAACAAACCAATATCCCGACGGTCATTAAAGCTGAATTCGTTACCGAATAATTCACAATTTTATTTACGGAATTTGCAATTTCAAGATCTCACTTGACGATTTTGATGATGTCATGCCCTAATTATTACTGCTTAAATGCCTCAAAATACAACAAATGTAATCATTTTCGACGATAACAGGCGCAACAATTCGTAAACGAGACGTTATAACGAAATTCGCGATTGATTTTACCTCTCTCTTGTTTACAATTTTAACATCCCGCCGGCCATGTATGGTCGAATAAAATGTTCACATATTCGAAACATGACTTGGCCAAGGATGGAAGGGATCACTAAAGAGCCAATAGAAAGTACATACGCGAGGGTATGATATTAATATCGATAATATTTGTGAGCATATCACAGGACGGAAATATTTTGCACCCGGCTGTTTGTTGGCAGAACAACGATACGCTAAAGTTAATTGATCGAATACAGGGAAGTATTTATTTATCATCTCACTTGCGAACATCCAGATTTTGGCGGAATTGTACGATCATGTTGTCTTTCTTAAATAATAACTTTTTCAATAAATGTTCATTTTTTTTTTGCGTCTTTATTATATGTCGGGTTTTCATTTATTTTAAATTCGAAATTGTCCGAAATACTCCAACAGGTGTATAAGTACAATAATTATAGTACTTACCAGGGAAGTTTAATACACACGATGTGTAAAGGGCGTCGTAACTCCCGTTTATTAATTATAAATTTTTTTACATTCTGCTTAAAAAACAACGCAGGTAACTCTCGCAACCAAATCTTTTTGTTTTGTATGGTATCGTCTTGGCGACGAATTTATTGCCGACTGAATTTTAATTGTGTTTTAGGATAAGGTATTTTCTGTTTGTTGGTTTCTAAACTTCACAAACTTGGGTAGCAATTACTATTACTGTGAGATTTGTGCATATTAACGATTGAATATCGCGACTGGATGTCCGATATCTGAGAATGCGTAATTCTCTTTCAACATTAATTTTCAGGATATCAGCGGTCATGTGGTCGAATAAAAATTATTTATCAAATGACTTAATATTTCAAGACACTCTCAAAATTATTTGGGATCCACTATCATATCATTCGTTTATTTTTTATATTCATGTTTTTCTCAAGAATCACCCTCGTTATATTTAGTGTACCTTCGCAAAAGAAAACTCTTTGGTGTCATCGTTCTTATTAGTGTAATTGAAATATATGGAAACCTCGCAAGTGGCGTTGTGATGCGAATATTGGATACTAGGTCAGCAGCATTACAAAGAGTGCTATTTATGAATGCTGCAAGTACATGACATTACTAAACATTTTGCCAATATATGATGTTTCTGCCCGATTTAAACTAACTCGCACGCAAACCAAGGCATGTCGACATTTAAAAATTACTTGTCTTTGGGTAAGCTCTGAAATAGTATAATATAAATGTAAATGATAAATTAGGTCACACTAGCTCACGAAACGGGAGGATTTTCAAAGTGATCTTGTGTAATATTTCGGAGAAAAAAGTTTGAAAGGAAAGTAGGTCAACCTTTCTCCTAAAACAGGGGAGTATCTTGCGGTAATATTTCGGAGGGTTGTACAAACGATCCACCCTGTAACTAATATGGTTTCCAGCCTGCCTCGTGTCTGTTAGATGGAACGAGTAACAAATGTGAAGTCTTTGCTGTTTACGCGAGTAAGCAACCGACACCGTGATACATTGCATTTGTCGGTGCAGGAGTTAGCAGATGTCATTTCGTTGCCGATGAATTCGCTTGTTTTAATTAAACATGAATTCGCTTAAAGGGAACTCGGAAAAGGCTTCTCATTAATTCATAATATTAACCGGAGGAGCGCTTTTTCGAGTATCTATGCTGTTTTAAATGGGTTATATGAAAGGCTAGGGCACCTAACTTGTTAAAATCGGCAAAAGCACTTTCGCACTTTTTTTTTCGACTGCGAAGCACTTTCGCACTCATAATTTGCTTAGAGTTAACACTGGTCTTCAATTTAACCAGCGTTTGCGTCGACAAAACAAAACAATTTTTTACAATTCACAATTTTAAAATACCTCGGCCATTTGCCACATAAAAATAAAAATTTGTGATAACTGCCCGTCGCCTATCATATATTGTTTTGATCCGTATTTTTTCTATTTTGCAAATTCGACAAATTTGAGATGTGCTTGTAACATTGACTCCGTTCAATCGCAATGCTGACACTCCGATTATTTTTAAAGATAAAACCTCCTGAAATATCCGTAAATCTGCTGTAAATTCTCATGGAGTAAAATTTATTTCAGTACAATAAAATTTGATGGATATACTTCGGATTAATTATCTTATATATCATCACAAACCAGGGAAAAATCGCGTTTTCAACCTTGTTTAATGATAACACGAAAATTTTCTACGACAATTTTAAAGTGATGGATAAAGGATCCCACCCACAATTAACTGTGTTTCGATTTTAGTGACGGTATGTTCCTAAACGGCGACCAAACATAATGTGCGCCGTAGGCACACGAAATTTTGCGACTAGAAAAGCGTTTTTAGACTGTCGCGGGACTCAACAAAACTTATATTGTTTACGGTTTTATTTTCAGTATTTTATAATGCCGCTTTTCTATCAAATTTAGATCGCGGTTTTACTCCTTCTTTTGTCTTTGGACCCTCGCCACCGATGAAGTATAATAACTCACGAATTCACAATTCCGTGCAAAGTACAAAAATAAAATAATTATCATGTTTATCGTGGCACAAATTTATGATTTAGAAAGAATAAAAACCGACGTAAGGGCATTTACTGCCTAAATAACACGCTGATGAAGACATGGGCGATTTTAACAGAAGGCAATTGCACGCTTTTTCAGTTTTCACATTTCCGTGCAGGTACAAAAATAAAATAATTATCTTTGTTCCCGTGGCACAAATTTGTGATTTAAAGAGAATAAACACCAATGTAAAGGGCGTTCACGGCATAAATAACACGCAGCGTTGATGAAAACGAACGGCAATTTTAGCAGAAGGCAATTGCACGTGGTATCGGCAACTTTTTCCCCTTTCAGAAAATTCAAAAGGGGGGGGTTTCGACCCCGAAACCCCCCCCCTGGCTGCGCCACTGGTTATATTGTATGATGTGGAACAACTCACAAGATCAAGCTCCATTCTTTTTAGTAAAAGTTGGATTCATGTGCTGTATTTTTGGTTGTTGTTTGGTTGGCAAATACATCTGACATGACTGGCCCCTCGTTCTAAATTAAGCTTGTTTTTTATTGTTTCAGTGTAAAGAAAAAAGATGCTCCACAATTCCATGGACCTGTTCTTGCATTTTACCGAATGCAAGCTCTGTCAAATCATATCATGTCATCTGCTGATAGAATCAATGCTGGAAAGCCAACATCATTGGTATGTTATGTTGTTATAAGAAAGGAGTCAGTCTTAGTTACTTAAATTCTGTAATATAAGGTAAAATTTTTAGCTAGATGAAAAGGCAGCCTAACGGGAAATTCCGTTATTTGGACTGCGGGTTGCTGAAGTTGTGTCACAAGTTTTTGTTTGGATTCTGTTTCTTACAGTTTAATTCCCCTTTTCAATGAAGAGTCACTTCACAGATTTAAAATATTTATATATTGGAAAGATTAATATGGAAGAAATCTTAAAATGTTACATTCAATTTTGGTATATAGATATGCCATTTTCGAATGTTTAATAGGTTCTTATATATAAAAGTACCGTAAGATTGAATATATTTTTTACAGGCAGTTTCTCAGTTGATAGCCATTGGAACTGCTCATGGAATTGCTTTAGTATTTGGTAAGTTAAAATTCATATCTACAGTATGACTAGAGCTTCATAGATATATCATAAATTCTATTCGTAACTCCACTATGTCTCATATTTCTCACAGATAATGATCAGAAGTTAGTTCATGTTTTGGGTAGCGTCAGTGTTGGTAGCAAGTATGGTTCTGTGACTGCATTGGCATTCAATATGGATAGTGATAGACTACTAGTCGGATATGCAAGAGGACAGATTCTCATGTACGATGTAAAATCAGGGAAATTACTCCGAACAATAACAGATGCTCATCCCCCAGGATCTTCTGTTTTACACGTTAAGGTTAGTCAAGGATTGTTGAAATGAAATCAACTACTTTACACATGACATGTGCACTAACAAAATTAAAAAAAGATTAAGATATGACTTTTATTGTTAATATTTCAAGTTATTACGAATGAAAACATTGCATGATTTCTCTAAATTGTCACATATCTTCATTTTTGTTTTCTGTTCGAAAATAATTTATATTTGGGATGTTTTTTTTTATATAGTTTTAGCCATTTCTGGTGTTCAAAATTGAGGATTAGGTACTTTGAAGGTCTTCTAATCCAAAGCTGAATGAGCTCCCTACCCCTGGCTTAGATTTCAATTTGTGTTTACACAAATATTCTAATGTGTATGTGTCATTCATTCTGAAAAATATATAGCTATGCTCGTGCTCACCATTATTTTTATACCTATTGGCTATTGCTTCATTTCGCTAGCGAACAACTGTTCCTCAAGCTTGCTTTGTATACTATCTAATGTGGGTTTTTCTTTTTCAGTTTACTGACGATCCTACATTAGCAGTTTGTAATGACAGTGGTGGATCAGTGTTTGAATTGAATTTCAGGTTTGTGTGAAGTTTTATCTTAAGTGATATTAATAAGTTTATATTTAGGTTTAGTTTTTTAAATATATTATATTGTTTTCAGGAGGGTTATGGGTGTGAGGTCTTGTGAGTCAAGGTGTTTGTTTTCTGGCAGGTGAGGCATTTTTTTCTTGATTTATACCAGGGATGGGCCACACATCTTTTTATCATGATAAAAAAAAAGAATGTGGGTCTTAGATATGTCATCGAAGTTAGCATTAATAACAAACTTGCTGTTGTATAAGTGGGGTCTCCCTGTTACCCACCTATGGGTTAGTAGTTAGCTGGCCCTAATAGGCCCCCAAATCATGCAAAAAGAAAAAAAAGAAGTAGTAATATAGAATTTGTGAATTGTCTATTACAGAAAAAAGCATTATTCTAAACGTCTTTAACATTCAGTGCAATTTTATGTATTATGTTTTAAGTTATTCAAGTTAGCAGCAAAATAAACCAATGGCTGTAATTTGATATTTAGTATGTTTGTTTTTATTGTCAGTCGAGGTGAAGTATGCACCATCGAACCTCTCCATATTCTAAAAACAATTGCTGATCATCCATTGAGAGACAGACATTTGTTGGCAATGGGAACTTTGACAAAGGTGAGAAATCACTCTTAATTTTTTGCTATGCTGTATCTTGTGCCATAGAATGAATGGTTGTTTATTGTATTCAAGGCTGGATATTTTTTCTAGAGAATAATAATTGAAATCAACGCATTATAACAAGGACATTATTATTTGGAGTTAAAGGTACTAATCAAATTTAAGCGGGCAACAATTTTCTGTTTAATTATGATTGTGATATCTGCCATTTTGATGTATCCAAAAAATTGAGATTCGTCCCTTTTCAATGTATTCCTGGGATAACATCTTGTTTCCACGACCACGTCCTCCACGATCATTTATGATTGGATAAGCAATTCGTTTTTCCATTCACCTGTCATCACATCCAAAATATCTACTGATGAAATAATAGATGAAAATAAAGGAGTCAATTTGTCACTCAATGCTATGTTTTTTAACAGGTTCTTGTTGTGTCATTGAGGCCCCAAATCAAAGTTCTTTTCAGCCATCAACTGAATGTACGGTATTGTTTATATTATATGAATGAAAATCTGTTAAATAACATCAATTATCCCATCAAATAAAATAAAAAATTTGTTTATATTAAGAGATTTTTGCCAGTAAATTTATACAGCGTGTTTTTGGAATTAGCAAAATTTGGAGTGGAAAATGCCTAGAGAAGATATTAAAATATCAAAGCAATATCTTTCTGAAAAACATTGCGATATTCAACTATTAATAAACTTGAAGAAATTGGTCCTGTAGTTGAGGAAAACGCAGCTTTCTTTTAGACAACAACAATTACTGAATAAAATGATTCATCTATCTATTTTTATATCAAGAACAATTCTGAAAATGATTGTATATTTTTCTACTTGTTTATAAAAGCTTTTCCAATATGGTATTATATCAGTATTCAGAGTTTCAATTTCAATCCAGCATAGTTTTAGGGAATGTCTTCATGCTGTAACTTGTTGCTTACTGATTTGATTTTATATTGATTTTGCAGAGAAATATGACAAACATACCTCTTATCAGTTGGCGATTGTCTGTTTTCGTTGAATCTAACACAAGGTCTATTGATCCGGTGTTATTATTTGCAAGGGGAGATGTCATTTACTTTTTCCAGGTACAAAATTATTTACAACCTTGTTTGTAGAATTTTTTTTACAACTTCCTTTTAAAAGATCCGATTTTTGAACCAATCAGTGACACAGACTACTTTTTGTTGCTGTTGTGATTACAGATGTCTAGAGAATTTAATTGTGAATGAAATTCAAAATTCTTTTCTAAAACATCTAGAGAAAATTGGTATTTCTCGTAATATTTATGATTAAGTCAATGACATGTTATATCATAATTTTACTGATAATGATTTGAAGTAGATAATTGAAATTGGAAACAATATCAAAACAGAATTCTGGAAAACCTAACAATTAGGATATGCATCACTAATATAGGTAATTTATAATTTAATTTTATTATCAGATGGTCTGCAACTTTAGGTGAATTCCCTGCGGTCATATTCTCTGTTGATTTGAATTTTAATCATGGAGATGAGGCTTACTCAGTTACATGATCATGGTTTTTATATTTCATTATCAGGTGAAAAATGAAAATTGGGACAATATACTATTTTCTCACATCAGGACTATGAACACAACTTATACTCTCATTAACGTTGCAGTAAGTTTTAATTTCTTATAAGACTAATAAATTTTACCTTTGGCGTATCAGAAAATGTCTTTTGGTTTGGGTTTCTGCATCTTGTGTATAGCAGTAATTAAGTTTAGCCACATATCCATGTTTAGAAAGAGGTTTGAAACCAATGAATAAGTTTTACTAGACTTTAGAATTTCGATCTTAAAATAAAAAATCAGTCCTTCTGAGATGAAGTTATAATTTGCTTTAAATTTTACGTAAAATTGACCAATGTAATGATTTACTAAGAAATAAATCCATTTAAAGGATATTTAAAACCTACCACACTGTTTTGATACGATGTCCGCATAGGTACTCAGATGTCGTATATATATTGTGTTTTCAACTGCAAGTCCTTTCTACTTGTTTATTTCCCACTTCGCATCCATATGTGGCAATTGTCTCAAGGATACTTGAACGAGATAATTTTGTTTCAAGAATTTCGGCTATGGTCTAACGAAAGCTACAAATATATATGCCTTTTCATCGAAATAGCTCATGTTATTCTTGTATATATTTCCTGTTTATATTATTTTCTATTCTTATCTGTCTCTATTTAAAATTTAGTGGTTGAATACGAAGACCATTTTGTGTCTCGACTCAACAGAGAGATTGCATGTTGTGGATGAAGCAACACAAGCTGAACTTGAAACAATTTTATTGGAAAACGTCAACTTGGTATACAGCAGTGCTACCTTCAAATCGATCGCTACAGGAGGAAATGTCAGCAAGGCACTGGTATGAATGTTGTGACATGTATGATGAAACTGTTTGTTATTCTAGTTCATTTTATCCAATGGCAAAAATTGGTTGGACAATCTTGAGAGACAATATTTTGTAATTTTATAAAAGTAGAATATAATTGAAATTGTCATACACAAAAAGAAATCGAATTTAAAAACATTTTAGACAGATAAACAGATCTTTACCTATATTTATAATTTTATTATCAATGTAATGAATGCTGTATTTATTTGTGTTTAAAAATTCATACAATAACTTGAGGAATTAAAATTTGTTATGGAATGCATGTTTATCTAGTTCAAAAACACACCATTTTATCACAAAACTAGGTCATCTTGGCCATTTCCAGTATTGGCATAAGTAAATTTTATAAATACTGCATTTCTAGTAATGATAGACTGTAATAGAATGTGATTCCAGGCATTTATCTTCGTTTTTGAAATGATAAAGTATTGATATATGATAATCTTAATTTGACTAACTATCATTTTTCATGTTCTGTTAGTTCGATCAGGACTGTGGAGTTGGAAAAAGTTTACACCCGAATCCAAAATCTTTATCATGAACACAATTTGTCACATTTCAGGCTGCTATTGGTGAACAGACATGTTATCATTCAATGATTTCTTATAACGGTACAGTATTACTGCTGGGTGACTTGTGCGTGTATGCAACCAAAGTTCGACAATGGAACGATAGAATTCGTACATCACTCGGTTGGCCAAATGGACATCAGAGAGCTTTGGAACTTGCATTGACGTTTTATAATGGAACTGCCAAATCTGTTCTAGGTATTTTAATTGAATTGTGATATATTTTTTGAATGTTATATGAACAACGCACAAGAGAAATATACAATGTAATTTGTTCTTATGCTCTTGCAGCTATACATTGTTGAAACCCATTTTTAAATTTTTGGAAGATGAATCTTATGATGCACAAATAATTCGAATACTGTCACTTGGTAATTGTAAATTGCAAATTTGTGAATCAACAACCATAATATTGTTCAAGATAAATTTCTAATTATTACATATTAATAACATGCCATTCTTTGTAATAGTAATAATAGTAATTTTTCTTCTAATTAGTTTGTTTCATTCTGCAAATTCCGGATTTACTGTCATATTCTGTTTTTTTCTGAAAAAAGCCTATTAATTACCTTGTTGAATTTTTTCCTAGGTCTACCTGTAGATCAAGAAAAAAGAAGACAACTTGTCTCCGAAATGGTACTGATTCATATTTTTTGTTTGTATTTACTTCTTGATATTGTTCATTACCAAGTAGGAGATGTTCATGGAGTTGAGATGCTTGGTTTTATATTACGTGTATCTTTGCATATAAGCTAAAAAAATTGGCTAAAATAAGGGGGACGCGCTTATACACGCATACCTCTGATCCCACTCAAATGAAATGACATTATGCTAATTCAATTCTAATAGCTAAGTTCTCATGATAAGAGCGTGCATGCACATACACGAAGCAGCGCTTGGTACGCTATGACAACGATTGACTGTAATAGTTTTTAATGCTCTTCTGCAACCATTTGATGTGATATGTACAGCGTGGTATGATTTGTAGTATCGGCTTATATGCGGATTTTTATAAATTCACCGTTTTAGGGGCCATCAGCTTATATGCGAGATATACCTTTCTGTTTAATTACTGGCCAAATTGAAATCAAATTTCCATGTCTCACAGAGGCCAATATCTGTACCACCTACATCAGACTTGCTTATTTTTTTGACATTTATTTCGCTTTCAGATTCTTGATATCTTAATTGAATATGTGGATCTTTCAATGACAAAACTATGTCCTGATAATGGAAAGTTAGAGGTAAGTTTAAAATGATTTTTATATGTATTGTGAATGCAATAAAACATGTTGAATTTGAATTGTCCAATAATTCGAACTGTTTATATTCAGGTATTGATTGCCTTTTTCAAGGATGTTGTTCCAGTTTGTGTTGATCATTGTCTTCATATTAACAGAATTGATGTTTTGTGTGACAGGTATAAATATATATAAGTTTCATTAGTAATTAATATCTGCTTGTGTTCTGTATAATTAAGAAATGAAGATAAGCAATCAATTGCAAGTAAATTAAATTAAATTACTATTCTAAGTACATTGTGGGAAAAAATTTCCAATCCCCAAAAAAACACAAACCATTATTTTTAATATTAACATTCAACCATTATTATTAAGTTGGCTAATTTTAACTATTTATTCATAAGGTGTTTTCAAGTAGCACTTGATAATTGGAAAAATCAGGAATTATCTTATAGTTTTCCCTGCCAGAACCACTCTTGTTTTATGTTTAAATATTTTCTACAGAATATATGAAAGGTTCAAGGCAGACTGCATTGCTCACACTGTGTTTCTTGAATGTCTCGAACCATATATTCTTGATGATCGACTAAAAACTATCAGTCCGATAGTAATGCAAGATTTCGTGAAACATTACGAAGCAAAAAGTAAGAACTATTTCTTATATCACATGTTATGCTATATCATCACTTCATGTCAATATATAATATTCATATTACAAGAAAGCATCAGAGCATAAAAGTATATCATTTCGAATCAGTGCTACGGAAACTGAGAAAGTTTACACTCAACTCTAAAACGAACTCGGCCTTTTTCAAATCACCTTTGAATTGACTCCGAATTTCAGTTTAACGAGCATTTCGAAGTTCAAAGAGATTTTGACTAAACTCTCAACTCTGAAAACCTAACTTCGACCACAAAACTTCTTGGCCATAAGGTTTCGCGTAGGGTAGTTTACTTAACTGCTGGCCGTTTATGACTCGGCCATTAAATGTTCATCTGAAACAAATAACTGGCTAACTAATCTCATACCTGACATGGACTGGTAACCAGACAAGAGGCTGTGGTTCGTCATATGAATATTAAGCCATTTTGTTGGTTTTTCTCTCTCCAGGATAAATATATAAATCCTATCCTAACAAAGATACATGGTAAACTGGTCATTTGCATTTACTGTTAATGCATCATATCTATTGACTGGTATTCATTATCACTTTCTATTTTTCAGATATGTTATCAAATGTTGAAGCTTGTCTTTTACATCTGGATGTAGCAAGTTTAGATCTACATCAGGTAAGACAAAGTAATAGATAGACACTTCTACATCAGTGCTCGTCAACATTTTTTTTAAATGGTTTATCCTTCAATTCTTCACTCAAAATGTGATGTAGACTAATTTAAAGCTGGCAAAATGTCTTCAACTTCATGTATATCCACCATTCATCTTTCAGGTTCTAAGTCTTTGTTGGTCCCATGGACTTTATGATGCAATACTAAGTATAAACAACAGAGTTATGTCTGACTATGTTGGTCCTCTTGTCGAAATGATAAGTATGTTAACAAGTGCAATGGCAATTGGAAAGCAATTGAGCGGTGAGATGATATTCTTGTAAAAATTAATTCATTTTGTTTCCCATATTGATTATTGTGAGAATTTGTGCAGTATGTTGTACTGTAGTTAGAACTAGTGATAAAAGTTCTCCATAACAGAATTGTGGGTGCAGGATTTACCCATGCTTTTATTAAGATTGAAAAAAATTTGCAACAGAAGCTAAAAAAAGCAATAAATTGACTAAGCATTCTCAATAGACAATAAAAGCCTTGCAAATGCCAAGTTTGATGTTCTCGCAGTTCAATTCGATGCTGAAATTGGAATCAAAAAATTTTTTAAACTGGTGTCGAAGCCATCATTTTTTCATCTCGGAGTCAGATCTGGAAACGTTTTTCAAATTTCTCTGAGTAGGTGTCATGTGATAATGTTCTCCGACAACAATGCCTTGTTCCAGATAACATTTTTATGTGGGGGAGGTGTGAGAGAGTATATTTCTCCTCACATAAAAAAATTTTTTTTTTTTTTTAAATTTATATAAACAAATGTTAGCATATAACTTAAATATTAGTTAGACTTATTACTGTTAGTATCAAGTCCATGCTTTCGTAAATAAATAACAAGATAACCATTTCCATACCTGACATGGACTGGTAACCGGAAGAGAGACTGTGGTTCGCCATATGACTAAGCCATCTTTTTGACTTTCCTCTCCCCCAGGATAAATAAGTAAATCTTATCCTAGTTATTACTTGAAGTATAAACTTGAATTTTTTATAATTCAGATAACATGACAAAACTAGGGAGCAAACTATTGGTTTATGTAAGTAGTTGTTTTGCTGGTGTGCAATATCCAAGTGGAATGCTGGATCCAGAATCATCAATGGCTGTCAAAAAGCAGGTGATAACTTCTATTTTTTATATGTTCGATCAAACATAACAGTGTATAAATTAAATATGATATGCTTGGTTCTGTTATGGATCATGCATAAGTTTCTCAAAACTTATTGATTAGAAAAATTTTACTGATTTTTTTTCTCTGTTTCAGATATATGGATGCCTGACAACACCAAAACTAAACGTTTTCACAGAAGAATATCCAGTTCTTGCTATCTTGTTGAAATTTTCTACTCAAGAAATGCTGAATGTTCTTTCTTTGGTGAGATAAACATTTATGCAATTTCTACATGTCGTCCTGTATGAATTTTCTATTGTATGGTTAATAGAAATTAGGTCTTGGAATACTTTGGTTATGAAACTGCTGAATGTTATATGTAACTGCTATATGTTATATTTCATAAGTTTGGATGTTTTTGGTCTGTGATACAAAATTGACCTAAAATGTCAAAGCACTCTTTGAATGCTGACTCATACTTTGAAGTGATTTCACAATATTTGTTAATATTTTGAAAGGAATTTTTGTAGACACCTCTATTACAATCATTCTCTCAAATATTTTAACATGACAGACACTAATTTTCTAAAACTCTGTTTTGTTTAAAACTCTGATCATAAAATGACACAATTTTTCCTTTTTAGTCCTTTTCTGAGCCTGAGTTTCAAGGTCAAAAAGGATGTGGCAGAGTTCAACAACTTGTTGATATATTGCTGAGAATAATGGTGGAAACACCTGGGTTTACTGTGAGTAAAAAGTTGCTTGAATTATATTTTAGTATTGGTATTTGAATAACTGTATATATTCAAATTTTGCATAGTAAATTACAGCATATTTCATAATTTGGCTACAAATTTAGCAAAAGTTGAGTCAAGAATTTTTTATTATCAATATAATGGGATGTTGCATATGCTTAGCTTTGTTTCAAAATGGGTTAGTTTTGTTGGATTCCCTGTAATTCATTACAATTTTTAATATTTTCTAGTTGTATATATATTTTCATTTAATAATTTCATCATAGGTATTTAATAACACATATTTTTTTACTATAGCCTGATCAAATTGGAACTCTTTTCGTTTTTCTTGCGAGACAAGTTGCAAGACGTCAGGATGATCAGCAATTGAGAGTAAACAGAATGTTGATACAACAAATTGTTGAATATTTAACATCTCCTTTGTCATCACAAGAAGAAAGTTCCAAACATGAAGAAAGACAGCAAGTGAGAAATTTCCGTCTTAACTAAGTTCTTCTGTTTAGTTCAGCACCGATTAGCAAAATACCAACTTTGGTCCGTCGAAAATACTTCTGAAAATTAGTTGGAAGGAGAATAGAAGGGTGTCTTCAAATATTGAAAATTCATAAAAAAACTATTTGGTTATATTGCATAATTTAAATGTGGAGCTTTTTTCTAGTCATTGTTCTATTCAGAAGCAGCAGAAGTTTATTCAACTGTATAGTATGAATTATTATTTCCAAGTAAATTGTGAAAGAAAGGGTTGAAAATTTATGATCTTTTTCAGAAATACCCTTGCAAAAATGTAAGATTTGAAAACACTCTCGCCATGTTTCAGGTACTGCAGATTGTGCTTTAAGTACTACAAAATGCACTGAGAGTTCAAATTTACAAATAATTCTCAACCCCAACTGGATAATTAGTAATTTTTATTTTAAGTGGCAGGGTATTTTTTCCACAAAAGGTCCGAGACTTTAATTTAGAATCTTTCACTAACATTGGATCAGTTCTATATCTAAATAGTATTCTAAATAAAACAGTGTTATCACTAGACGCAGTTTATCAGCGTGTGAGTGAACTCTTTTTTCCGTCTTTTGTAGGCTCTTGTCGAGTTGTTACAGAGTGAAGTTATTGGAAATGAAGAAGACAGTGTTCACTTAATGAAATTAGTAGAAAGAGCTGGTTTCTATCATGCACTAAGATTATTGTATGATAGGAATCGAAGGTTCGACCTAATTTTTGAAACTTACCTCAAAGACCCTGCAAAAAAGGTAACAGTTTTCTATTTTTTATTTCTGTGGATAAGCTCAGCTAAATGTGCGTTTTTCTAATATTACTTGCTATTGTTGAGTATGATTTTATAAAAGCTGATTACTGTACTTTGGTTAGTGATTTTAATTTTGAACAGAATATTTCTATTGCAAATGAATTGAGAAAAGAGACTTCTGGAGCTCCTTATTGAGATATCTCCCAAGTATTCGAGATTCGATTTCTAAATAAGGTATTCAAAAATTCCCATCCCTACTGATAACTACATTGATTAGAAGTTATAGTAAGCCTTGAAACCGTTTATTCCAGGAACATGCATTTCGATACATCCGAGATACATTACAAGATAAAACTGTCGATGAAGGAGAAAAAGATTTATTAGTGGAAAAAGTTTCACAAAATATAAAGGTATGTAGTCTTCTGTATTCAACAGCTCTGAAGCACATTTTTGATCAGTCAAAATATTTGTTAAGATAATGTTTATTCATTTTGCCAGGAATTGATCAAAATCGACAGTGATCAAACTGCAAATCTTGTAACAACAGTACTTCATGGATCACTACAAACTGTCGCGGCTAAATTGAAGGTAGGATTTACAATTTTTCTATTAGTAATCTCACACAGATTCCATTTGTTTTCACATCACAGCAATAGTCTGTTTTGTATGGGTATACATCGGTACTCCCGAAGTATGTGAACCAAGATGGCGGACACAGCAACGTAGAATGTGTACCAAGTTGGGGTTAGGCCGCAATTTTATTCCAATTTTCCATATTTTAGTTCTATTACGAGTTTGGGGACTAGCCAAGTGACTCCTGTAGTATTTGTACTTGAAATTATGACCTAACCCTAACCTGGTACACATATTACGTTCCGATGTCCGCCATCTTGGTCCACATACTTCGGGAGTACCTATACATCTCTATTTAAAATTTTTAAGTAGCTTTGCACATTTACATTCTGAGCGAAAGGGTATATTCGAGATGTTGGAATACAGATATTAAAGTAACACATGGATGGCATTTTGTTTCCATTCCTGACATAATGTGTTCTTGCAACAAAAAGTATTAGTATTTTTTGGTGTATTAGTATTTGCAGTGGTTCTCAAAACGGTTGGACGCGCCCCACAGAGGGGCGTAGACAACTTTTTAAGGCAAAAATATTTGTTGGGTTTGATCTTGCCCCCCCCCCCCCCCATATTTTGGATATTTACATTTCTTTATTATTTAGAAATTGCGATTCCATCCTCATATTTTCAACATGTTTTTTAAATAAAACATATTTTTTCTTACTATCTGTTATTTGTAGCTTATTGTTAGCTAGGTATTTCCAAGGTGGGGCGCGAGACTTGACAAATTCTAAAAAGGGGGCGCGGCCAAAAAAGTTTGAGAACCACTGAATTAGTGTATTATGAATCCTAGCTGTGTATGATATTTGTTTGTAATATTTAATATAAATTCTAGGATCAACCTCAGATGCTTTATTTCTTCTTGAAAGGACTTTTTAATCCTTCAACATCACATTTTCATGATGCCGATAATGCAAGTTTAAACGGTAAGTAATTTCATTGTTTAAAATTATGATGATGGTTGTTTTTTTGGTACTCTTGTAGTTGGCCATAATTAGAGTTAGGCCATAATTTTATTCCGATTTACCTTATTTTAGCTTTATTACGAGTTTGGGACTGTCTGTGTTAGCCAAGTGAATATACCCCCTGCCCATAAGTTTCTGTCCCTTTACAGAACTTGATGTAAAGTAGGCAAACAAAATTAGTTACCTCCATATTGGTACACATACTTCTGGAGCGCCGTTTTTCATATGTAGTTTACACTATGTTTTCAAAAAGGGCTTTGGACAAACTGCCACTGATGTGTTTTTTGGCGTCTTCACTTCATTCAGTGCTATGTACGATCACAGCTATTGATACATAAGGAGTTACCTTATTTGGAAAGACTAAATATTTCCAATTCAGCATTGCCTAATTAACCTTCAACCTTCGTCATCATCATAGTTGGTACCATCCCTCTAACCAAGGCATAGTCGGGAATTTTCAGGGGGGGGGGGGGGGGGAATGTGGGTTTTCAATAGTATTGAGGGTCTAGAAGGCGATCCAAGCCGCGAAAAATTGCTATGTGTGATACGGCAATATGCCTTTCAAATGGAACTGCCCACCTCAATCCCACCTCGTTATGCTCCTGCCTTAAACAACAAAGTACTCAGCCTTGCACACTTGTGGTGTTGCACCTATATTTTGCAAATACCATAATTTATTCAATTTAGTATATCCTATTTAATTTAAATTCTGGTGAAGCTGAGGTGTAACATGAAGGTTTCGAATTTGAGATCTTTATCTTGCAACATCAACACAATTCCAGCACTCTAACCAAGTGTTTGCTCCGGTCCCGAGAAAATCTGATGCAATGTTTCTAGCACTTTCTTTCTTCGGTCCCCTATTTTGTAGTTTTAATTTTTAATATTATATCAACAATTCAAGCCACATTTCTTGATCTTTTTCATCCAGGTGATTTATCTATAGAGCCAGAAGGTCCAAATCCTTATACATCTGACCCTGAAATGGTTCAAGTTTATCTTTCTCTCATGTGCCAATTCGATAGAAACAAAGTTCTGCAATTTTTGAAATCTTTGGAATCGAACCGACCTTCTAATTCTATAGAGGTAAGTCATCACTGCAGATAACAGATTAACTAAAGCAAGATTTGGGACATTTTGTTGCAAAAATAGTTGATCAGTCCAGTCTAACGATTAACAAGAAAGTGCAGTGCTCAAATAGGTGAGCATTTTGGTCAGTTAACTAACATAAGGCCTGGAATCAGGGATTTCCCATTCAACCTCTTTAGCTTTCCACACCAGTAACTTTAAGGTCTTAGCTGAGCACCAAATGGATTGGTGATTTGCATGACGGAATAGTATGTGAGGGCAAAATATACATAAAACTAGCAAAATTCGTGGTTAAATATTGAGCCCTTGAGGGAAAATTTGCAAGTAAAAGTCCTGGAAATTTGAAATAGTACATCCAGTATTTGCAGAGGAAAGCTCTTACAACAAAATCTTTGTCTCTAACAAACAAGAAACACTGTCTTTGAACAGGTTTCTGCTTGTTTCAGCTTTGAATAGAAAATGTGAAATGTTAAGATTTTATCTGAAGTCAGTGGTTTCCTACCTTTCTTGTTGAATGCCTTCTGACAGCCTATTCTGACACTCTCTATTTTTTAGCTCAATAATAAAAACTACTTTAATTGTTCAATCCTTAGCTAATATTATAAGCACACTCATGCTTTTGTACAGTTGAAAGTAGTTCATGTTTTACTACTTCAAATATTATTAAGCAAAATTCAACCCGAGAATGACAAAATTCCTTTCTTGGGAGGAATTTCTTCCCGATTGAGAAACGTTGTTTTGAGTATATCTGTATTTTCTGCAAATATTGTTTGTGCCATTGAGTTAATTTTTTGTGTTTTGTATAACTTGCCCTCAATTGTGTCAAATCTGTTATCAATCGGGTTTTAATAGCACATAATGCACACCTACTCATAACTTTGCTCAATAATGGGTTTTCTTCTTCACTTCTGATTTGGTCCACCCGACCTTGCAAATTTTCTTAAAAAAGAAAGACTGTAAATCTATACACTCCCACCACTCGTAGACGTGACCCCTTGTCCCCTTCATAACATTTATTCATTCATACATTTATTTTTCTTTTGAAGTAGACACCTTATTAAAATAAAATTCATGCGTCATATTTTATTTAGATTGTTCGAAGATATCATGTTGATGAAGCGACTGCATATTTACTTGAAGAAAATGATGATTGTTCTGCAGCGTTCATGATTCTTCACAAAGTTGCAAAAGATAAATTACAAAAATTTGTCGAAAGATGTGAAAACGATATTGAAAACTCCGTCAGCCTTGATACAGGTATATCAAAAAAGATTTTATTATCAGACAAATAAACCTTCTATACAGTGATACCTTGGTGGTGAAATACTCGACTCTCGAACAATTCGGTAGTCGACCAAAAAATTTGAATTAAAAATGCTGCGGTACTCGAACGGAAATTCAGAGATCGAACATTTGGCGGAGTGGGATGTCACGCTACTTGAACTGTGCATCTCGGCTGCCTCCGACCATTCAACAAACATCAATTCAAGTTGGAACGTTACGGGATAACATTTGTTGTGAAAATTTCTTGCCCTTTTTTTACTGTTAATCATGGCCCCAAAAGGAAAGTGGTGAAAAGTACTAGTTGGAATGAATAAGAATGTACTAAAATAATTACAATTGTTTCTCATGGCAAAAAAGTTTCGATACTCGAACAAACCGGCAGTCGAACACTAATCCTGAACAAATTATGTTTGATTACCGAGGTATCACCGTACTTTATTACGCAACTCTTTTTTTCCGCTGGTCCAAAGGGACATCACCGTACCTTATTACGCAACTCTTTTTTTCCGCTGGTCCAAAGGGACTTCTTTACCCCTTTTATAAAATGTAATAAATAGTTAACCAAAAGTGCCACAAATATAAAAAATCTTCCGCATGCCTGTTGTAGGAGAGAATTTTCAAAAAATTTTGAGAAAGAGTTTTCTTACTCTCCACGCTGTGGTAAGCACACGTTAGATAGAAGAGATAGAGAATACTCTCGTGAACGAGCAACACGTCATCTTCCAGACTTGTATTCCTACGAGAAACCAAATTACGGTATATATAATAAAGATTATATGAGCGTTTGTCAATTGCGCAGCTGACCTATCATTGCGTATACCGTCTCAAAATCTTACTTTTGCTTTGCATGACAAAGATCGATCGCATGCTCGTTCAAAGTTATTTCATTGCCAAGTAAACACAAATTCCTTGTATGTTTATATATATATTTATATATCACACACACACATACAAAACATGACGACTAAAAACAAATATTTACACAAAAACTACAATATATACAAAAACAACAGGAATCATTCACCGCCAATACTCTACTTTCTTGTGGTATTCTTCAAAACAAGTTCTGCCATTACCCATACACAAATGTACTCCGCATTCTATGCACATTGTTGTTGTCTGCGACACCCGTTTTACTTTATGTTCAATTGGGGCCACTTGGTTTCGCTTAGTACAGACAGCACAGACCTTAGGTGGACCCACATACCTGGTTAAATTCCGCTGACCTACATAAAGCTTCCTCTGGAGCTACCGACTAACTCGTCTACAAGGTTTTGTCTGAATTTCACCCCGTTCCATCTCCGACCAGATGCGGATTCGCACACAACTCTTGCGTTTTGTATACATACTTCAAGTAGGTAGGAAAACACGCGTCTGTACCACGCTTTGGACTTGCGGGCCATAATATGGTATTTCCGAATCTGGTCGAAAAGATCAACCCCGCCCATATGGGTGTTGTAATCGACAAGAAGTGGTGGGAATGTGACATCTACACCCGCGGACGCTGTGCCGCGCTAACCTCTTCTTTTTACTGACTTTGAACCTTTGTATGATTCGGGATATTCAGGGCCATGAATTGTGGATAGAAAAGAAACCGCTTTATTGTCCACCCAAGACTGGGCAAGTAGCTCCCCGGATACTCGTCAGTCTGTAAAACCCCTTTGAATTTTGGCGATTGATTTCATGATAAGGTCTTTCGGAAACCCTTTTCGATTCGGTCTCATAGTCCCACAGGCGTATACGCCCCGCTCTAATAACGAAACGAACAGGTCGGGATTAGAATAAAAATTATTGACATAAAGATGATAGTTCTGGTATTCGAATGATGTTACGGGAAATATAACCAGTTTTGGATTCCGCCAATACCCACACTTTCATTCCAAAACGAACCCTTTTGGAACGAATAAATTAGCGGAATCCAATTCGTCCTTTGAACGAGATTAGAGACTCGTCAATCGATATTTCACGTCTAGGCGTGTAAACTGTTAGCATCCTCGTTTCGAGTAAGTTCAAGAGAGGTCTAATTTTGTAGAGTTTATCTCTTGCCGGGTCGTCTCGTGACGGAGCATCATCTTCATTGCAGAAATGTAGGAATTTCATTAGATCATGATATCGATCCCTCAGCATGATCTTGCTGAATGACGGGACTTCGAATATCCAGTGTTTCCTTTGCCAATACATGGCAATAACAGGCAGCTTCACAATCCCCATCGCGATCGTAAGGCACAAAAATGCCCTTATCTCTTCGAAGGTCGTTGGCGCAAACTTCAGTGGAGGAAGTTGGCGAGTGGCACGGTGAGCGTTGGTGACTGAAAAAGAAAACATGAAGATTAGAATCGGAAACAATGCTGTAATCAATTCTATTTATTTTGCTTTTATCAACTACGTTATAGTCTTTTATGTTGAACATGAAGTTGAAATAAATTATAAGCAAATATATAATTTTATGTATTTTTTACATACCTTGAAGCTTTTTTTGGGCAATAAGGTTTGTCATCTCCACTATAAAATTGATGACTTGAACCGTAAAAAATTGAATAAAACAATCTAGTGGAGATGGAGTTGCAGACATATTCCGAATGCTGACACCAGGCGCCCCACCGAACTGGCGTATAGTTCTTTTTGCCACTCGTATTCTGACTGCAGAGGCGTTCTCGCCCATTGACGAGATCTCTTGCTTGCTGTAGGTATTGGCATAGACTCGTTGGATGAAGAGACGTCAGCTAACTGCAACTCAGGTCTTTGACGTCACCTTGACCGCTTACGCTGCGGCGCGATCGTTGATGTCGAAGGAACATCGGCCAATGAGAAATCTTCCTCCGACTCTAAATTTGAAAATGACATGTGAGATTTTTACGAGCATCAAAATTTTTGAATACAGACAACTTCCATACCTGAATCTTGCTCTACTCGTCATCTATATCAGACTCTTCCAAAATACGCAGCAAAGCTTCATCGGCGTCAAACTCAGTTCGAGGTTGTTTTCTTTCCATGTTTCCCAGCAAATGATGTGGACAAAAACGAATGCGAATTATAAATGGAAATTTTTTTTTGTTCTTGCTATATTTTCTCTTTTGCTTCCAACAGCGAGATTGTGAGGCGTAAAAACAAACTCGTTGCGTGATCGTAACTCCCAGTTTGATGCATAGTTTGCTTTGTTTCATACACAACGAAAACATTGCGGATACAAAATTGACCTCGTTATTTACAGCGAAAATGATATATGCGCAAAATGACATCGTTTCATAGTGCTGACTTAGTAAGAAGTAAATATGAACGTGTTTTACTATCCTAGAACCGCTGCGAGAATAATATGGGCGTAATAAAAAAATTCGGGCTACACAGCTTGCACGGTGCGCTATTACACCAGATTGCGAACACTTGGATCAAGCATGGATCATGCTTGGGTGTTCAAAATGATTCTATTTTAGTGCCGAAATACTTTGGCGACATCATAACCCCGAAAATAACTAATATTGTCATATTATGACCAAGGATAGCGGAGAGTACGAATATATGTGATATTCGGAAAAAAAGTGATATGGAAATGCCAATATGGAGTCATGATGTGGAGGCAGTTTTGTTATGATTTCATTCTATGTAATGTCACTCAAAATTGAAGTTACCAGAGTAAATATCATTATCACTAAAAGTCATATGGAGCCACTCAACTCACGAAGGAGTACATGCACATGAAAAATTTTGTTGAATGAGAGAAAGATCGGTTGACACGGGATTTGTGAAGCTGATTTGTGATCAAAAGTCTGGGGCTGTTATTTGCGTTACGGCGATAGCGCACCAAATAATAATGTTTTGACCAAGAAGCGGCTGGCTGTAAATCGAGGCTGTTGCTCTTGTGTAAATGATAAAATCAAATTTTTTTTCATTGTTGTTATATTACTTTTATTGAAAATGGTAAGATTGAGAATAACGGAAATAAATAACGGTATATAATAATGGTAATAAGAGTCTCAAAATCTTTCGAATTCCTCCTCACTATCACACTCCCCAGAGAGATCATTCCATGCAGTCAACATTCAACGTTTCCCCATCTGTATCACTGTCCTCCAGCCATACGACATCGTCTTCCATGCCATCTACATTGTTGCTGATGCAACATTTTATAAATGACATTTTTATCATATCTTTGGGAATCATTTCCCATGAGGCCGTCACCCAAGACACAACTGTAAACAAAGGAAGGCGCTTGAAGTTCGCGCTTTGACTGTATGTTCAGCCATGCCAACTGTCGTCCGCTGATTTTGCATGTGTGCCTTGAAGGGTCTGTTCAGACTGACATCTAATGGTTGTAGTATTCCAGTCAACCATCCTGGTATGACTGCCGAGACAGTGTTTGACTCCTTCAGAAACAGCTTTACCTATTTGGTAAAGAATGTGAGCTCTTAATTGGTTCCAGACTAACATGGAGCGTTTCTTGAGAAGACCTCCATTTTTGAGCACTCACACCTTATTTATCCATTTCATTATGCCTTCTTCGTCCATCCATCTCTTTGGGTGCTGATGGATGACTACACCACAAGGAAATTTATCCTTTTGGGGTGCTTTTCGTTTGAAGATTGCCATTGTTGGTAATTTCGCTCCATCTGCAGTGTAACGGAGCACTACTGTAAAATGTTTTTTTTTCCTGTTGTTTCGATAAGGACTGTTTTTTCACCATTTGGGTTTAAAGTTTTATTGCTTGGCATGTCAAACATATTGGGGTCTCATTCATATTGCCTATTCCATTAAGAAGGAAATCATCTGTCTTTCAAATATTTATCATGTAAAGTTGAAAGTTATAACTTTTTTCTGAAATTCTGATGGCAGCTTTTGGGCTATTTTTGTTCTTTGTCTTAGTGATATCCCATTTTTCATCAAAAACCTTGTACACTAACCCTTGGAAGGTTGAGGTGCCTTCTGCCTTGGTATTTTCCAGATTTGGCCATCTGCAATGCTTGCAACTGCACCCGAAATCTAGATACACTGTAACCATTCTGCCTTTGAATACCAAACCATCAAGAATGTCTTCTTCCATTTCAGGATATTGTCCGGTTTTGGGCTCTCTTTTTGCACGTTTTGAATTGGGGATGGAATCCAATGAATTATCCTTTCTTTATCTTTTAATATTGCTCTTATCCACTCTTTTTTGCTGCTTCCTCGTTGCTTGTATTTTTTGCAGCCGCTACTACTTTTAGTTTAAAAGAACAAGCATAAGACATTATTTTCCTTTTATTGATAGAGTTAGACATTATCACTGTACTGACCGATCAATCACAGACTGTTCATAGCGTGAACACACAAGTGATCATGTGTATGACAACCAATCACAGACTGTACAAGTGATCACATGTTTGAGTTATGCGCATATAAGCCGACCCCTTAGTATGGCAGCTTTTTTTTAACTTTGAACTTTGCTTATACGCGGGAATATACGGTACTCTCAGTAATTGAGTTCTGAGAGCGTATTTTTCTTCTAGAAAAACTGATGGCTGAATCAAAATCAATATTTGAAAGTGTTATTGGATTATGTCAAAGAAGTTCATCTAAACTTTCAGAAGAACAAATGGAGGTTAGTAAGTAGTATTCTTTGTGAAATTGAAAATTCATTACACTTAGTTACCTTTCCAGTGACTTGGCCCTTTATCGTATCCATATTTATTACAATTTTAATTACAGGAATGAAATAATTGCATTTCTGTTCTATTAGTTCATTATTAACTAATATATTGGATCTCTGCACTAGGAGACCCTTGTCGTCAGTCGTTTTGTCTGTTTAGATGTGGCGAGTAAACAGCTGGATCAATTCGGTTAAATTTTTCGTGTGGGTTATCTTATCACCCTAGTAATGTGAGTTTCCATGGCAACATCGAAAAACGCCCGGTCGTTATGAAATTTTCAATTTTTTCACATTCCTTTCGCCGATTTCTCGTCAACCAAGTCGAAAATTAAATTTCAAAAATGCTACCTTCCACAGAAGAAAATACTCTTTCGCACAAGTCGTCTTCTGTCTCGATACTCCATAAACTATGGAAGCCTTAAGAATTTTAGTGAACATTATTTTAATTATTGGGGACATATTAGTGGATGGTAACCAGTTGCTTTAATGCGGCCTCAACTATCAGCGGAGATCCTAGGCATCTACTGGCGTGTATTTTTTGTTTATTTCACACGCTCAAAAGTATCATTACTTTATGGTAGTGTGTCAAACCTTGATAAACAATTTTCTATGAATCACTTCACCTTTGAAAGTCTGTTGTGAATAAATCATGTTTATTGTTTCTTTGTCTTTACTTCGTGGTGAAATAAATACCACTGCATAATTTATATCTAAAAGCAAAACTATTTCGAAAATTTTTTTTTTTTTCATTAGAAACTCTGGTTCCCGTTACTGGATACCGTAGTAAGTCCTCGTCGTGAAATTACTTCTGATACAACAATCACTCTTGGGAATTCAAATTCAGAATTGGAAAAGATTTTGAAAGAGTTAGCTCAGCATGTACTCACCAGTATGATGAGCCATATGTCATTGCCAGCTCTTTTGCAAAAGATTATACAGGTAAGCACTTTTTTGTCTTTATTATAATATATATAAGACTGTAGCTTTATGTCTAATTTCGATGCAAACTGTATTCCAACTTACAATTATTGAAACATAATTACCGTATGTTATTCCGGAGCTTTGTGGAAAACAAGGCTTTTTCGACTTGCAATTGCAATAAAACCTTTTTTTAATGCTCTTGATATATGGCAACCAAGAAGGTCGGTTAATTACTACCCTGAATATATTTTAAATCAATTTTTGAAAGTATTTTTGCAATTATAAATTGAGCCATTGTGAAGTGTTAAATAGCTCAAGTCAAGATATCCTTGAGACTAAATTCAAATTACCATGAAATTTGGGAAAATATTGTTTTTGACCATTTTTTTTAATTTAGGAGTAATTGCAAAGTTTTGGTGAATTATGCACAGCGTTAATTGATAATGATTAGTTTGCAAATTACAGAATCAATATTTTTTGAAGCATTAGTTACTTTATATACTAATTTATTTCAAACGTTTTACCAAATTTTGATCTTTATTCCGATTGAGTATTAAGTCATTGCTATCAACTTTTTTGGACTTTTTTTCAGGACCCTGCCTATGACACTGGAAATTTTGGTGAAATCAAAGAAATTCTTCTTGGAATGTTGGAAACTTATCAATACGAAAAAACTTTACTTGATACAACTTTGAATTTGTTATCTCGGTAAGCAGTTGACACTATAAATAAATATTCATAATGTGCCTGATTGGATGACTGTATAAGAGACAGATTGAAGGACTGCAAAAGGGCAATATATCCATAAAACTATAGAATGAATGCTTTACTTAGCCAAATTCAAATACAACTTTATGTTTTTTGATACAATGTTATGATGTTGTTCTTATTTTTCTTTTATAATAAATTACTGTTACATTCTAATTATTGGAATGTGTGTAGGTAAAACTAATTTTCACGCGATTCTGATAATAACCATTATTGATGTACATTTAAACAAAGTGAGAGAAACTACGACTATACAGACTAAATAATTTGAAAAATTTTTATATACGCCAAGGTAAGCATTTTTGTACTGTAAGATAAAACTTTACTTTAAATTTTCACAGTGATCGACATGAATCTCTCTCTTCATTGAAGAAATTTGTTGTTCATGGAATTGCTCCAAGATCTCAATATTGTGCTGCATGTCGGGAAAGTATACTTGGATTTGGTACAGGAGATAAAGGAGACAGCAATATTGTCATTTTTGGGTAAGAGTATGCTAATGGGACAATACAAGTAACTACAATCTGATACTGTTTATCGTTTCGGAATCACCATAGTTACCATTCCATAAGTCTTGATTTATGCACCACTGTTGAAGTGACGCAAATATATTTTGTATTTTTTATACCTGTAGTTAATGTAGTGATACCTACAAGTTGCTACAACGGAGTTAAATTACCGGTGCATCACAAAATATTAATTCATTTCCCAAAAAATATATATGCTCGTTTTACTGCCCAATCTTGTTAAGGGCCCGCTTGAATATCCGCATGTGTGAACAGAACATAAAAATAAATAAGGGCCGGTGCTTGAATACCCGCCCGATTTAAAAGCTGATTTTTCAGCGGTAGAGAACAATAGGAAATAGAACTATTAATTATTGTAACGATCGATCTTGTTTATATATATATGTTTTTTTATATATTTTTGTGTATGATTTTACTTTAAACATAACAAGCGCTGTGCTTGAATAAGGGCCAGTTCGAATAGGGGCCCAGTTAGTGAGTTTGGTTAAAAAATATGGGCCCGGGCTACAAAACGAGCAAATATGGTATCTGTTTGAATTCAGAACTTGACATGAAATGAATGAATCTGTAAAATGCAGGTTTGAGAGAGAAGTACGGCTGGCAAAGATTGAATAGCTTAAAAAGTACTATCTTATTTTAGGTCTGGTACAGTTTACCATGAATCCTGTCTTAAATTCGATCCTGCAATATCGCCAGTTGTTCAAAATCAGCCACCCAGTCCATATGAATCTCCTGGAAGAAGCAGACGCTCATCAAACCAAACATCTTTGATGAATGCAATGAAACCCCAGGAAAAACGAGTCGTCAAAGAACGCCGCAATTACGTCGATCGCAAAAGACAAATTAATAACGTTTCTAAGATTTTCTTGAGTGCTAAAGGTGGAAAAGAAAGCAGTCAAACTCAAGGGCAAAGAATATTCCGAAGGGAAGGCTCATTGTTTGCTGTTCCTGTGCCACAGAATTCAAGGAATGACAGTAGTAAGGTGGGATTTTAGAATCATTTTTGTGTGGTCTGGTGAGTCAGATTTGGGGTTATAGTTTATTGTGAAAGTTACTATGACAATGCCAATGCGCTACCATGTAAACTGTTGTCCTGATGACAATATAAATTACATTAATGTTTTGAAATAATATTTGTATTTTTATTCTGGATTCTCAGTAAAATACCCCCTTTTTTAAATACTGATCGCAAAAGCTGCGAAAAAAATTAAATGTAATGTATATATTGTATTTTCATGTAATGTATTTTCAATTCTCGTCCTAGTCATTAGACGGTATATTCATTAGATACTAAAATCTTGAGTGTCGCTGCTTGATAACGAGCTTTGGTTCCTCGCAGCTTCCCTTTTCTCAGTAAAATTATGTTTTTGACATTTTCACAGATTTTTTGCATTTGTATCATTTTGCTGGTTGAAAAAAATAACCTTGCTTGTTCAAAACAGACTTTTTCTATATATGGTAAAAATGAAAAGTATATTAGAATTGCTTTTTATTGATTTCAGGTGGATGATGCAAAGACATATTCTTCAAAAATACGAACACTTTCTTTAAAATCTGGGGAACTTCAACCACAAGATTTTAAATTATCTGTAGCAGCTCCTGCAAGATTTTTCTGACCAACTCTTTTTGCATTAGACTGTTGACAATATAACAGGAATTATCAAGCCTGTTATCAAATGTATTAAAAAGTAAAATTATTATTTATTATATATATTTATATATCTTATTATTACTACTTTGCTCAACATTATAAGCAAGCCATTCCTATATCTTACATACATACCTACACTGCAAAGTTTTTATTTATCTCCCACTTGCTTTTTGATTGCGTCATAAATATTTTTAATAATGCTTAGATCATATGTAACGTCCCAAATAAAAAGAATATCTTCATAATTTGGTCTGATTGTTCTGATGACAACGAGTTAAATTTGCTTAGAATTGGTAATGATTCTCAATTTTTGTCAATGAGAAATAGACGCTTCAAAGTATGCCAGTAGTTCGTTTATACCTATGCAAACCTCTAATGTGTGTTGAGAGTTGTTTGATTTTATATTGTGATGCCATACAGTTATAACAACCCACCATGTTGAAAAATATTTAAGTATATATATATATGTATTTGAATTGTTCTAATTGTAATTGCCTGTTTGAAAAGGTATGTTCTGTCTTGGTTTTTGTAAAAAAAATTTGCTTCCGAATACGATTTCATATCCACAACATTTCTAAGAAGCTATTCATATCGATCGGTTCCTGCAATAGAATGAAATGTACTGTTATCTCAGTCAAAAATTGTATTTTTTTTTGAAGAACAATGATACAACAAATACAAACAATGTGGAATGAGAAAAATTGACTCTGCCTTTTGCTGGCGTAACTGCCGTCCCTAATTAGGCTGGGATCAAATCGCCTGGCACCTAAACGGGTCTGACAAAATGTACTCTACCCTTCTCAAGTGTGATTAAAAGTAGAAATCGCAATAAGCTTAAAAATGGGCGCTGCAGCAGTGTGTGTACCAATATGGAGGTAACTATTTTTGTTCGCCTACGTTACATCAAGTTGTGTAAAGGGACTGAAGCCTATGGGCAGGGGGTATATTCACTTGGCTAACACAGACCGCCCCCGAACTCGTAATGGAACTAAAATAAGGGAAATTATGGCCTAACCCTAACCTGGTACACACACTAGGGGAGTACCTAAAAATGCCCATGTCCCTGGGAAATTGTTTGAAATTCTATCGTGATCACTTATTTGTTTGTTTTGTTAATTATAGATTTACCTGTTGATTTTTTATATCTTCATTGCTTTTTTGTTAGACTATCAATACTAGTGCTTGGTGCTCAATGTTCCTAGCTTGCTCATGATTTGCATTGATGTCCCAATAAAAACCTGAAAAATATGTGATTGGATAGGTCTAGAAATATTAATTATTGATTACTGTTTGAAAAGTTTCAAATAATGAAACCTGAGAAATGAAACTGAATGGAATTAATATATGTATTGTAATTAAATGTCACAAATTGCAAAAATTACTTTGATGAGAATATAGATATTTACTAAATTTTGATATACTGTGTTTCCCCAAAAAGAGACCTAGCCTGAATTTCAAAAATGATTTTAATACAAGCCCCCCCCCCCCCCTTAAAACAAGCCCCTAATAACGTACTTTTTTTTTTGAAATAGGCAATAGCGAGGAAACCATTTTAGACGTTTTAAATGGTTAATATTTTGTACATTCGAAAATCTTGTATTTCTCCACTTTGTAATTTTGTTTTTGATAAATGAAAATAAAAGACATCCCCCAAAATAAGCCCTGGTGTTATTTTTTGAAAGAGAATTGAAATAAGACACTGTTGCTAATATTATTCTTTAGTCATATCATTTGACTTCGTTTCTATCATTCTGTAATATGTGGAAGTGTTTTGGGTCTGCTGGCTTTTCTGCCAGCCCATATATGCTTGTGGGATGGCCCAGACTAATTTGATATATTCAAAAATTTTGACTATTCAATACAATTCTGAGAACTGTAGAAACTAGCTTCCCTGATCGTAAATAATATTCGTAGTGTTATTCGCAGTTTTGTGTGTGCAATATCAATTTGTTTATTGGTAATTTAGTTTGGAGCAATTTTTCATTCTTTTATCATCATTACACTTACTGTTTAATTATTCTAATGCTTATGATTTTGAGTATCGTAAGCGTTGCCCTGGAAACTGGGTAGAGCGAATTTTTTCTCACAAATGTGAGGCGTTGATCATTGTTCTTCAAATAGCAGTTGTTCTGATTTGTTGCTACCAGACTATGTAGTCAATATACCGCCGTGCTTACCAAATTAGCATTCGCCATTCATCAACGTTTGCCACGAAAAATTGTTGCTTCTCTAACCATTAATATGTACCTGAATTAGGCTTACCATACGTCCCGCTTTTTAGCGTCTTGTCCCGTCGTCCCGACAAGTCAGCCAAAAGTCCCGCTTTGGCTGATTGATTGATTCCTTTCTATTTTTCGAACTGAACCCGATATTTGGACAGAGAATATGCGCATGAATTTTTGATGACAATTTGGTCGATGAAGACAGCCGTGATAGCTTTTAAATGTAGGCCTATGTAGTAAAATCGGAAAATGTAAAGTTACAAAATCACAGCTAAGGGGTCGTTGTCTTTAGAGGCGTCCCACTCTGAAGTCACAAAAATATGGTAACCCTAACCTGAATTAATTACTTGTTTAGCAACTATCATGTCCTACGTGGACTGGTGAAGCCTAGTACAAGCGGCCTTGTAGGTTTGCTGGTTACCTTGCATCAAAAATGAAAAGTTAGTTTTGTTTTTGCATCACCAGCAGTAACTCATTTTTGACAAATTTGCCTCTGTGTCGTCATCGTCGCCAGAATTATCATCCATTACGAAGACCTTTTGTATATGATCATATAATATATAAACCTTATTATAACCTAGCTTATTTGACATATTTTCAGCGATATAATAAATTTTCATTCCTTTTTGACAATAATGGTAAAGGCAACAAACGTGATAAATGTGTACAATACACGATTGCAGCTGGGGAAAAGTAGTCGTTTTTGTGGTTATTAGCGCAACATTTGTCAGATTCAGATATTCATTTTCGTCATGCAAAACCAATATACGATATGAAATAAATAAAATTCATATAACAAATTACAAAAACTGATATCGGCTTGTTGCAGTAGACGAAAGTTCGCGAAAGACTTTGAGTCGTCCAGTCAGCGACACCTTGTAGATACATTGAAGCAGCAAATACAGCAACTGAACATTTCAATATTAAATATTTATTAAATTCGACACAATCTTATAAAAAATGAATACCGAATAAACTGCAAATGTCATTGTAGGCATTTTCTCGCCAACCAAGTGGTAAATTAACTTGTTTGTAAAGGAATCCGTGAATAAATTGGAAAAAGGCGATTTTTAAGTGTTTTTGCTAAATTATGACGTCACTTTAACGCTACTTCCGCAGGAATACTACCCTTAATGTTTTATTATTATGTTTCAAGCCTCCATATCGTCAAGCTAATAACCGAATTGCGTAAGTAATTTTTGGCGGTTTTCAGTTTTTTATAAAATAGGTATTTATGCAATGCTGTGCACCTGCCTGTTAACTCAGATTTTGTTTTGAGAATTCCGAAGCCCATAAAAATGGAGATTTTGTATGACATGCACAGGTGCTCCCGAAGTATGCGAACCAAGATGGCGTACATCGAAATTCGAAACGTATCATGGGTTAGGGTTAGGCGATAATTTTTTTTCCAATTTTCCTTATTTTAGTCCTATTATCAGTTCGAAGACTAGCCAAGAGCCTCCCGTAGTATTTATACCTAAAATCATGGCCTAACCTAGTACACATATTACATTCCGATGTCCGCCATCTTGGTTCGCATACTTCGGGAGCCCCCATGCACATTTGTGCAATTGTTTCGTCATAATGAATTATCATTTTTTTTTTTTTGAAGGACTAATGTGACGTCACAAAGGCAAAATAATCTCGCCGACGGATTTTCGAGTTTTTGCATCTCAGATTCTAACTTAGCGCTTATAAATTTGTTCTATTTGTAATTTATACTACAGTATAGGAAGGCGTGCACTTGTGATATTCACTATCTGAGTCCAATTCACCTTGGTTGGCTCTTATAGAAAGGCACATTGCTGTTTTATTTTTTATAATTAATCATAGTCTTATTTCGGTGGGTGTGCCGAGCGTGTTATATTGATGAAATATATATTTTTAAACATAAAAAATATTGTAATTGAAACAAATTAGCTATTTTGGGGATTCGACATCGTAGATGCTGTGAATTACATTCGTTATTGGATTGTTTGGTTTTCAGGACTGGTGCACAAAGTCAAGTTGCAAAATTGCGTATGTCCCCAGGTCATAGACACATTTCTGCGTAAGTCACAGTGCGCCATTATGACGTCACATAACTGCGTCATACAAATTAACCTAAATCCGGCTACGATCAAAAAATTGAACCATGGCAAATTATTGACTCTCAATGGCATAACAATATCATTAGGAAGTTTTTTACGTTTTTCTTAAAACTGCTAAAAATGACTTACGCAATTCGATTATTAGCGTGACGATATACTCAAATGTAAGGCCCCCGCGAGCAATAAAAGAATATTCTGTGGGAGAGGAAAGTGTTGAGATGACTTATCATGTTGAAAAATAATTTAAAGCCTTCTAATTCAGTAATTATTTTTCAAGTAGTGATCTCGAGTTTATGCTCCCAAGTCCTACAGGGGTGGTAGCTCAAAAGTTGAATATTTTAAACAATGTACATATATTGATATAGACTCTACGATTCGAATGTGAGCTTTTGGAACCCCTGGACCGTACCGGCGGAACCCTAAAATGTCACAGAACCATGTTGAAAACCACTGCTTTTTTGAGAAAATTTCAAGCCATTTGCTCTATGACAACTTATCAATATTTAATTTACTACCATTTGCATCTATCTAGAAACTGATCAGAACCTTTCTACTTCTGACGTAGCAGAAAAATGGTTGGAACAAACTTTCAAACTCAGCGAAACTGATGCTAGTGTTTTTTGAGCCATAAAAGCAGTCGTTTATGATTCAACTGTGGAATACAACCGGACTTTGACTTTATTTTTTAAACTCAGAAGAGAAAAAGATATCTTAATTAAGCAGTGTATGGGGAAGAACAGCAAACAAAAAAGGCTTTGAGTAAAATCAAAATGAAAAATTCTAAAATATAGCGTGCAATATCTATTCTTTAAAATAAATTTATTTTCAGCAATTATTGCTCGGTGTTTAATTACAAGTCTTTCAAATTTAGTTTTGCATATGTTATTCTTGAGAATTATACGTATTCTGGTACTGCTGGCATATAATCCGTATGGTATTTGCTAGGCCAGTGGTACACAAACTGGGGGTACTTAACCCAAAAGAGGATACCTAGAGAATTTTTTTTGGGGGGGGGGTCTTCATTGACGTAACAGTTCATTTTGTAATCGCCATATTTTCCGCCACTCTGCAGAAAAACTGAGAGCGCCGTGTTCGCATCCAATTAGCAAACATTGTTAAATCACAATTTAGTTGGTCTCGCAGATAGTAATAAGTAGAGACATGTCTTCATTATTAGTCTTCATTATTATAGCTGCAATGAAGCTAAATCTTCTGTGAAATGAATGTTGAGATGGCGCCATAGAAAAGCTATGGAGAGTCGGTTTTATAAATCGGTTTCGTGAAATTCAAGACTCAAAATCGACTTCGCAACTACAGATGTTTTCGTGTTTGTCTCCAACAGCAATATGCCACCCTTTGACGTCATTACCATTTTTGATTTAATGTCATTCAACCTATTCTTTGCAATGGATTCTTTAAAACAAAATATTGGTTCAAGCTTATAATTGACGATGATATGGAATTCCTAGGTTTGATATCACAGAAACAGTGACACTCTTCTCACTGAGATTAAATCAAGATGTTGTTCTGGTATTTGTGGATTCTTATGTTATTGCTGCTATTAAATTTGATATAATGCACGCTTGAAATTTTATTTTTAATGTTAGGGGAAATTGAGCTTATGGTAATTCAATTTTTCGGGAGCACGTATTCGGAGCTTTTCAGTTTGTGATAATCAGGGGGTGGCAACATTTAGCTAATTGTGGACCAAAAATCGAGTCTACAACGCGGACAGAAATGATTTTCTTCAGAGAAATCCTTTCCATTTGGCATTGATAGAATGTTGCTACTCGAAATATCGTCTCAAATATATTTTAACATACAAACCAGGAAATGTTTTAATAGAATAATTTCGAATTGGCAATTACTGAAACTCGTATTTCTACACAAATAATAACGTACATGTATCTCATTTAAATAACAGTCATTATAAATTGTCAACAAACTATAAAGGGAGGCGCATTTTAAACTTTGACATGAGCGCCATAGATTCGCCCTTGCTAGGGGTAGAAAAAGAGATTTTTTTTATCGAATATTTTCAATGAATACGGAATAGTTCTAATCTACAATCGACCAGGACGTGGCGGGTCGATAATAGATCCAGAAATTAAACTCAAAAGCAACTTATAGCATATCGTGGGGTATCTGTGGATGCTTGTATAGGGTCTTGTTTGAAAGTGGTAAAAGGTTAATGCGCAAACAGCATGTTCCATCATTTTTTTGTTGTTTCGCTATTTTCTTACGTCACCTAGACATGTGATTCCTAATAACGAATGAAAAAGCATCTTCATTTTGCGGTTTCCTCCATCCTCTTTGTTTCTTTATTATAATCACACTTTTTTTCTTGCCATGTCAAAATTTGTCTGCGCGCAGGCGGTCTTTCCAAAGTTGACGCTGTCAGGTGAGCACTGATTTCATGTTTGTGAATTTTTAGGTTTAATGGTTTATGTGCATACTTGTGTCGCTAATTTTTTCATAATCCAACGGTTGTATCTTCAGCCATTTTCCATAGCTGTACTAACGCAGTTAAACTAAGCTTTGGCCTACAATTATTGATTCAAATGTCTACAAAGTGGAATTGAGATTACAAGATCTGGAATTGGTGAGAATCTAAATCGGCAATGGTTATTAGAGATAATTTCATTATTTCAGTTAGTTAGCCCATAGCGTAATACTAAATGATACCTAGTGTGTAATTATTGAATCAAAGACGACGGCGTAAACAAATAGGGGCGATCGAGAACAATGAAATGTTCCAAGTTAGAACAAGTAAGAAACCTAAAACCGTATTCAAATTTACGCTTTGGATATATTCCATATATACGAATTGCCCTATTCTTGCTTTTAGCTTGTGTTAGCTTTTATTCAACCAAGATAGTGCATCTTAGGCATGTTACATATTTCAGATCGTGTTTATGCAAACTGACTGAACGTAAACAAGCTGTGAATGTTGACATCGGAAACTGCTTGAGCGGAACAAACACTACGGTTAAATAAATACTTATTAAATTATGGATTACAGTTAGGCCATAATATAGCACTAGATTGAATTGAGAGTAGACTTGGGTTGAATCAAAGACCCCTGGGAAGATATGCCTGTGCAATGATGTTTGGACCATTTCATAAATGATCTACATCATTGATGAAAAAAAAACTCAACAGAGATGCGGTTGTGTTGGGATGTTCCGGATATAGTACAGGTGATATTATTTGCTTACTTTTTTTTTAAATTATTTCAACGGTCACTTCTTTTGTTGTTTATATCCAAACTTTTTTTGTCATGTCAGGAAGTTAGGTGGGCCCAAGTAGCGTTCTTTTTTTCCATATCTTTCACAGTTGCTACAATTGTTGATTCTGTAACGTAGAAAGTTGTGTTGCTGCTATGAATGGTTTTCTATCTGCGTACTTATCCGATAGTCCCGTCGACTACTACGACTCTATATTAAACTTCTAGAATCTGGACTCCGATATAAAGCAATATATATATATATTAATCAGAAGGTATACGTGTTCTATTGGGAATCCTTGAATGGGATAGTTGCGGGTTGCCCCCTATATTTCCTACCTTTCCCCCTTTTTTTCTCTTTTCTGTCTGTGCTATTTTGGGTCGAGTTGGGTTATTTAAAGGCTTTTGGAATTTCTCCGTTTCGTGGATAAATTTTCTATCTTTATTTGTTACTTTTTCGGAAAGAAAGTTTATTTTTAACCAATCAGAAGCTAGTTCGTTTCGTTTTTGATAGGATAAATTTTGGTTGAGCAATATTAATATTATTTTCGGTTTATAGCATCGGCGCAGTAATTATGGTCAAATGTAAATATATAGCAAAATAGATTGGAATAGCATTGATTTCATGGGAATATCGATGATCTCATTGTTTTAAGAACATCACAAACCACAAATCAAGTCGAGATCATCCGAGCTTCTATTCGAGTATGAGTCCGACATGAAGTTATCACATGGTTGAAGACATTTTCACAGAATTCGGTTCCTAACAAGTTCTCAGGTTGAGAACTAGAAACCAAGCAAGCTTCATATTTAATGCCCATATAAGGAATATAAATGGAAGATTTCAAATGTTCTAAATCTAACTTGAAGAATGAGGACCTTATTCATACGAAAACATTATGGCTCAATTTTGATATGATTTCTTTTTTTATACCTACTTTGTTGCTTCGAACCTTAAAACACTCGAACAACTTGACTATTGCAGTGACGTTTTAATGTAGACGTTACTTTGAGTCATTCACCATTTACATATTTTAAGTAACCAATGCCATACACTCACATGAAAACCTTCTCTTATTATTTTAGTCATCAATCAAAAATTTCAAATTCGTTAATATCATAATTGATCAAGCAAGTAATTTGTCTGAATTTATATCTAGGTATATTTAATTAATGCTTATATCATCACGAATAGGGCTGGGCATTTTCGAAACACTGGTGTTTCGAAATCGAAACGAAACGAAACACACGTTTGTCACAGACAGTAAAACATGTCACCAATATTACCCAACGAATTTAATAATGGACAATGGCACATATTTTCCAGAATTAGAACCACAAAAAGGAAGCACTGTTGGCTAATTCGTGAGCATGAACCGATATTGATAATTCCACGGAAGTTTCTGCTTAATGACAAAGCAGTGACCAAATGGTACCAGAATAATACGAATTGCGTCATTGTTAGAGATGGGGCTCACGAGCAGCATAGCATATGGGGCTCTCAATGTATCAATGCTCATTTTCTACTTTATCCGACGTCGCAGATCCTCGTGATCCAGTACATTGTAAAAAATGTTTTTTAATCTGAATTCCGAATACATTCTAAACTCCAGGAACATAGGAAATGGGCTTTCATGATATTATCATTGAGTGAAATTAGTTATTTTTGCTCTAGGGAAATGGACTTAATAAACATTACGGTAGTTATGAATTGTGGCCTATCTTGACACGCACAGAAAAAAGAACAACTAGGCGCCCAGAGAAATGTTTCAAATTATACAGTAAAATTAACTCATTGACTGTTTATCGTCAGCGTAACGACGGCAGTCTAACAATAAAATCTGCGATAGATACTAAATAATATTTGAGAGCTATTTCATATGAGGTAAATGCAAGAAATGCTCGGTCACTATCGAAACTAAGGATGAAAAAGATTAATTACAATAAAATTTGATTTTATATTTATTGTCGCGCTAACACAGACAATCTCGACAATGTTGAAATATACGATAATAATTGTAAAATATTTTCAATCAAAATCTTCCCCGATGTGTTATAAATACTGCTAGTCGGCACTGACTTGAATCATTTCATGTCGGCAGTCATTTATTGCGATCCGCAAAGAGGGTCTCCGATTGCGATAAAACATAAAAAATGAAATAATTGTGATATGTTTTCAATCAAAACGTGTACGGCGGCGCTAGGACTTGTGCACGATATTCAATATTCTTAAAAACACTAAAAACGATATTTGAGACTCGCAATATTCGAATAAATTCGGATATTAATTTCGAACTGGACATCGCTGAATAATACCTTTGCTATGACGTCATAATATTCGTTTCGGAAGTCGAAACAGCGCCGTTTCGACATATCAGTGTTTCGAAACGTATCGAAACAGTGTTTCGAAACGCCCAGCCCTAATCACGAACGCTTGCCAACTAAATTATTCTTCCATTGACAGTTATTGATGGTTCCGGACAAACCTACAATATCACATCCTAGATGTCTTATCACATCTACTGGCCTTGTCTTTCACGTTGTAAATATTGAGTGGTACTGGTAATTGTTATACAGTCTATACCGAGAACTTGTTGCTTACAATTATGTTTTGTCGTGTTATTGTTTTCTGTTTGACAAAACAAATGAACTCTCTACTTGAAATATGAGAAATATGTCACTATTCCGAGATGTTCAAGACTTGAAGAGCAAAACGTAATAATATATCAAACATACCTTCACATCAAAAATTTTATTCAAATTAATAAACGATAAAATTTGAAAGAAACTTTAAGAATAATTCACAATGTTTAATATCTATCTAAAAAGTAAATAGATAATTGTGGTAAATTAGGTTCAAATACAAAACCACTTTTAAATATGATACATATATATTTTTCATAAAATTACCGGAATATACGCTATGTTTGGTATAATATAGGTCCAGTTCAAAACGTGATACTTTTATTCTGACATGCGGAAATCAAATCATTAAGGTTTCTTCGCAGCGATCGTATTTCGTCAACGCTAACCTGACACCACGCAACGACCGTATTTCGTCACCCTTAATCTGACACGCACCGACCGTATTTCGCCACCCTAATCTGACACGCACCGACCGTATTTCGTCACCCCTAACTTGACTCGACGACCCTATTTCGTCACCCCCAAGTTGACACGCAACGACCGCATTTCGTCAGCCCTATTTTGACACCCCCAATATGACTTCTATGCTACCAACCCCTCTTTCCTCCATTTGATTCAATAAAACAAACACTCAAACCGGAGCGTCTGTCACGACGGCAGATGAGTTATATCGTGCCATGCTTGTCTCAATAATCATCTAAATATATCGTGGTCATCACGTGACCAGAATCGCCGTTTTTTCATAAAAACTCTCGAATACCACGGTAAAAATATTTTCCTTCTTCCCTCGGTTAATCGGATTACTTTTTCCCGAGTAATTCAGTGATGACGTTTTTAGATTGCGTTTCTTTGTGGTACCGTATTTCTTCTTGCATAATGCGCAGATGTGCTTTGGCACCTGGATCGCTGAAATTTTTAATCTCCATACATAATACGCACACCGGGTTTTCGTTTCTTTTTTGTGTTGGGTGTTTTTTCGCCAAGCGTGTCATACATTCTGTCTGATTGTTATTAACTATATCTCTGAATTATCATGTTATTCAATTATTTGCCGCCTTACGGTCTGCCAATCATGCTGTTATTTGTCTCAGATCTTTTTTAAATGCTAATAAGGTCGACGCCGAAGCGTGTTTTCGGACGCAGAAACCGCCGTTCACCAATTAGTGATTTATGACCCTAAAGTTTTGCCGAATCGGCGGAACGAGAGAAAAGAAGAATGTTACCCAATGCATTACATCAGTGAAACGAGCAGGCAGGATGGATTTATTTTGTGTAATTTTTGACACTTGCGACTAAATAGGCTGGTCTTAGATCTGAATCGTATGATACAGATAAATCTTATAAATGAAGAAACATTCACTCCGGGTACAATTACATAATCAAATTAAATGGAAAACGAATTTTTTTTGTGTCGATTTCAGTAATAATGCGTGCATTTTTGTACGCGTGTGTGCAGTTATCTGCATATTCAGTACTCATTCGTTTTTGTGTTTAACATTATTACTGATCAGTCGATCGCAAATATTTTGAAGATTTTAGTCGAATGCCCACCACTGAGATATAGCATCGAAGAAAAGAGTTATAAAATGTCTGTGTGAGTCAGCATTTTAATATTTTGAAGTTAATAATGCAAGTAATGATGTTAATCACGTGGAGTTTTGTGCCCGAACAGGTCCATAGAATCAGAACATTTATCAAGATCTTAGATTATATCGGAGGCTATCGGATTATCACAGATTCAATATTAAATAAAAGATAGGAAGGGAAAATGTAGAAGATGTTACCACCACTTAATTCCGTATTCATCATTTCCCTCTGTTCGTACGCATTGTGTCTTTAAAGCTTTTATGCTACCAGGTAATGTAGTCAATATAGCTTACCAATCCGCTCTCCACTAACGTTCACAGGCAAGAATTGTTGCCTCTCTCATCATCAAGGTGTACCTGGATCGGTTAGCAACTTCCATATCCTACTTCGACTGGTGAACGTCCATCAGATCGTAAAATCACAAGTCTCCTCGTCTTACATGAAAATGAAAAGTCGGATCTTCATTCACCATTCTGAAATATTGAATAACCATGTATGTTTTTTGTCCGCTCTACTGGAAAAGCACCAAATAGTAAATCTAATTGTATAAATATTATAAAATAAACCCTGAATTATTTTACAATTTGAATTCAATCGGATTCAGGCCTAATGTATTCAAGAACAAGTTTATATTATCTGACGTTTGTTTGACACTATCTGCTGACGATTTCTGAAATTGTGGTCGAACTAAATATAACACAAACCAAACTATGTTGAGCAACATAAACTTTGCGTCAGCAC